TCCTAGAGGGTAGTTGGCATAGAGGATGGTTGTCCAGGGGGTAGGTGTCCTAGGGGAGGGGGGGGGGGGTATTCATCCTAGAGGGTGGTTTCCCTAGGGGGTATTGTCCTAGAGGGTAGTTGGCATAGAGGATGGTTGTCCAGGGGGTAGGTGTCCTAGGGGAGGGGGGGGGGGTATTCATCCTAGAGGGTGGTTTCCCTAGGGGGTATTGTCCTAGAGGGTAGTTGGCATAGAGGATGGTTGTCCAGGGGGTAGGTGTCCTAGGGGAGGGGGGGGGGTATTCATCCTAGAGGGTGGTTTCCCTAGGGGGTATTGTCCTAGAGGGTAGTTGGCATAGAGGATGGTTGTGGTTGTCCTAGGGGAGGGGGTAGGTGTCCTAGGGGAGGGGGGGGTATGTCATCCTAGAGGGTGGTTTCCCTAGGGGGTATTGTCCTAGAGGGTAGTTGGCATAGAGGATGGTTGTCCAGGGGGTAGGTGTCCTAGGGGAGGGGGGGGGGGTATTCATCCTAGAGGGTGGTTTCCCTAGGGGGTATTGTCCTAGAGGGTAGTTGGCATAGAGGATGGTTGTCCAGGGGGTAGGTGTCCTAGGGGAGGGGGGGGGGTATTCATCCTAGAGGGTGGTTTCCCTAGGGGGTATTGTCCTAGAGGGTAGTTGGCATAGAGGATGGTTGTCCAGGGGGTAGGTGTCCTAGGGGAGGGGGGGGGGTATTCATCCTAGAGGGTGGTTGCCCTAGGGGGTATTGTCCTAGAGGGTAGTTGGCATAGAGGGTGGATGTCCAGGGGGTAGTTGTCCTAGGGGAGGGGGGGGGGTATTCATCCTAGAGGGTAGTTGCCCTAGGGGGTATTGTCCTAGAGGGTAGTTGGCATAGAGGGTGGTTGTCCAGGGGGTATTGTCCTAGAGGGTAGTTGGCATAGAGGGTGGTTGTCCAGGGGGTAGGTGTCCTAGAACCATTTATCATCTCTGCCTTATGATATTGTCTGCTGAGAGCCAGAAGGAGGTCGTATAGCACACGCTCCTCCAGCAATTGTTCTGTGGTCATATTCCTTCATTTACCAGAACCAAGTTCCTTTTACCTACCCTGGACCCAAGACTATACCTAACACTGGCCTTAATCCTTAACCTAAACCTTAACCTAACCTCAAACCCAATTGCAACCCCAACCCCTAATCCTATAATTTTGACGAAATAAAGTCTTGAGCAGTAGGGCGTTAATTCTATGTTAAGATGAGATTATTTATCACCGTTCTGGTTCTAAGAAATAATACAAGTCAATTTACTAGTATGTGCTTTGCATGGTGGTAAGACAGCACTCGCATGACTATACAAGGGACTGGGTATTGATGGAGAATGCCATACGCATGGAGACAAGAGGACAGGGTGTATTTGAATTCATGATTACTTGCGTCCAAGAGCACTGCTTTGATCACTGAGCCATTAGAGTTTTCAATATCAAGTAGATGGGAAGTGGTTACCAGTCATGGAGGAAGCCAAATACATACTTGATACTTTAAAAATTATGCATTAAATAAACAGGGATTGCAAAACATGATAGATGGGGTCATTGTACTTTAAATGCTTGGTTTATTCATTGACAAAATATAAAAGTGTTTCATATATTTTATGATAATTTTTATTTCATTTACTGTCCATTGTGGCTAAAATTTTGATTTTGAAAATTGTGATACAAAGAATGATTAAAGGTGAAATTCAAAGAAAATCACAAATATGTCAGCTAATGTATTACTAGAAACTGGTAAGCTAACAGATGGCCTTCGTACAAGTTTTAGTTCAACTACATATCGGGTGATTTATAAAAATATAAATACAACCACCTCTATAGAGGCTGGTATATACGAGAGATTCGCTGGAAAAATAACGATGTTTTAATGACGTCACTATATGGACCAATACTGCCCAAGCAGACGACATCCCATAAAGAATTAACATAATTGCAAAGCTATTATTTGTCAAATTATAATGAGTTTAATGTATATAAATGTAATGTAGTGAAGTAAGAGAAAGAACTCAAGAGAAGATGAAAACACAGGCACTAAAAATGCGTGAGATGTCATAGGACATCGTCTGCTTGGGCAAATTATGTCCATACTGTGATCTCACACATCTCAGCAGCGTTTGGAGAGCTCTTCAGGGGCTATGCCAGGGCTGTATTCAAGCGTTTTGTCATTTATAATAATCATTACTTTGAATGTTTCCAAGCATTGAATTTTGATAACCTCGTTGAATCAAAGTTTCAACTTTGCAATAATTAAAATAAAGTTAGTTTTTTAAAATCGATGAATATCTACTTAAATTTTTTTTAAAAAGTAGTGTCCAAGGAGTGTTGATTGCACCTACATAATTAATACACCAAACACTCTTTGTCTTGATCCTTGATTCATCTTACCAGGCAGGAAAGATGCAGGATGGGATCCGTTCCCTTGCCAACCATCGCTCTCAGTGGTTAGATCGTCCTGATCGTCTCATGAGAGCTGCTCGGCACTATGAGGGCGCCACACAGATTCTCATCAGACATGCTATCATGCTGGCTAGACAGGTAACAAACACCCCAAAATACAAATACTCCTTTAAAAAAACTATTTTAGCCTGAGAGTTAAAGCACATGTTAATATTTGTGATTATTTTAGCAAACTAACCTTAGTGTAACAAGCTAGATTATTTTTGAAATTTTAGTCTATATATATATATATATATATATTTATACGGAAAAGAACATGTTTTTGACAATAAAAATGTAGATTAGACTATATTGTAATATTTTACAAAACAAATTATCTTGCCAGTGGGGCAAGACACCCATAATTTTTGTTGCTAAACTCGTTGCCTGGGGAGTCTTGATCACAGATATTTAGAGAATATTTTATTATACTGAACATGAAACATATGTCATAAATGTGCTAAAAATATGTAGTATGATTTGATTTTATATCAATTATTTATGCATGTTATAGGAAGAAATACTGTCATCAAAGTATAACCACATTTGAAAAGAATGCATAGACTTTCTATCAAAACCAGGGCCATTTATTATGATGATTGATCCGAATCGCTGCAAATCTTCCAATCACTTGTGATTGTTGTCAAACTCAAGTTATAATATATTTGGATCAATCATAACTCTTAATAAGACAGGACGTAAGCATTTTACAGTGAGGCAATTAGTTTTCAAGTTCATACCAATAGTCAAGTACCTCACCTTTCATTTTCAAATATCAATAAAACAATATCAACCATGTCACCTTTCAGTTTATCAAGACGAGTCCATGTGACCTACCAGCGATGGATAAATGGGTGACGGCCCTGTGCCCTTCACGCATCGATCTATCTGGAGGTTGGACCGATACACCACCGGTCACATATGAGTTTGGAGGAGCCGTGGTGGATGCAGCCATCCTCTTAGATGGAGAAACGAAGATCGGGGCAAAGGTCAAAAGGATTCCTGAGTAAGTCTGACTTGATTTTATGTATGGAAGCACTTACCGTACAAAGAGTTTGTTTTTTGTTAATTGTATCTAATTTACTTTTCCTACTTCATGATGTATTGTTGTAATTATTGTTTGGTTCATTCTCGCACTCTTATAGAAGCATTAAAGCCCCACTGTACTACTTTTAGCTACTTGCTCTATATAGAAAACCATGCCTAATCGGTGACCATTGGTCCCCCATGATCCTCTTTTTCTTATGTTAATTGAGAGCTGAGTTGATGAGATAGCCACCTGTCAGTGACCACCCTGGGTGGTCTAATCCATCCTAGCCAAACTAGTACAGACAGCCTTTAGAGCAAGCTCCTGTCGTTAACAGCCCTGGCTCAGAAACATGTGTGTCTCTTAATAACATCAGTGCAATGCATTGCCAACATTCTTTCCTAAAAAACTATAGTAAATTCATAATTCACAATGTCCACTTTAACGAACAGAAACAATCTATAGACATAATAATGATGCCCTCAATTCACAACAAAATCACCATAGATAATTCAGAGGTTAATGACCAAATACATGTATACATTATCTGTTTGGACTGAGCCAGAAAAATGATTCTGGCTCCAAAGGACATGTTCCAGGGTTTAGTATGAAATAATCACATTAAGAAACAAGTCATTGTTTCTCTAGTTGTCAGATTTTATCTACATGTAACTGATGTCTTTTTTATTTGTTTGTTGTGTAGACCCAAGCTAGTCCTGGTCTTAGCTAAAGAGTCGGGAGGTACAGAGATAGTCTGTGAAGAACTCAAGGACCTAGCAAACTTCACCAACCCACAAGCACCTGGTAAATATTCTTCATCCATGTAGACAAAGAGAAATCTTTGGTGATATTTCTTCAACATGGGATGCTGAGAATGCAAAATAGTCATACAAACCGGGGACCTCCAATTCGACATCCTGATCCTATCATTTGTATTAAAGGTACTTAATAAGGGAGTTTGAGTAGAGATGTTATGCTATAATAGCCCATTCATTTTACTTTCAATCAAGAGCTTTAGTTTTTAATCCAAATCCGGCATAAAAGTCATTAGGTAAGACATAGATTTACTTGTGCTACTCTCCTCCTATGGGTAAACATCCCTAACATTTACTTGGTTTGAAATGTGAATTCATCTGTCACCACTACATTTTGTGACCTTATATCAAAATAAGTCTTGAGATAATAGAGCTAGCTATTCTTGAATTGTTTATAGGAGCATTATTGAAGGCAGCATTCGTCTGTGCAGAGGTCGTGACCTTTCCAAGCACTCAAAGTCTGAAGGATCAGCTAGAGCAGAGATACGGAGGAGGTTTTGTACTACACACCTGGGCAGACTTACCACATGGTTCAGGTATGTTCAAATTTATTATCAGGAAAATTGATGAAGACTGTAATGAATTATAAAGAATGTCATTTGAATGAAAAAGCCATTACTTTATCACCTCGAGTTTAGTCTAGTAGTCTTATGATATCTTTGCCGTGATATACAAATGATTATAGTGACATAAAAACACATGAGTTGACAAAGAAGAAAGAAAGCAGAACAAAATGATATATATATATGATATGATATGATGTGTATATCACTGGGCATTTTTTTCACAATTTTGTTTTATATATTATATATAAAACATTACAAATAAATTATATTTTGAGTCAGCAAGTAGAGAATCACCTAGTTTTAAAAAAAAGGAAGAAAAAGAAAGAAAAAAAGAAAAGGAAAAGACATTAGGACAGGGAAATAATAAATGGGCGATATAATTCAATGAGGGCTATATGATTGTAATATAAACAATTTCATTTTTTAATTAAAAATATGAATCGCTGGACCATTTTTTACTTCATTACTGAAAGAATTCCATAATTTTAACCAGAAAAGAATTGAAGATTTTAAGATTGTAAATACATAAATATATCGTCTGTTCAGATCCAGAAGGACATTAACCCTGTGTTGAAGTTTATGAGTTAATTCCCTTCTTGCACTGAACAGATGATATATGAACATTATATATATATGTAGAAGGATTGGAAGTTTCTTCACAATGGTTTACTATACTGTATGAATTGCTCATCTCTTGCTGGATAGGTCTTGGTACTAGTAGCATCTTAGCTGGTGGAGTGATGGCTGCCTTATGGAGAGCTTCAGGAAAGACTTATGACCAAGATTCTCTGATTCATGCTGTAAGATAATTCATTATGTATATATTTGCTTGGACTATTTGACTATATTTGATTATATTTTGTAATCATAATGATGGTGATGATGGTAATGGTGTTTATGATGATGATATTAGTGATGGATATGGAGATGGTGGTGATGATGATGATGATGATGATGATGGTGATGATGGTGGTGGTGATGAGGGTGATGATGATGATGATGATGATGATGGTGATGATGGTGGCGAAGATGACGATGGTGGTAGTGATAATGGTAATGATGATGGTGATGATGTTGGTAATGATGATGGCAATAGTGTTTATGATGATGATATTGGTGATGGGTATTATGCTGGTGGTGGTGGTAATGATGATTTTAGTAATGTTGATGATGATAATGAAGTCAATAGGACAGACTGAAATCAGGATTATAGTGTTAGTGATTTGTTTCTGCTCTGAATATGTTTCAGGTTCTTCATCTTGAGCAGATGTTAACAACCGGAGGTGGCTGGCAAGATCAAGTAGGAGGTAAACATTTATTTCCTTGGTTCCAGTCGTATGGTATATGACGTATCCTTGTGAAGTAGATTAAATAGCACACTTGAGAAAGGCAGAGTATCGTCTGATTTACTCCTAACTATGTACCTGTTTATACCGTAGATCTCTGTGTATAAGACCCTTTTTTTTTTCGCCGGAAAAATTCAAAAGTCAGGGGTGCGTCTTATAGACGGGTACAGGATATTTTGAGTCCTCAAAATGGTACTTTTTAGTGGTTTTTATGGTCTCTGTGTCTCAACATAAATAACATAATGCGAATAAAGAATAGGATCTACAATTTGAAGTTAACCTACCTTCCTAAAAATTGAAGGGAAAAGATTTTGTTTGTCTTAAAAATAGGAGTGCGTCTTATACACAGAGATTTACGGTACTGTGAAGAAAACTTACTTCATTTTTTTGCTTTTTTCTTTGTTATTATCCTCCTTACATAACTTTTTAAAATCTCTTTCTTCCCCCTCTCCACAGGGCTGACACCTCGGATTAACATTGGTCGTACCCGCCCTGGTCTCCCTTGCAAGGTTGAGATCTCTGCTGTACCCATCAGTGACGAGAACCAAGAATACTTCAACCAACATTTCATACTGGTCTACACTGGCAAGACTCGACTAGCAAGGTAAAGAGCTAGCTGTACTTGAGAATGGAGAATGCTCCAAACGTACTTCAGATAGATTATAAAGACAGTATGATTCTACGTCGCATTTGTATTCGAAAATGAAAGAATAAAGAAAGGCACCTCTAAACCATTGAATATTATTATTATTTTCTCCAAAAGACTCCAGTAGCTTCCCTCTCTTGCTCTATGTTCTTCTTTTTTGAGGGGGGGGGGGGAAGGGGGTAGGGCTGGGGTTGTTATTTAATTATTTTGAATTGAAATACTGTCCAGAAATCAAACCTAAGCCAATCTCAAATTCAATAGATGTCACTCTGTCTGATGCAATGTGTAAGTGTTCCTATGAAATGTAGACCTTACAATAAGATGTTAAAATGAGTTGTTAAAAGTGACCGATCCTAAACATTTCTCTACCCATGCAGGAATCTCCTGCAGGATGTGATTCGTAACTGGTATGCCAGACAGCCTCTCATTGTACAGAACTGTCAGCAGCTTATAGACAATGCTGAAGAATGTGCAAGGGCAATACAGAGAGGTAGATATATGATTAGGGGAAATGGAATTGAATATTTCATGGGATACTTGGAGATCAACAGTATGTTTAGCTTAAAGGTAATACAAAGTTTCTGGAAATTTTTAAACTTGGGTGGATAGTGATTCTTTATAATTTTGATATATTTGGATGCCTCTGTAGATGTATTATAAGCACTAGAAATTTTAGCCCCTAAAACACTTCTGTTTTTGAGAAAAATTGAAAATAAAAATTTACTGGTGCTCCTGGTAAATTTTGATAAATTGCAAATAGCGCCTACGGCTCTACAATGGTAGCTGCGACCATGAAAGTCTCAGAATATGTAGTTGTGATATAAATGTATATAATTTCCAAACGGGAATAGGTAATTGGTCGGTGTTAGTCAAGAAGCTTAATTAATATCTTGACCTTGAGAGGAAGCTATACAACATAAAGAGTTTGTTTTTTTACAATTTCATAACTTTAGACTCGATTTCAACTGCGAGAACGATCACTGAATATTATAGGATCGCATATGCTTCCAATATGTTCATTTGAACCAAATTCATGACCCCATACCAAAACTTTGTATTACCTTTAACAGTGCCTTCGAAGTGACATACAATAACCCCTCCCCCCCCCCCTTTGATATTGATAATTTAACCCTCAACTTAAAAAAACCCAAATACATTTTTGAAATCTACTACATACAAGGATGAGAAGAACATAGAATTATTTGAAAAGATGTTTGCAACTTATATTGAGAGAGGTATAGAATATGCAATATTTTTGAATTATAAATGCATGTAACTTACTATTTACTGACCAAAATCAATTGATATTTGAGGTTTATCGAATACTGTTTGTGGGTTGTTGCCTGAATATGCACACACACACACACAAATCTTTATTTTGAATATCATATAATTTTTTTCACAATGTCCTTTCAAGCATTTGCATGTAATAACTAATTTCAAATGGAATGTTATATTTCAGGAGACTTTGTGAAGGTTGGCCAGTGTATGAATACCTACTGGTCACAGAAGAAGATAATGGCACCAGGCAGTGAGCCTCGTATCGTCTCTCAGATGATGGCTGCTCTTAAACCAATCGTTCATGGTCAAGTATTAGCCGGGGCTGGAGGAGGAGGGTTCATGTATGTCTTGACCAAGGAGCCAAACCAGGCAACCAATATCAGAGAGATCATAGCTGGTATTGAGGTAAGATACCATAATTAGGTGGATTGAAGTTGATAGCGATGGAAGTGTTTGTTCGTGTGGATGATGCTGCTGCTGATGATGATAGTGGTGATGATGATGATGTTGGTGATGATGATGATGTTGGTGGTGATGATGATAGTGGTGGTGATGATGATGATAGTGGTGATGATGATGATAGTGTTGGTGATGATGATGATGACAGTGGTGGTGATGACGGTAGTGGTGGTGATGACGGTAGTGGTGGTGATGATGATGATGATGATGATGATGATGATAATGGTTGTCATGATGATGGTGTTTATGGAGGAGGTTCCATGTATGTCTTGACCAAGGAAGCAAACCAGGCTACTAAGATCAGAGAGATCATAGCTGGTATCGAGGTAAGATACCATAACTAGGTGTATTGAGGTTGATAGTGAGGAAAGTGTTTGTACATGTTGATATTGCTGCTGCTGATCATGATGATAGTGATAGTGGTGGTGATGATGATAGTGGTGGTGATGACGGTAGTGGTGGTGATGATGATGATGATGATGATGATGATGATGATGATGATGATGATGAGGATGGTGTTTATGGAGGAGGTTCCATGTATGTCTTGACCAAGGAAGCAAACCAGGCTACCAAGATCAGAGAGATTATAGCTGGTATCGAGGTAAGATACCATAACTAGGTGTATTGAGGTTGATAGTGAGGAAAGTGTTTGTACATGTTGATATTGCTGCTGCTGATCATGATGATAGTGATAGTGGTGGTGATGATGATAGTGGTGGTGATGACGGTAGTGGTGGTGATGATGATGATGATGATGATGATGATGATGATGATGATGATGATGATGATGAGGATGGTGTTTATGGAGGAGGTTCCATGTATGTCTTGACCAAGGAAGCAAACCAGGCTACCAAGATCAGAGAGATTATAGCTGGTATTGAGGTAAGATACCATTATTAAGTGGATTGAAGTTGATAGCGATGGAAGTGTTTGTTCGTGTGGATGATGATGCTGCTGCTGCTGATGATGATGGTGGTGGTAATGATTTATGGTGGTGGTGATGATGATGATAGTGGTGATGATGATGATAGTGGTGGTGATGATGATGACAGTGGTGGTGATGACGGTAGTGGTGGTGATGATGATGATGATGATGATGATGATGATGATGATGATGATGATGATGATGATGATGATGATGATGATGAGGATGGTGTTTATGGAGGAGGTTTCATGCATGTCTTGACCAAGGAACCAAACCAGGCAACCAAGATCAGACAGATCATAGCTGGTATCGAGGTAAGATACCATAACTAGGTGTATTGAAGTTGATAGTGATGAAAGTGTTTGTACATGTTGATATTGCTGCTGCTGCTGCTGCTGATCATGATGATAGTGATAGTGGTGGTGATGATGATAGTGGTGGTGATGATGATGATGGTGATGATGGTGGTGGTGATGGTGATGGTGTTTATGGAGAAGGTTTCATGTATGTCGATCTTGACCAAGAAACCAAATCGGTCAACTAAGATCAGAGAGATCATAGCTGGTAAGTTGGAAGTGATTTGTAACTGTGGATGATGTCGATGATGATGACTGCTGCCGCTGCTGATAATGATAAGGATTAGAATGAAGACGATGATGTAAAGGATAATGGCATTAAAAACATTGATGGATATTCTGATAATGACAGTAATTTTTTTATGGTGCTGATGACCATACTTCTGCTTATGATGATGATCACATGATTAAGATAATTGTGACGATGTACAGGGAACTACATAGATCATCAGTACAAGAATGTTCATCATTGTAGGAAGAAAAAAATCACGATTTTTTTTTTTTAAACAGTGACATTAGAAATGAAAATGAGGGTATTTAATAACAAATATAAAGAAGAAGAAAAAGAAGAAGAAGAAGGAAAAGAAGAAGAAGGAAATGAAGAAGGAAAGAAGAAGGAAAGAAGAAGGAGGAGGGCAAAAAAGAGGAGGGAGGAGAAAAAGAAGGATGACAAGGAGGAAGTAATGGTGATGATCACGACTGTTGTAGATAGGACAGTGTATGCTAACTTTTCTTTATCTCATCTGTCTTCTTACAGGGCACCCAAGACGTGACTGTTCATGAGGTGAAGCTAGACACACAGGGTCTACAGCTAGAGGTAGAGGAATGATGTATACCCCCTCCCCCCCCCCCCCCCTCCCCCTCGTAGGGTTACTCACATGATGTTACTGCCTATAAGGGTCATTTAGACACAGGGTGTATTGGTACTGGCGGTGGAATGACTTCCTTACTATATATAAGCAACAACTTCAAAGGATTTTCTGAAATATTTCATCACATTTTCGGTGAAGCGACCATCATGCTTTTCATGTTTGTTCATGATAGAGGCTTATAGGTGTACAAGGAGAGCCATATTGTTTCAGATTTGTAGGTTGGTAGTCTAGACATGGATTTAGGGAAAGACTTGTGAATATTTTTCTACATGAGAGGACCTCAGTTAATGGTATAAAACTTTCATTGAACATGTACCTGTACATCCATCTCATCATAAAGCAATTACAAGATCTAAAATTTTGCTGCGATATGTCTGGATTATTTGTTATGATTTTTATCATACAGTACTACATGTAGAATGCGAATACATGTATTTAAATGCATTCATACCATTTTTCTTTTCTTTTTTCATTTAAGTTCAATGAAGTTATTGTTGTGTAATTAAATTATTGTCATGCAGAAATATAAGCTGAAACTTATTTATAAATCCACAGAAATAATAAGAACCTTGCCCAGTCAACTGGAAAACAATGTCCGATTTGAAAACCAATTAAAAAAGAAAGAGCCCATTGTATTGTGTAATATTTCATTCAGCAGCAATGGAAAATGTTAATGTCTGGTTGTGTCTTTATTGCACTGTCCAGACTATTATTCTGCAACTCGATATATAAAACATACTCATCTCATGACAGCTCTAGTGGAAAGAAATATAATTCTTTTTTCATTAGATGTATTTAATGATTCTAAACTCATTATCATAACTCAATAATGATAAACTCAATTTGATGTACTCAATTCGATATACTAATTTGTATTTTATAGTAATATGAGATGCATTGCAATAGATGGAATTTTAAAGTAGATTTTGGCAAATCGATTGGTGGTAGGTATAGTTTTACTGCCTCTTTACATTCAATTTTGTTCTACATGCTTGAAATGTCTATTTAAACAACTTAATAGTTGAGGTGGTTGTAATGAGACCATATTTACAAATCTTGCCTTGTTGCTGCATGATTTAAGGAAATTGAAGAAATGATTTAGATCCCAGCTGAATGAATTTAAGTTTGTAAGTATATGTAGGAGTAATTTTTATATACAGTGTCATTACTGTGATAAACAAGTGGCAGAGGATAAGGAAACATTTGTTTTTTCATAATACTGTTAAGTGTTTGATTGTTTGTCTTGGGGGCATTAATTTCATTAACAAATCAATTAAATTGTTATGATATATCAATATACATATTTATATTAGAATTCATGGGGAATATTGAATTTGTATTGCTACAGGTTGAAGTTATATTTTAGTGTGTGTGTGGGTGTGCTTGAGTAGTGGGTAGGGGTGTGGTTGTACATGTGTGTGTGTGAGGATGAGGATGTGTGTTTGTGTTTCTGTGCATCTGTTAGGTCATTACAGAATTACTGATCTGACACAAATTACTTGAGAATGATCATGAGTATCACCAAAACATCATTACTGATCTGACACAAATTACTTGAGAATGATCATGAGTATCACCAAAACATTCTTTTACAAGAGCTTATTCTACTTTATCTTACAGTGTTTATTTGTGCATACAGCTCAGTTTGAATAACAAGACATTGATGAATAATTGTGCAATTTTGTCTTCACTGATATCATCGATAAGAATCTGTAACAAAAAACAATGATATATTCTATATAGTACTAATGATGATTTTATACTAACTTTTTCAAGCGCTTTACCAGTTACAATGTAACTGACCGAATTGCTTGCAGTTTTATTACCCCATTCACTGGAGTCAATGAGTTTATGTGATGTTTTGCAGTCAGTGAAAAGATTTTAAAAAACGAGATATTGCTTCTGTTTGTATTGCAGATTTGTGTTTAAAAGTGGTTTTAGTTCTGAATAATGATTTAATACGCAATGGAACAGCAACTACACCAAAATATACAATAATTTTATAATCAAGTTTTTAATGCCTAAGTGTAACATAAAACATACGGCCAGGAAGATGTGTTCATTAAATGCAGTGTTATCCCATTTGAAACTCTTGTATTATCTACACAGTTTTTGTCTATTCACTTTGAAATCCAACTCACTCCCTTGCAATCCTATATGACAACTTCATCACATAGCTGCTCTATTATATCTAACAACTCACATGTACAAGTTATACCGTTCATTGTGAAAAGTCACAATCATACTAAATTTTGTATAAAGATACTAATTGTTTTTATAGATTCTAAACTTACCTTGTGTGCTTTTTTTAAATAATTTAACAACTTAATCTACATGTTTTTCAATTCAATGTAAACTAGTCTTCCACTTTTAGTATGTTTCAATAAAAGAATAATGTGCATGTGTGCATTTATTCCAAGAGATGTAAAAAGATTATGTGTTGGGTTCATTTGTTAAGTGTCATGTAGTAAATGTGTGAAATTGCTTGAAATAAGAAAAAAAAAGATGTACAAAAGAGTGAAACTTCTCCATTCAGTTGGATTTTGTAGCATTGATATATTCCTCAGTGTAGCAATAAAGCAGCAAGTCTTTCATAATTGACCACTGTATTCGTTATACAAGATCCTTTGTTGCTCTATACTGCCATTGTGTTCTTCTCCCCATTAAAACCAAGACCAAAAATATATATATATACGAGGTTGTATAATTATGACATCGCGATTGAAAGGCAGTATTCTTGATGAGCAACTTCAGCAAGGAGCAAGTGGACTTGGTTACCATGACAATGAATAAGTATACAATCTACTTGCAGTCATTATCTTTCCATCAAGGATCTTTCATTGTAAGGAGCTCACTGCTCACAAGGCTCAAGAGGCAAGCTATTACTGTGCAGCCATAGATGTGCTAAAACATTCATTTTGTTTAGCTACTGAGCTTGCATAAGGAGAATTTTATCAAAGAAACCCGACAATATGAATGGGTATTATGAACCTGACCTAGTTGTTTTATAGCGTATACATGTACTTCATGTTTGTGCAGGAAAAACAGAGTAAATATATTTGTACTGTAAACTAGATTGGTTAGCATCTCTCCCTCCCTCTTTCCCCCTCTCTCTCTCTCTCTCTCAACCCTCTCTCTGTCTCTGTCTCTCTCAACCCTCTCTCTATCTCTCTCTCTCTCTCTCGCTCTCTCTCTCTCTTCCTCTCTCTCCCCTCCCTCTCTCCCTCTCTCTCTTCCCCCTCTCTCCCCCCCTTTCTCTCTCTCTCTCTCCCCCTCTCTCCCTCCCCCTCTCTCTTTCTCTCTCCCTCTCCCTCTCTCTCTCTTCCCCCTCTCTCTCTCTCTCTCCTCCCCCTCCCTCTCTCCCTTTCTCTCTCCCTCTCCCCCCCTCTCCCCCTCTCTCTCTCTCTCTCTCTCTCTCTCTCTCTCTCCCTCCCCATCTCTCTCTATTCAAAATCTTGCACTTGTCTTGGGCGAACATTATAAACAAAAAAATGAAAACAAAATGTTAGTTTGTGCTATAATACACAGCACTGTTTATCAGTGCATGTGAGTTTTTAATGTGGTAAATACCATGGAAAGCACTAAAGAGACAAAATTCATTTGTCTCAAAAAATTGCTTTGATCACAATGGAGACATTTACATGCGTAATAGCATGTATAACATTGACTTGACATTACATACAAAGATAAGTGTAGAAGGAAAAATGTGTTGGAGTTGCCCTCTTCTTATCCAATTTAAGGTGGTAGAAATGTGAAAATCACAGTCAAATATTGAACTCTTGTAGTGAGTGCAAATGAAGACACCACACAGTTCAGTGCACCTTCAAAATCAAAGTGCTGTCATATTCAAATAAGTAATAAAATATCGGAAACTGCAACACATTTAATTGTTTGGTGCCGTGTATGACCACTTCTGATGTGGTTCACTCTATCAGAAAAAAAAATCATTTTCTAGGAATGAGCAATGCGTGGACGTGGCTGTTTTAACATGGAATGAAGCTAATTATCATAATGCTGACCGGGCAGGTACAAAGTACACTTCAATCTTGAAGTCATGGATCTTACAGGAATATACAGTTCCTACAGCATGGTGTCAAATGTGAAGGGGTAAAGTCCTGATCGCCTTCAGATTTGTGTTTACCGTTAAAATTCAGTCAATTCACCATGCCAAGCACCAACAAAATTAATATAATAATATTGGAGACAAAATTATGTACACCATGTTGCCATTACATGTGAAATATCTTGTACATGGTCCAATTTTGTTAATCATGAGCCATAAAGCTGCCATGTGGTAAAGGTGCATTTGACCATAGAACCAATAGATATAAATTATATCAAATATATTGACACATACATGTACGCAAGACTATAGTAAATGTGAAAATCTGAACTCTTTGATTTATGCTTTAAAATATGAAAAACATATACTAATTACACTCCTGACATCTGAGAATTATGTCACTTATCAGAATGTTTAGCAGCCAGTTTGTAAAAAATGTTTGTTTCTAAGAGGGCTTGATGTTTCAGGCCATTTTCTTCAAATTGTTGGTCAATACTGGTTACAATGCTTCATGTATATGTAGCGCCCACACCCCGAGGGAGGGGGCATACCTATTAAAGGAAGACAAAATAAGAAAGGTGTTGACTAGGATGCATGGCAAAAACAAAGTCTTTATTACTTAATCTTCTACATTAACAGTCTTTTCTTACAATAACATATATACGATCAAATGGCATAACAATACTCTTCAAGTATTAAACACAAATAAATCTACCTGTTCGCATACATTGAATTCATTAGCTCTCAGTGTTCTCTTACTATATCACTAAGAACATCATCTAGTTAGTTTCATTACTTTACTATCTCTAAACGAAACTATCCTTACTTCCATGCTTTATTTAAAAGCGCAACTCTTCATCGATCTCATAATCATAACTTGGCTACTAATAAATAACTTAACCCTTATCAAATGTCTATAACATTGCGGTATCAGTTAATCTACTTTAGCTTCTAATCATGTAACTCTTCACTTAGCGTCTCTTTCAAGAAATCACATATATAGACATAATACAAGAATGTTGGCATAATCATCCCTCTACTACTGTCTAATAAGCTTCCTACTCTTTACGCTCCAAGACTGAGGATCCACTGTACACATAGACCCTTAGAATGCAATTCTACTCTCAGCCTTCACTAATCCCTAAATTCACAAGTTACTTCTTGTCTCAGGACTTCACATTAATACTGAATAAACTTATAACTCTTCCTTAACTATAGCTCATGTATTTTCCAATAGTCATCTGCATCACTTTGATCTAATACTATCTTTTTCAGCGAGATTACTGAACTTGAAAAGATACATCTTCAACAACTTATATCCTAAACTCCTTACAATATTCACAGAACTGGCAAATAGTCTTAGTCTGCAGTCTGTACTAATAGCTCTAACAAACTTACAACCAATATTACGAATTCCTCTTACTGTATAATCTCATCTTCACATACAGTTCATATTCTAATTCTAAACAACAACCAATAGTTTTACTAAATACATATATTCATTTCATGGTTATCTACAAAGCAAAGTGAGAGTGAAAGAAAAAGGGTGAACCATACAGAGAGAGAGAGAGAGAGAGAGAGAGAGAAAGAGAGGGAGAGAATATAAAGAGAGAGGGGGGGGGGGAGAGAGGGAGATATATATATATATATATATAGAGAGAGAGAGAGAGAGAGAGAGAGAGAGAGAGAGTAATTCCAAATAACATTTAACCTGAATTATCATTCCTAACAATATAATACAATGAATTCCAGACAGTGATTATGCAAGTCTTCCACTACAATATTTCATCAACCCATCCATCACTAGCTAACTATTAGACAATTTGACCATGTGTTTCTCAACAAGTGTATTCCCCAACTCAAATCCTTTGTCTTCTCATTTTGCTGACTCTACCAAACTTTCATTCCCGCCTAAGATACCATTTCCAGCATGGGTCAAAAACAAACACATTCTATCTCTAACACTTCTCAACATAGCATTTGGGTATAGCATATACTCTATCTACACTGTGTGCGTGTAATGCATTGCAGTGGATGGTCAAGCTTGGGGGGAGAGGGGATTAAGAACTCTGATAAGAAGTTGTGTTCACATTGAACGTACTGCCATATCCTAATAACACACTAGTATTGTACACATGGTGCGTCCACACTCACTCATACCATAATACTGAAAGTTAAAGATAATCTGGACTTGAACAACTCATTTCGCTATTCAAACTGTATCTAACTCGAACTAGAATATATAACAATGTGCTTTGGCATAATGCATAGTAAATGGCACATGTCCTTGGCTAAGAATATATATATACACATGAATATCGAGCAAAAGACAAATATACTGACAGTAATAAAGTATATTCTCTTCTCAAAACTTACTTAAAATGTTGTCTAAATCAAACAACATAATCATCAATCTCACACACACGATAATACTTTCCTATCATTTCTACAAGTGATTACTATGTTCATCAATGACATTATCTCTCCCCACATGGCATTTCTCATATTTCCTCTCATAGTCCACATGTCATATAATCCAACAAGTCATTGGCAAAGATCATTAATATCTCTTTTTACACAGTAATACAAGATATGTGAATAGTGAAGCTAATAGTTTAGAAATACACATATTATGAACAACAAGAATATAACACAATTGAATAATATAAGATTCTTTCTTACCTATTAAAGGAAGACAAAATAAGAAAGGTGTTGACTATAGGATGCATGGCAAAAACAAAGTGAGAAGCCACTCCTGGTATCCCAGCTGGTGTGTTTAGGTTAGTTGTGGGTGAGGCCACTCTCGCAGGAGGGGGTACCTAATCAACTAAGAGGAGGGACTGTGGGGGCTAGAAATATACTCGTGTCATACATAATAAGTCAAAGATACACAAAAAAATAGGGGGGGGGGGGTATTCTGTGGGGCTCCACACCTTCCCCTCCAAAAATAAATGTCTCCTGGACATTTCAACTTTTAAACATTTATAACAATTCATTATTATAGTATAACATTTCTAACGTTCATTTAGTTCTCGTTCAATGTCGTCATGAACTTAGGACAGATCAGGGAGGTGAGACTTATCACCAAAGTCCATGATTATTATAGTCCATGTCCTTGCTACGTTCCCAATCCCAGATCATCGAGCTCCAATTCCTCTGCGAAATACATGTAGTACATCGAGTTCATATACACTTGTTGCAACTTGTTATAGCGAAACCTAATAGGTACTTGAAGTCTCAGAATTACATATCATAATATCGTATCAGAATTACGTGGCTTTTTCTTCCATACAAATAAACTTTGCGAAACATTAACCCATTCTACGGGCGCGCCTGGCATACGGTGAAGGTTTCTTGGAAAGCTCGAGACTCATTCCGAAGACTTTATCACAAAGATCAATTGATCACTATCGAGTGTCATCGCTTGTTTCCTTATATTACACCACAATTCATGAAACGATTTACAACTTGCTTCATCTTACTACTTCGCGTTACTCGTATTTCTGGTTTATTAAACAGCTAGCACACATGATTCTATATAACGATGCATCTAATGTAAAAATTAAAAAAAATCAGTTTGAGGCATTCCTCAATGATGGACTCGCTCGCTAGGAAAATTTCAGCTGGTCTTCTGTCATCTGCTGTTAGTAGTGGGTTGGTTGCTCGTGGGTTATCGGCGTCTGCATCTGTAGAGGCATTTGATGAGGGTTAGAATGGTGGGTCATACCGGTACTGGAAAGGTGCTGGGGCTGGGCTGTTGTGGATGGCGGCTTGGAGAACCCCTGGACATCCTTGACCCCACTCACTGCTCCGCCATCTATTTCCTCCCAGTAAGGGTGAAGCTTTCCTTGGCCACCTGGAGGGGCCCGACTTCGCACCAGGGCCCTATCCCCTTGCTGTAGCACCCTGCTGCGTACTGCACGGTAGCCTTTTCTCTTCTCTGTAGCTCGTCCCATTTTTCTCTGATGCTGAGCCAACCTCATTTCCAATCAGGGATGGTCTCCTCCGGCTCTCTGACTTCTGGTCCTTCTTATCGTTACATCACTGCTTCTTCGTTTATCCAACTGTTCGTGTCATAGGACAGCACATCGTCCTCGTGTCTCTTTGACGATGGCCGTCCTGGCAAGGTCGCCAAATTTGTAGCGCCCACACCCCGAGGGAGGGGGCATACCTATTAAAGGAAGACAAAATAAGAAAGGTGTTGACTAGGATGCATGGCAAAAACAAAGTCTTTATTACTTAATCTTCTACATTAACAGTCTTTTCTTACAATAACATATATACGATCAAATGGCATAACAATACTCTTCAAGTATTAAACACAAATAAATCTACCTGTTCGCATACATTGAATTCATTAGCTCTCAGTGTTCTCTTACTATATCACTAAGAACATCATCTAGTTAGTTTCATTACTTTACTATCTCTAAACGAAACTATCCTTACTTCCATGCTTTATTTAAAAGCGCAACTCTTCATCGATCTCATAATCATAACTTGGCTACTAATAAATAACTTAACCCTTATCAAATGTCTATAACATTGCGGTATCAGTTAATCTACTTTAGCTTCTAATCATGTAACTCTTCACTTAGCGTCTCTTTCAAGAAATCACATATATAGACATAATACAAGAATGTTGGCATAATCATCCCTCTACTACTGTCTAATAAGCTTCCTACTCTTTACGCTCCAAGACTGAGGATCCACTGTACACATAGACCCTTAGAATGCAATTCTACTCTCAGCCTTCACTAATCCCTAAATTCACAAGTTACTTCTTGTCTCAGGACTTCACATTAATACTGAATAAACTTATAACTCTTCCTTAACTATAGCTCATGTATTTTCCAATAGTCATCTGCATCACTTTGATCTAATACTATCTTTTTCAGCGAGATTACTGAACTTGAAAAGATACATCTTCAACAACTTATATCCTAAACTCCTTACAATATTCACAGAACTGGCAAATAGTCTTAGTCTGCAGTCTGTACTAATAGCTCTAACAAACTTACAACCAATATTACGAATTCCTCTTACTGTATAATCTCATCTTCACATACAGTTCATATTCTAATTCTAAACAACAACCAATAGTTTTACTAAATACATATATTCATTTCATGGTTATCTACAAAGCAAAGTGAGAGTGAAAGAAAAAGGTGAACCATACAGAGAGAGAGAGAGAGAGAGAGAGAGAGAAAGAGAGGGAGAGAATATAAAGAGAGAGGGGGGGGGGGAGAGAGGGAGATATATATATAATATATATATATAGAGAGAGAGAGAGAGAGAGAGAGAGAGAGAGAGTAATTCCAAATAACATTTAACCTGAATTATCATTCCTAACAATATAATACAATGAATTCCAGACAGTGATTATGCAAGTCTTCCACTACAATATTTCATCAACCCATCCATCACTAGCTAACTATTAGACAATTTGACCATGTGTTTCTCAACAAGTGTATTCCCCAACTCAAATCCTTTGTCTTCTCATTTTGCTGACTCTACCAAACTTTCATTCCCGCCTAAGATACCATTTCCAGCATGGGTCAAAAACAAACACATTCTATCTCTAACACTTCTCAACATAGCATTTGGGTATAGCATATACTCTATCTACACTGTGTGCGTGTAATGCATTGCAGTGGATGGTCAAGCTTGGGGGGAGAGGGGATTAAGAACTCTGATAAGAAGTTGTGTTCACATTGAACGTACTGCCATATCCTAATAACACACTAGTATTGTACACATGGTGCGTCCACACTCACTCATACCATAATACTGAAAGTTAAAGATAATCTGGACTTGAACAACTCATTTCGCTATTCAAACTGTATCTAACTCGAACTAGAATATATAACAATGTGCTTTGGCATAATGCATAGTAAATGGCACATGTCCTTGGCTAAGAATATATATATACACATGAATATCGAGCAAAAGACAAATATACTGACAGTAATAAAGTATATTCTCTTCTCAAAACTTACTTAAAATGTTGTCTAAATCAAACAACATAATCATCAATCTCACACACACGATAATACTTTCCTATCATTTCTACAAGTGATTACTATGTTCATCAATGACATTATCTCTCCCCACATGGCATTTCTCATATTTCCTCTCATAGTCCACATGTCATATAATCCAACAAGTCATTGGCAAAGATCATTAATATCTCTTTTTACACAGTAATACAAGATATGTGAATAGTGAAGCTAATAGTTTAGAAATACACATATTATGAACAACAAGAATATAACACAATTGAATAATATAAGATTCTTTCTTACCTATTAAAGGAAGACAAAATAAGAAAGGTGTTGACTATAGGATGCATGGCAAAAACAAAGTGAGAAGCCACTCCTGGTATCCCAGCTGGTGTGTTTAGGTTAGTTGTGGGTGAGGCCACTCTCGCAGGAGGGGGTACCTAATCAACTAAGAGGAGGGACTGTGGGGGCTAGAAATATACTCGTGTCATACATAATAAGTCAAAGATACACAAAAAAATAGGGGGGGGGGGGTATTCTGTGGGGCTCCACATATACAAGCTTGCAATAGCCTATATATGATTAGCTAGATTACACAGGCTTTTAAAACACAAAGTAAATGTATATCATAGTGTATACACACCATGATGGGAAGACTGTGCACATACATGTATGGCGCTCATTTGTATTCAAAATAATAAAATATTATAACATTATAATATCAAACCATACAGGCTAATCTAGCCCCTTCCCAAACCCTTAATCTTGCGTCTACATGGCACTACCCCGATGCATTCTGCTATGTAGGTGATGTATGATCTACGAATGGGTGACGCTAATCACATTTCCTGTGTCGTCATGTTGTCTATTATTGCCTAAGAATAGACTACTCGGTACCCAGACAACCACAGCCTGCTCGACATAAAACATTAATTGATCTTGAAGACTCTGTTACTCATGAAGAATGTCATACCTACTGGAATGTACATATACCGTAGGCAGAAACACAATGGTTGTTTAATCCCACTTGTCCAATGTTTTAAATGTTTTAAATGTAATATGGATGGCCACAGCTGGGCAAATTTACAATGAAAAAAACAATCAAACTCTGAGGGAAAAATGCTCAACAAATCTGCTCTAGCCCTTACTCTGTTTTTCTTCTCTCTTTAAATTAACAAATCTTGGTCTACATCCTTATTTAAGGGGGAAAAAACCACACCCCCCCCCCCAAACAATTGTTTTTTGATCTTTTTGGACTATTGTTTGGAGTTTAAATCATCTTTGTGAGTAGATCCTCAATGTAATGGACTTTGTTTTGTACATTGTACATAAATGACAAGAGGCTAAAGAAATGTCATATGTCTCTATAAATGAAACCTGGCTTGAAAACACAACTGAATTCAAATTGCAGGAACAATCAATATAATGTATTCTTCTTGTTCTGGACAGCAAAACAACATTTTAATGAGAAGATTTTTTCATTACTCCAAGAGCATTATTATTCACTTGGTATACTTAGATATATTGAGTAAACTGACAAGACATTGTAGAATGCAAGCAGTTTGGATTTGCACGATATGTCAAAGCAATAATTTAAGGTTCTTTTTTTCTCTGTACATTACTTGTCATGGACAGTTATGCGATTTATGTGAATAGCAATACATACAATGTAAAGACTTGCATATTACACATATTAGTGTCAAACACTTAAGGCCGTGATACACCTACATGTATTATGTATGAAGGTCATAGAAATTTATACTGGTGGTTAAAAAAATGAGCATTCATTATTGAGTTATGAAGGTTTTAACTTTCATAAGTTTGTTGGCACAAACCAGGAATCATTAATATGATGTACCTGCATTTTGTCTGGCATCAACATTGAAATATATAAGCCTACTACCCTTTCAAACTTTTGAGTAAAAGTACAGTGACTTTTAGTACACAGTTCATTTTCTTTCACTAATGCAATGTCAAGCTTCCATAAGCAACCAACATACCCCACATGTATTCATGGACATTGTGAATGGAATTGAAAAGGAAAAATATACATGAAATGGCAGAGAATAGAAGTATACTGGTATTTCCCCCAAATGCCTGTGGGAGCAAACCATTCATATACCATGTGGAATATACTGAAAATGAGTTAAAGGACATAGCATTTCAATTAATACATAGACATACATCAATTACATGTATATTTATTGCCACAAGTGGCACATTATTTCCATATTTACAAACATGTTTACAAAAATTACACTTCATCTTTAAAAAATATATAAAACTATGAACTTATTAAATTTAAACACAGGATATCATAATTGAAGAATCATCAATTAGTATTGATACAAAGATCAGAAAAGAAAAGGAAATGCACAAAGACTAAGAAAATAAAAGAATTCCGATGAAATAATGTACAAGTTTCAATATAACATCCCCAAACTAAATGTAAACCATTTTAAAGAAACAATGCAATTTTAAAATATGTTAGTAAAATCTAAAGACAAATCTGTGAAGAAGAAAGCAAGGTGCAACAATTTGAAAATAAGATGATGATATAGTGTCTAAATAAAGATTTCCTTGTTTGACACAGACTTTGCCTGAAAATTTATAAACTACAAATTTATGTTGAGATGTATTAAGTAGGCGGAAGCGAAGGGATGACTTAGAAATATTTGTTTGATAATGCTGAGGAAATCTTTGTTCATATCATTTCTCACAAATCGTGACTTTACCTCAAGAACAAGGCTATAATCAAATGCAATATTCTCAATCTTCACATAAATTAGAATTAAAACCATGATAGATTAGAAACACACACCTTTTGATAACATGTCATTATATATTACTATAAATATTCACTTGTTGCACTTATTCTTTTCTCTTCAGTTTAAGGCAAAAATAACATCATTAAACTGAAGGAAATCAAGCAAACCATGATCATCATTCCTGGTCAATACATGTTTTCTGATTTGTGACTGTTTCCACTTAGAGATGTTTACCATGAACTTGTTATGATGCACCGACCATCTGTTCTGAAATGCAAATAGTTGACTGTGTGTACAGTGTTCTTCAAATGTTCTTGAAATGACATGTTGTTTTTGATTAACTCACATTTGGTGAGCCGGTATTGCATTGTGCAATGCCAATGGCATTTAAATGTGACATCACTTGAGACATGTAGGAAAGTTATGAAAAACACAGTAACAGATTGAGACAATAGAAAAGTGTTACTAAACATCGCTTACCGGTAAAACAAATAGAGAGATAAGTACTTGGCTATGAGTACAGGCAAACAAAAAACAAGTCTTTTATAAACAAATTTCACATGCTTAAGCTACATATTACGTAAAAGAAATTTTTTACAGCCATTATACATTCAGATTTATGCATTTACATGAGTGTAGAAAGACCAATTAAAAAGAAACAAGAAATGAGGTTTTTATATACACGTGGTCACTGTTAAAGGCAGGTCTGACTGAGAAAGATAATGAAAGAAAAGCAGTTGATTTCAGCAGCTTTGACTGCACACAAATCTTACTTTAAATTTGTTCAGATAAGGAAGCAGAAATGTAGCTAGTCTGAATGATCTCATACAAACAAGCGCATAGGGACTTTCTTTGTGTTAGTGATATGCACTATACAAATAACATTCATTATTATTATTATTATTAAACAAACATGACCACAACCTTGCCAATTTGACTACCAAATTCCTACAAAGATTCAATACCAATAATCTCAACATACTGTATGGCTCCATGTGATCAACAACACTATGCAAATACAAAGAATGTAATACTGAGATTGTAATACACCCATTTATGGACCTCAGTAATATAAATCATTTCCAGACATCAGCATGTATCTCTGTTTAAAAATTTGCAGGGCATTATCTGGCTGAGGAATAACATGGCTGCGATGGTTCAGTGATCCTGTTCTGTATATATTTTTTCTTCAAACAACATGATTTCTCCCGACATGAGCAAGAACCCCCCAGTTACCTTTATTCCAAACACACGCACAAACAATGTACTGAACAATGGCTTGTGCATGAATGAGTATCTAGCAGACATAACATAATATCATGCTGGCTTTTCAACAAAAGAAATCCTGTGTCTATTTGCCTACCAGAGGCAACAGGAGTTTTCACCCATTAACTGTACAGGTGTGGCCCTCATGATACAGCTTTACACTGCTAACTTTGAGGGATGTGATGTACTGAACTTCAATTTGAATCCCTGACCCAAATTTCTTCATGAAAATGATCAACAAAAAGACTATAAAATTACACACCATGACAAAAAAGAAAAGAAGGAAAGATAAGAGTAATGTTCAGCAACCTATTCATGAGTTCTGAAACTCTGCTGGTGATCGTAAGGATGTGTGGTCTGTGGTTTGTTGCGCTCGTTGTTCATCTAAGGTTGGCGTGGCTGATATTGTATAGTGGGGTGGTGGAGGGGATGATGGGGCAGGAGGGGGAGGGTAACAGGATTGAGTGGTATCTGTTACCGGCATCGATGATGGTGGTGGTGCTGATGGTGATGATGGCATAGGCACTGTGGTAATCTCTGAGGCACTGCGACCTGAGGAAGGAACAGGACAGAGAAGGAAAACATAACAGGATTAGAAACCTGCAATTCTGACTGAACGAACAATATTCAACCGAATCTGCTCATGTAAATATGAACATGACTTGTGTTGTATTTCAAGGGTAGGCTTAAACAAGTTACGGTATTACCAACATTGGATCTAGAGTATAGATCCATGTATGTCTGTCCATCTGCCTTTGTCTTTTCTGTCTGTCTATATTCCTATATTACTATACGGTATATGTGTTAATCTTTTACTCTCTGACCACTGTGGAAGTCCATAAGAATTTTTGAAATTATAATATGAAAATTACTACACAAAAATGAACATCATTACTATTACTACTATTTTATTTCTAGCTCTTGCATAAAATATTAATTATACATCTTTTTTCTATTAATTCATCTACAATGTATAAAATTCATCTTTCATATCTAATCTCCTTAACTTCTACTTATTTTTTTTTCTTCATTATAATCCAGTGTTGAAGTCAAGACCAGGGCCCCATAACATAAAGCTTAGCCGTTGATTGCAGATATTGATCAATGCAATCATTCTCAAAAATCAATTGTTCGATCAATCGCTGAGCTTTTTGTTACGGGGTCCAGGGGTCCCGAGACAAGGAATTAGAAGAAAAACCTAAGATTACATTCATTTCATAAGAAACCATAGATTTGAGACCCAGATTGGTGTTGGCCGGCCCCATCACTGTTTATATAAACATACCTGTTTCAGTAGGGGTTGGGTTCACATATGGTGGAGGTAGATCCTCATATTTGGGTAGCTTCCATTCAGTGCTTTGTCCCATGCCTCCTATTATACCTGCGTATGGAGGAGGTTCAGGGAAAGCCCCTACTGGAGCGTCTCCGGTCATGACGTGGGGGTAGGCAGGTCTCTCCTCAAAGCCTTGGTTCTCACTGTGCTGGAGTGTGTCTGCATGGGCTAGGATCTAGAGCAAGAATAGAACAAGAAAGATGCATTAAGTATGAGTTATTTTATACTTTTAATGATGAGAAGCTTTCATACATGTACAAGTAACAGGCCTAATATATATTTATGTAGCAACTGCAGACGTTTACTTACTCCTGGTTTGTGCATTGTTATACATACAGACATAATGCTAACAAATTGTTTTAAAGCAAACATCATCTATCGTTACTTGCAATATTTTGAAATCAATAATACAATGACTTGCACCTTTTCAGACAATACCTAAATGTAAATAGAGGGTTTAAAAACACTGGAAAAACTACTGTACATCATCAACAACATTGCAAATCTGGGTAACATTTAGTGGGCGTGCATTGCTGCTAATCTGAATCCCAAAGTGATCCATATTTCACATGAACATTCTCCCACTTTCATTTGATTTGTGATTATTACATTGGACTCTGGTTTTAGGAATGACTCCTGGCAGTTTTCCAATGTGACTCACAGAGGAATGAGAGGATGCAATATTAATACAGAGTAAACTTTGCAACAGTTGATTTAATAAAAGTTTGGCTGTCACATCTTAGGGAAAGAAAACAATAGGGGAGGGTATCAACATGTGCTAGACCCTCCCATAATTACATGTAAGTTACACATGCGTTTAGTAGGAAGGAAACATAGATCTGCCATAAATGTATATCAACAACCATTATATTTTCCCTTGCCAAAATGAAACAATCATGTTCATGTACATGTATCTGTACAGTGTACAGTACGTCTCTCAAACTGATATAGTTTTATTGAGAATCTATAGGAAATTGATTTGTCCTGGATGCCAGACTAGTAGGTGCGTGGTAAGATTGAGTCAGGATGCAGCTGTCTTAGGATCTCTGTCTCATATCCAATGTGTTTGGAGTGGCAGGTTATTAAACCTTACCATTTATATATCATCTTCATGAACTAGTAAAGCACATGTTGTACAACATTATAGCACTGCATGCATACATGTATTCGTTCCCATATTACACACAATTTCTTTACATTAAAAAATTCCACACCAGGATATAGGACTACTAAAAAATGTACCGGTAGTACATGTATATCAAATAAATTGAGATCGAGCTTCAACACGAACATGTTTGCATAAAATTTGGATCTTGTGTTTGAACGTGCTGTCCACTTATGGGATTCATTTCGTGAGCCAAGCTTTTCGTGAGCCAAGCTTTCCTGAAGGTTGAGAATCTCCTGACAATATAACTTCCTTACCAAACTGGGTGGCCACTAAATGAATGGCCGCTTGCCAAGAATGGTAAATTAGCAGAAACTATTTTGGACTTGGAGTAAATGACACATCCTGAAAATAAAATCTAAGAAAGGGAAGTATTGTATCATGTCTTCACAACCCCATTTTCTCCCCCTATTAGTTGCACTCTTCATATTTAATACTATCGTCGGGATAACTTTGTACAACCATTTCTTTATAATTAATGTGATCCTCAGGTTTATATTGTAAATTTGTCTGAACATTCTGTTTGCTGATGTTATTGTTGTTGTTGTTGTTGTTGGGCATGTATGGATCTATGATCATACCTCAGACAAATACCTCAATGTTGACTAATAATTAATTACAGTAAATCACATCTACACTGAAGGGGACAAATTTTATAATCAGTTAATCACCGTCAGAAATACACAACTCAGAATTGCAATACAAGATAACATGTACAAGGTATCAAACTGTAATACATTGACATACATTTGTGAATAGATAGTAGCTGGGGCAAACCTATAACATCTCAGGTTATAGTAAAATGTTAATTTATGCATATTGTCATTGATTTTAACAACAAACACTCTAAAAAAAGGTATTTGCAATTTTGCATGTAAATTATGTGTGTGCCAAGAAACTACAATGAGAAGTATAGTAGAATCTGCTCTATATCTGTGGCATGAGAATCTTCACATGCCTAGGAAACTGTTGGGGTGTACCCACAATTAAATTTGGAGGGAAAGTAATCAAGGCGTAATCTAAACGGTGCAGCTGTTGTCTGTCCTCATGATCGTTAATAATTATAACCTCCCTATTGCGATTGGTAAGACACACACAAGGAGAGTACAAGAATGAATGGGCCGGGACACACCTTGACACATTCAAAGACATTTACATGTCATTATGCATCGCAAGAATACTCAAAATACTCAGATTACTACTTAAATAATCAGTATCACTTTCATAAAAGAGCATTTAGTGACATTTTTTGTCCGTGGATTTAAGCCAGACTTTGAAGCTTGGAACCAAATCTACATTCATTAAGCTTTGTGCATGTAAAACAATAGACATATACTTCATGTGTAACGGTACATGTACATGAAAGCCTACAGTGCTTCTGAATTGACTTTATTATAATAAAAAGTATGAAAATATTTATTGACCATGTCGTAAATGAATATATATAAGTTATACATCATATACTCTATACTTTAGTGGGGGAGGGGGAGGAGGAGGGGGAGGAGGAGGGGGAGGAGGAAAGGGAGGGGAAGGGGGAGGAGGGGGAGGAGGGAAGGTACATGTGCATGTTTAATAATGTGCTGTATCGGAAATTTAATTATTTCAATTTTCTGGATTCTCTCTTTAACTTGGTGCTCTTGTGAGTCCTCATGCACAATTGAATATTTCCTGAGGGCAATAATACTTGCCCTCTAATGTCAAAATGAAGTGTAAGGACTTCAATTAAATTGAGATCCATAATAAGCTGCCCCTGAGGACAGACTCGGATTTAGGGCTGATAGAATCACTGCCAAAAATGATTTAGGTGAGAAGATGAAGTGAGAGAGACGTAAATAGAAACCTGGTGATTGTAAACTTGAATGAGCTACATCCTTCTATGCCTGTACACATGCATGTGGAATGTCTTTTCATGTTTATAGTGCACATTCACAACATTATTTCTAGTTACATGTACAGTACTTGCTCGTGACTTATAAGGGAAAAGGCTTAAAGGATCCGGTAACTTTGTCTCAGATTCTGAAATAAAATTCTGGATTTAGCTCATGATGCAATGATAATTATAAACCTTTAGGTCAGTCAGGAACCCCATGACTTTTACAAAACGATCGCCTGTCTGATTATCAAGATATTTATGATTGGAATTACAAATTTTGAAAACCGTTCGCCTGACGGTTTTCATAACACTACAGTCTATTGGGGAAAACGAGTATGATAAAACCGGTCACTCAAAGATTTTTACTTTTTTGAGGCACTTCTTGATCATTTTGAAGCGCAATTTTTTTAGGGCTTCAATATTACACCATATCACAGACACTGATAACACATAGGGCCATGTATCTCAGATTTAACATTGTTAAACGATCCCTTTAATGCAATTCTCAACTACCAAGTCAATCCTGGCTGGTACTGGTTAGTTGATTAAAAATATAAAAAAATTGACCAAGAAAGGTTTTGGAAAGAATCTGATGAAGAATAAAAACACTATAAAGTTCAAAGTCTTGAAGAGAAAATAGAACAAAACGAATTGGCAACCACAATACAGGAAAATTACCTACAAAAAAATGCAGTTGTGGTTTTTTTTGCAAACTACTCTCTGTTTCAGACAATTTTTTTGTTTAATGCTGTGATTCTTCATTCTCCATAAAAGATTACATTCAAAATTCAAGAAGGACCTACATGTACATGTATATTTATGTTTCCATATATGGGTACCGGTATGTTTTTTTAAACACTTTTTTCAAAAGGGAAATTTAATATTATCTGCAAAACAAAATATTTTGAATAGTGTAAAAAGTGGTTGAAGTTGTGGGAGACCTCTGGTATTTAAAGAAGATCTCTCTCTCTCTCTCTCTAAGTGCCATATCGTTTGACTTTGGCGATCATGCTGTTCCACAACCCTCAGTTCCTAGCCTTCTGTATTAGCACCACTCCCAGTTCTTTCACTCCTCTCTATTCCAACAATTTCTGCAGACTGTCCATCCACAGTATCCTCCTTCTTCCCCTACTCCTTCTTCCCACAATTTTCCCTGTCAAAGCAAGATTCTCTAGGCCTTCTTTACGTGTAATGTGACCCATGAACTTCAACTGCCTAATCAACATCTCACGTATCATTTTCCTTTGCACTCCAGCTCGTGTAAGAACTTCCTCATTACTAACTCTGTCAGTCCAGGGGATTTTCATCATTCTTCTTAAAAACCACATTTCGCAACTTTCCAAACGCTTTTTAGTATCAGAGGCTAAAGTCCACGTTTCACTGCCATACATAAGTACTGGGTATATATGTAACAATTCAATACTCTTATTCTGGTCCTCATACTCATTGTTCGATTTGTCAGAATTTTGCCTAGCTTTGAAAATGCAAATTTAGCGAGAGCTATCCTTCTCTTAAAGAAGATATATGACATTTATCTGTCAGGAAGAGCTTTCTTCAACAAAGAGCTTCTTCTTCAAACAAGCAGAAAAGAAATGAAATCTTTATCATACACTGTGATTGAATTGAATGTACAGTACATGTACAGTAAGATTCAAATCAATGTCTTCAATAACTTCAATAATCAATGCAATATTCCCTATCACTCAGAGGAATATTTTCCCTTTGTCCATCACTACATTACATGTGTATTTGTAGAGTGTGTGTAGTTGTGTACATGAAGCCAATATTTCTGAAAGATCAAATAATATGAACATCGTAGCTCAGACATTGAATAGCCAGTATAATAAGCCTACAATTGAAAGAAGGTTCTCAGTGGATATGAGGAATTCCATTCTTTGTTCGGGTATTGGTTTGATGTTTGATCTGATCCTTTCTACAGGTATCAAAAGAAGCAATCTAATATTTGTTCTGCACAAAATTGAAAATATATTACTTGCTGTATGTTGCTCACAAAATAGACCCTCTATGGCCTTCTACACAATACAATAGACCCTGGAATGAAGACCCTACATGGATATCTTTTGTGTGGAGTAATCTGACTTCATCTTTACTAGGCAGGTGTCTTCTGTTTATTATATCTATGACGTTGAGTCATAAACACTGACAACATGAGATTTATCCACAGAAACACAGCCTAGCTGCCATGCACCAGCTAATTAGAGAATGACGTCATGCACTAGTGAGAAATCCTTTGTACAGTATGTTATGAGACCAGATTTAAAACAAAGAGGCGCTATGTATTGTGACAATGATCTCCAAGTTTGGAAGCGCTTAGTGATTGTAATAAGCGCTATATAAAAACTGAGTATCATTATTATTATTATTATTAATAATAATGGACTAGGTACATGTAAATTGGTACTGTAAAATCTGATTTGTCATTATCGCTGGACAAAATTGATGTAGGATTTATTAATTTTGGTGACAAGAGGAATGGGCGTGTGATGTGGTAGGGGTGTGATATACAATGTAGTTGGATTTGGGTGTATTAGGGGAGTGGTTGGATGGGATGGGGGGAGGGGGGCATTTCAATACTGTCATATATCAGTGCAATATTATGTCCATGTGCATATAATTGCCAATGGCTGTATGACTTTTACTATATCAAATATAAAAGCTCGAACAATCTAGTTTCATTCTCTTATAGTTTGGGGCAGGTCCTGACAGGAGATTACAGCATGTACATATACATAGAAGTGATAGGGGAAGAGGGGGTGGGGGAGGGGGGGTGGGACACGTCTGTGTACAGTAGTCGAAGAAAATTATGTTCTCTTTTGCTTCTTGTGATCCCACCTAGAGTTACATGTTAAGATTATATTTCAATTAATGACTTGATTTTTGTTTTGACTATGTAGAAGGTTTTCCTGAAAAAATATTTTACACCAGCTTGCCTCAACCTCAAAAGTTGATTTGTTTATCTAGGAATATACATGGCAGTGTATCGGTTCCTTTCTAACCTGGGAAAAATTGCATCACTAAAATTGCTCCCCTTCATCATTATGTAAAGTACATACATGTACATAAAATCAGCAGAAAACCCTCTTTTCAACAGGAAATCTGTAATGAAACCTTTCTCATCTGGATTTATCTATAACAAGATGCGAAACCTACACTAAGCCCACAACTGTGTAGGAATGGTAGATCGGTGTCACATATAATTAGATTGTGTGTCATTTATTTAACTGGACCTCTTTGTAATACTTCCGTAGTCGGAGCATCATGTGAAATATTCATCATAATAACAATTACACTGCAAGTCATTGATCCTCTTTTGTAGATGGGATGTAACAACATTATTTTAAGTGATTCACCATAGCTCAGTCTACACAGGTAACAATGTGTAGGATATGCTACAGTATGTTTAACATGTAAGTTCCATCATATCTGTCATTGCGCACTCATAATCATTTTAAAACTTTTTTTCCTTTGGCAAGGGGAGGAGGTGATGTCTGCTCCATGTACTTTGTAGTAATTTTAAAACCTTTTTTTCCCCGACTTCATACCACAAATTTTATTTTGGGGCTATAACACCCTGTCCATGTACATGTACACACATTCCATTTTACTTCACTACATGTACACATATAGACTCTGCAATCTTTCCAGAATACATGTCATAACTAACATCTGTCACTCCATTGATTCTCAACACATCAAATAACAAACATACCATGTAGCTGGGAAAAGTTATACAAGTCATAATAATGGCTCTAGGGAAAATCAAATAAATACAATCTTGACAACCCTAATCCCCATCCCCCCCCCCAAAAAAAAAAAAAAAAAAAATTACAATAATAATAATAATAATGATAATACTTTTTCTGCTGAGACTCCCACAAGTCTTCCACGAATGACAAATACATGGATTTATATTTTCTCATGGAATAACATTGAACTTTGATTTAAGGTAAAGACCAGTTTTGGAAATGCGCCCCTCTCAAACATTAAAATGGAAGCTCTTATTACCAATCATGTGAAGAAAAAAAAAATCTTTACTAATATGTGATGATACAAATTTTGCCAAGAAACCGCCTACTAATTGATATATTTGGTAAATTATTATATCTATTTGGACCTGATACATGTAGATATAACACATGTGTCGTGTGTGGGGGTAGTCCCATATACATCTTTCTGTGTACAATACTTGTAACTTTATCAAGACTGGGCCAAATTTCTTATCATTTTGATGATTCCAGAACCTTGCAGTACACACCAATACTTATATGCTAGATGATGAACCTTTTCTGATCAATTCCACAACGTTTCTTTCACAATGCAATCGCATCTTTAAAGATGACCCACCTGTCTGTCCTCTCGTCTGCTTCTACCCCGTGATGAGCGTCCCGTTACCACGGCTCGTCTTGTGGTTCCGTCTGGCATTACAATGTGAACCTCCCTAGCTAGTGCAGCTCGACGTCGCATGTGATACCAGCAGAAGTAGAGACCAAGCTTTAGGAATAGGGCTACTACAACCAATCTATAAAGAGAGACAATGAAATAGTTATTTCCATTTATTTTATATATGTATAGTACATGTACCTCAACCTGTTTTAAATTTCCAATGAATATTTGGTACAAACTATAAACCTTTGAATACAGAATCACCACAAGTTCTGTTTATAGATCTTAGCAAAAGCCGTTCATTTTGCTTAACTTTAATTTTTCTTGAAAAATGAGATATTAAATAATATGTTTAGTGAATTCTGTGGTTCTGCCTCTTTTTGACATGTTGCATTAAACAGTTCAGACATTTTAAAACAAAACTGATCGCACAACATTTAAAGTACACATGCTTTAATTGACATCTACATGTATTAACATTTTTTTTTCTTCTTAAATCATCCCTTTAATGTTCAAGGATGAATTCATATTTTGTATAAGATTAAAAATCATTTTCAGGAGAAACTATACATGTACATAATAGTATGCAACCTGTACCAGCCAAGAAAACACTGCCAATTTCTTGACAACAAAATTTTCCTTAGCAGTGATTACATGTACATACCCTGTACATGTACATGTGTGTATTGCTCTAACAAAAATGTGAAAATCATTGCAGACAATTAGCAAATAGACCGTTTGCACAGATGTATTTTCTTCCTTTAATAATGTCATACCATGGACTTACTAGTTGACAACTAAAGTCCATGGTCATACTAACTCATGCATGCACACATCACACAACTATGCACATGTATACCCTATATTTACACAAAAAGTTTATCATGGACAGGTGTTGTGTACATTGTAAGTTCTACATGAACAAATCTGACATGTACATACAGGTTTGAGTTAAAGCAAGAAGTAGAGAGAGGTTTCCCTATTAGTCTTACAAATGGAGGTTCAAATTACCTATTACCAGGTTGAATATCTTGAAGAGGAAATTTAATCATATCCTATTGGACCCATTCCAGACATCACTATCCTGGTATTTGCTTCTCTATCTCCTGACCACACACTTCACATCTACTTTCACACCTCACATGTATACTATACAATTAAACATGTAGTGTCCTTGTACAATGTATTAATGTAATGAATAGAAAGTCCATATTTTATGTGCACTGTGTTTGGGTATTTGTACACAGACATACATGTACAAATAGTAAGATTCTGTGAAATTATATCCTGTTTACATGTAACATACTGTACAGGAGTTTTTGTCTTTCAGATATTTCTTCCATCAAAAATGAAAAGAGAGAAAAGCATAGACATTATCTAATGTTTTTATTGGTTATCACTACAAAGAGTCAGTGTATCAATAGATTTCTTTATTTTAAAATTTCAATGAGATTATAATTTTTTTTTTTTTTTTTAAATTTACATGAAAGTTGTATAAGTACCATTGATGTCATTGCCCAGTAGTGAGGCAGTGAAAGAGTTAATTCCCAAACCAACTATGTACATGCACTCCCTAAGATTGCCATAAAACGTTTTAATTAATCCCGAAAAAATACAATGTACAAACGTTATTTCATCTACAGCCATAACCAGCAATCTTGATTTTATAGCTCTAACAGTAATTATAAATTCAGTTATGCAGCAATGCCCTTTAGGGTATCTACAAGTATTCAAAGAGTATTAATATACTCCGATTATAGTCATAACAAACTACACACATAGATTATTGTACGCAATCCGCCATTTCGAACAATGCAGAATTAAGTTAATTTAACAGAACAATTTCTATCCTGGCTTTTTGGGCCTGTAAGGATATGTTTTTACTATGTAAGTATTATAAGACCATATTTTTAAGCTGCTTCCCTCAAATGACTCTCTCTTCCTAGCAGCACCCGTTATCATTTTATTTTACAACCAGACAAGAATTATTTTCTATATACATTTCTATCTCCCATATGTCAGGTACTTGTGTGCACAGTCATTTGTATTTTTTATGATGATGCCAGCATCCGACATATTTGTAAATAAGGAACTACAGATTGATTTCCTGAACAAAAATGATGTTTTTTTTTTAACTCTTAATCAATACTGTAAACATTTCTACACAACTTTTAAAAATGAAATTACTTCTGATAAAAGATGCTTCATATTTCCTTGTGCAATCATAGATGAACAATCTTTGTGTGATATGAGACAGTGGCCATTTGTTCAGGAAGGAGCTAAATATATATATGGCAAAAAATACAAACAAAATGGTGGTTAGGGTTCACCGGTTCAGAAAATAGAGAACATTTAAATTGCAGAAAGATAGAAAGGCCTTGGAAACCACATTATTGCACACAGAAAGTCAAACCAATATTCAGAGCAAATTGTAATACTCACATGTAAAAATAATACTCCATGTTTGTTGACCTCTTTTTTCCTCAGAAAATGAAGTCCTAATCACAATCTGGTTAATGACTTTTGTTCCTCTATCTCTCTCTCTCACTGATTGTCAAAAGAGGTAATCCAACTTAATCCAAGCGTCTCCTTAATTCGTCACTTGTTTCCTGTGATAGAGAGAAAAGGAGAGTAAGATAGAGAAATGGAGGCATGCAGTGTGAAGGTGAGAAGATAAACAGAGAGAGAGAGAGACAGACAGAAACAGAGACAGAGAGAGACAGAGAGAGACAGAGAGAGACAGAGAGAGAGATAGAGACAGAGAGGGGAGAGAGGGGGTAGAGGGGGAGAGAGAGAGAGAGAGATATATAGATAGATAGTACATGTAAGTAGATAGAGAGATAGGGATAAAGAGAGAGAGAGAGAGATGGGGGGGGGGCAGAGAGAATTTAAAGAGGAACCAAGAGAGGGGAACACAGGAAAAACAGAGGGGGAGGTGATACATTGTAAATACATCACAATAATGATAACATGAACCGACATGTGATCTACATGTACTTTGGCATGGCAAAATAAAACATACAGTATAGAATCAACATTGTAATCTCATTTTAGAACAAGAAAGGCAGAGCTGCCAAAAACAAAAAAAGGAACCATGATGGTAAAAAAAAAGGCTTCATATAGGGCATCTCTGTATCTGTATTGCACTGCACATGAATGCAATGGTCAGTAGAACACAAGAGTGATTGAAAAAAAAAAAGACGTTATCAAGGGTAGAGACTCTCTAGTTTGTACAGTACAGGAATGTGTCTGGCTTTGCAAACATTGGAAGTAGATAGATTATATAAACATGTCCCTTGTTCTGTAATTTTTAAACATATTATTTCAGTGGATATCTGTTTTTGTATTCAAAACCTCGATGCTGAGTTCACGATAACAATAACAGCGATTAGTTTAGTACATTTTGGCACACGCTCAGAGTTCGCTGAATTTAGCAAACTCCCTACATGTACATGCGCCTTTTTACACCAATTGCTATTGTTGTGAAGTAACAATTTGCAACGCAAAAAGTTTTTTTTGCGTACATTGCACGCGTTTGCGGCCAATTCATCATGACCTCTACTAGTAGGGAGGCCAATGCCCAAATCTAACTTTTTAATTACTAATTTGTTTATACTAAAACTAAGATTAAAAGAAAGCATTTACTTTCACTAAGAAAATCCACCCATCTGCCGACTCCATAGGTTCCATCAAATAGGAGATATCCAGCTGGTTTGTAGCCATTTCCTTCTACGCCTTTCCGTACGTAAGAGCCTTGAAACAATTATATTTCATGTCGCAAAGTTACGTTCATAATTAGACAGGCCCGAGGGACAAAGTTCATGATGAAGTTTAAAACTTCGCGCGAAAGTGCAATCACTCAACAGCGGCTAGCCTTGAATCGGTCGCACACGTACACACCTTCTTCTTAAGTTGATCCCTCCACCGACACAGGCAAGCCCCGATGCAGGCTGAAGTCCAGCCATCAATGTGCGAACGATTACATCTTCTACTACTACGAGGCGAAGACGATGGTTCAAAAAAGGAAAGAAATATATATAATTCATTGATATTTACCTTAGATGTGTATTCCAATAATTTGATTTCCTCATGAGTATTCCTTATTATCAACGATCGAGAAGTTACGAGGTCCAATTAAAATCCATCTTGCAGCGAACACAATCATAGCGCACATCCATGCATGCAACGTACGTGTACTAATATTTCTCTCTCTCTCTCTCTCTCTCCCTTTCGCTATACGTAACATACACACTCACTAACCATGTATCATACAACACACACATTCAAATCATGGCTTTCATTTCAATTCTCAATTGGAGTATAGACTGCTCACGTAGACTTTTTTTTTTACTGAAATATCTTTTTTAACACTTCTCATACATTACTGCACGACACTCGTATCTAGTGCTGTGAGAATAAGGTACTAGGGTCTATAAATAAGACTACGCCTTTGCGCACGATCTGACCGGAGCTCAGATTATGTCGCAATACCCTTTATTTTTGGCGCGAACAATGACGTCACTGTTCACTGTTTTCCTTCTCATTTTGAGATGGATGTAGCTATAGGGCTCAAACCAACGCAAGATTGACAGAAACATCGTACTCTATCTGCTTTCGAATGTTCAGTTTGTAAAAATCTGTATTTAAAAAGATACAATCTTTTTTCTTTATATTTTCTAGTTGTTAGAAGTGGCAATTGTGAACATCTGAAATGTTGATCTCTATCAAAAGTTCTTTACTCAAAACGGATCCCATATTTTTAGGGTCTACCTTCTGCCAATGAGAAGGTTTTTAGTGAGCAAACCTCTACGCCCTCTAGGATTTTCTTAGTCGGTGGTGCGAGTGCGTCAAGGTCGTCTGCAACCACAATTATTGGATTAAAAAACGTCAAAATCTGCAAGATTGTCAACAAATGGTGAAAGACTGTTACAGATCCGTGATTATAGGTATGTTGTGAAATGTATAATTGTATTTTCTTTTCATATTTTCTTCAATTTTTATTTTTACATCATTTTTTTCCCTTTGCTAATTTTTTGAAGTGGGCGACGAGCGCACAAATCGTAGGTGTAGAAGCCTTACGCCCGGGCATTGGCCTCCCTACTACTAGTCTTGTCAGAGGTTAGTATTTTCGTAATATAAATTATATGTTAGCTCATTGGCATTAGGACTATGTGAAAGGTAAGCAAAGCAATTTCACTCCAGTAACAAATTAATTAAAAAAAAAAAAAAAAAAAGTGCTTTGTAGAGGAGTCCACTAGGCACTCTCTCTAAGACTAAGTGCCATAAAGCCCATATCGATTGACTTTGGACCATTGGTGATCATGCTGTTCCACAACCCTCGCCTCCTCCTACATCATGTAGCCTTCTCTATTAGCACCACTCCCAGTTTTTTCACTCCTCTCTCTTCTAACAATTTCTGCAGACTGTCCATCCAAAGTATCCTCCTTCCTCCTCTACTCCTCCTTCCCAATGAAAAATTCGCATAGGTCTAGATTCTATCTATCTCTCTCTGTTGTTGTCCTTCCACGACCCTCACTCAAACACACACACTGCACTGTGATCATGGTGATTGTCACGAAAATCTGAATGCTTCGGGGGGTGCCCGGGCCCCCACCCCTCGAAAAAAAAACGTGTTAAAAAATACGTTGACCACAATTTTATCTTTGTTATGCTCAAGGGGGGGGGGGGGGTGTTGAGCAAAAACAAAATTGCATACGATCGCCCTCGAAGCAGCTCCCGAAGTTGAAAATTCTGTATCGGTACGTTGAGTTGAAATAATGGTCTGCGCGATTTTCTCAAATTTCCGCCCCCCCCCCCCCCCCCCCCCCATTGGAAAATCATAGATTCGCGCCTGAATAGGAGGGTATCACATCATTACTAGATAATGACCTACATTATTTAAAAAGTCGATAGTTGCTCTTCATTCTCAAATATAACACATTCCGTTTTTTTTTAATCGTATTAAAGCTGAAAGTTGTTCTTTATACTCTCGTATGTGTCACGTACCGAACGTTCTGTCTAATTCTTACTGTTTCCTATTGAAGCTGAGGCTCAAACCAGCATATATAGTATAGGAAATGGACAACATATTGTTTTTAAGTGTGACATATCAACTAAAATAATGATGACTTACACCATTTTAAAGCTGAAAACTTGCTTGTTAGTATACATAGGCATATATATCACATGCCAAAAGTTGTTGTCTGAGTCTTATTGTTTCAGATTGTGAGCGAGCAATTTTAACAGTGAGGTCGCATTGCAAAAAAAAAATACATCTTATAGAGAGAAAATCTTAATCTTAGTGGATTTTTAAGCACAAATCATCATGGAAGAATGATTAATTATATCATCTATAAATGCGAACGAGCTTTTGGAGAAGTTGTAAAGAGTTGCTCTTGGTCGCTTTACATTAGGGGCACATGTTATGGAGAACAGGAAAACGAGGTACTTTTTAAAAGGGGAAAGAAAAATTATTAGAAAAGAAAGGAGCATAATGTCATAGTAAAAAGGGCAATAATCAGAAGTAAAAATTGGGTACTTGTTGCACCTGAAAGGGGCTCTCACCCCAGAGATGAAAAAAGAGGCACATAGAGAATGAAAAAGGGGTATTTGTCAAAATAAAAGGGGCGCCTATAAGATTTTAATGGGGCCATTTATTAGAGGCGAAGAGGGGCATTTACGAAAAAGAGAACAGGCTCTTAACAAAGGAAAAGGGTGAACTTGTCAGAAGGTAAATGGAAACTTGTCAGAAATTATCATAACAAAACTGAAAATAATTTAATAAGTTACAAACTTGTTTCAAATATAGGCTAGATGCGAGCAAGTGTAGTGAGCAAGCTTTGGGAGGAATTAAATAAAAATTGCTCCTAGTCGCTTTAAATTAGGGGAACATGTTATGGAGAAAGAAAAAGGTGGCACTTATTAGAGGGGTAAAAGACAATTATAAGAAAGGTAAAGGGGCGTGAGTAAAAGTAAAAGAAAGGGCAATTATCAGAGGTGAAAAGGGGCACTTCTCGCACCTTAGAAGGGGCACTCACAAGAAATGAAAAGGGGCATTTGTTAAAGGAAAAGAAGCACCTATCAGATTTTAATAGGGGTATAATTATGTTAAAAGTACAAAGGAGCATTTATGAGAAGGGGAAGGGGCTCTCATTAAAAATTAAAAGTGGTACTTATCAGAAGGAAAGGGGGCACGCATTAGAAAGTAACAGGAGGCACGTGCACAAATAAAAAGGGCACTTATCAACAGGGAGGGAACAATTCTCAATTACAAAGGAAAGGAAAAAAGGCACATGACAAAGTAAAATGGGCGTCCTTCAGATTTGAATAGGGGCAATAACCAGAGGTAAAGAGGGCACTAATCAGAGATGGTAGGGCGCACTTTTAAGAAAATGGAAGATCACCTACTAGAAAGAAAAAGGGGCATTTATCTGAAGTCAAATGGAGCCTTTTCCAATGTAAAAAGAGGCATTTTGAGCGTTCTTTAAAAAGTGGGAGGCATTGTGGCCCCCACAATTCCTAGAGCGCCACCTGTGGTCATGGAATTACAAGCTATCATTTGCACTCCAAGGTGGAACAGGTGCTACTACTACTAGTAATAATAATGAGACGAAAACAATTTGATGATGATGATGATGATGATGATACTAGTGATGATGATGATGATGATGATGCTGATGGTAATAATAATGATGATGATGGTAATGATGATGATGATGATAGTAATGATGATGATGATGATGGTGATGATGATGATGCTGATGGTAATAATAATGATGATAATAATAATGATAATAATAATAAGGAGAACAAGAACAAGAAATAATTAGAAGACATATACGGAGAGATGGAGAGAGAGAGAAAGGGGGGAGAGAGAGAGAGAGAGGGGAGAGAGAGAGAGAGAGAGAGAGAGAGAGAGAGAGGAAGAGAGAGACAGAGAGAGAGGGAGAGAGAGAGGGGGGAGAGAGAGAGAGAGAGAGAGAGAGAGAGATAGAGAGAGAGAGAGATGACATTCCTATTCCTTATGTATACAACCCCCCCCCCCCCAACCCCAACCCCAACTCCAATCCCGGTCATATCTCCTTTCTTCTATCTTATTTTATCGCGGTCATGAACTATCGAGTTGCGGATCTATAATTCTTTGGCTCTCAGGGGGGGGGGGGGGGGGGATCATACATTAGAAAATCTGTGAGAATAAGAAAAAATATAGAATCTTGAGTAGACCTACTGAAATAGCTATAGCCTGAGTTGGTACACTGCTATAATTGGTGGGGGCCAGGGGGCGTGTCCCGCGCAGTCCTGATTTGACACTATATTGAGGTTTAAAGTTTCAAGTCTTAATATATTGATACAAATAATCCCCAAGGGCGGATTATCATCAGACACGAACAACAATAATAATAATAATAGTGGGTTCTTGTATAGCGCTCATGTCAGTCAGATTTGACCCTCCTGGCGCTCCTGATTATTACCCTGGCTTTAGCGCGGCTGCCATACGGCGCTCTAGCATTACAAGGAATAAATTTCTTCCAGGAAAAAATATAAACATTGGTACACAATACATACACCTATAATTAGATATCAATTACATGGTCGTATTTGTTTGTCTCTACTAAGTCTTATGAAGTAATTTCTCTCTTTCTATATACCTTGTACACTTGTACACAGATACTACTTATGTCATAATGTACTAAATGAAATTCTCTTCCAAATTCAATAAAGATGAACACTAAGTCATGAGTTTTATCACTATCTTTAGACACCCTAATCTTTTAAATCTATGCCCCCCAGCCCCTCACTATATTAAACGCGTTGTATACACTATCTGTCTAGCGACCAATAGGGAGAAAACAATCAACCAATAACGCAGGTCCAAAGTCCAATCCAAAAGGAAAAAGAACATTTTGCACGTCTGGTGTGACGGTAATGGCGAAAATTTCTCAACGCCTCAGCCAGCCGCTGAATAAGCGGGAGGTGGGGGAGGGGGGGAGGGGGGGGGGGGGGGGGGGGGGGGGAGAGGGGGGGGGAGTAAGAGCACATTTTTTAAATTTTTGTTTCAATTTTAAAAATGAGGGGGGGGGGGGGTCTTCAAAAATCACACACGTTATCAACCCCCCCCCCCCCCCCCCCCGCTGCGTACGTGCCTGTGAGTAAGAGCGTATATTTGAATGCTCTCCGGGTGGGGGGGGGGGGGATACTCACATGTGGGGGTGTGCCGACCTGTGTGCCACTCTTAGACTAATGGGTACAGTTTTCACAAATATCCCTAAACATCGGGTCCCATTTTGATAAAAAAAAAAAAATACCCCGAAAAATGGGCTTTACTTCGAGAATCCGCCAAAATGATCTTTAAAAATGGTAGGGGTTTCGAGGCTTCAGAGGCACCCCCCGTCAAAACCAAATCGTAGTACGTACCCCCCCCCCCCCCACGTGCGGGGTTGCTCTTTGTTTCTCATTTATAATTATTAAGAGAGGCCCATTTTTTTTTTTGTCTGGGTCTCAAGCTCAACTGATCTATAGCGGAGCTCTAATCCGGTTTGTATTCATTTCTCTCATAAAGAAAATTGTAAATAATTAACATTGTATACAAACTAACAAAATAATTTTCCCATAGGTCTAAATAGATTTGCAAGTTAACTTTTACATTTACATACAAGGTTACAACTAAAGTTACAAATTTACAGATAAAAAATATTCACATAATCAAAATTATATTTTCACATTTAAAAAAAAAAAAAAAAATCGCAAATAAAGTTTGTACTGTTTTCTCGACCAGTTTGCTAATCTCAAATTATTTCTTTGAAGCAGTTTAAAACAATCGCTTATATGACATTCTTAACTGAATAACAACCCGCACCATATTAAAGCTGAACAGTTGTTCTTTATTCTCATTTATGTTACATGCCGAAAGTTTCATGATTTATACTGTTTAGAATTGAATTTAGGGCTCCAACCGGTATAGGGGTGCGATCTAATCCTCACATTTCCCTATTCCTTTAAAGGTAATATAAAGTTTTGGTATGGGGTCATGAATTTGGTTCAAATGAACATATTGGAGGCATATGCGAGTATTCAATGATCGTTGTTGCGGTTGGAATCGAGTCTAAGTATTAAACTCTTTCTAGCTCCCTCTCAACACTGATATTACTTTAGCTTTAAAAAAATGTTTCCTGACTACTAGCGACCGATTTGCTCTTCCCGTTTGAAAATTATATTTCAAAACTGCATAATCTGACATTTTCATGATCGCAGCTACCATGAAATGGCCTTATTCGCTATTTGAAATATTTGAAATTTACCGGCGGGAGCACCGGTAATTTGTATTATTCAAATTTCTAGCAGAAGTGTTTTAGGAACTAAAGTTTCTAGTGCTTATGATACATCGACAGGGGCATCCAAATATATATAATCATTTTAAAGAATTACTATCCATTCAATTTTCAAAATTTCCCCAAAATTTGCATTACCTTTAAAGCTCCACTGTCCTACTTGTAGCTAAGTTGCTCCCTATATAGAAAACTTCCCCAATCGGTGCCTGTTGGTCCCCCATGATCCTCTTTTTCTTATGTTAGTTGAGAGCTGAGTTAATTAGATAGCCACCTGTCAGTGACCTCGCTGTGTGGTCTAACCCCTTCTGGCCCAGTAGTATTGACGGTCTTTCAGTGTTTGGGTGTGTGTGGGCATAGTCTCATCATGACTCGCTTAAATTTACTGGTTTTCAAGAAATATTTTAGGGGGCCTGAAGAGTTTTTTCTTTTCTCAATTTCTTTTCTTCAAAGGGAGGACCGATGAGGGGGGGGGGGGGACAGGGGGGCTAGACTCCAACCCTCTCTAAACGGCTATTGGGTATTTTTCAACCGGCGGAAGGAATTTATAAATAAATCTATTTTTACCCCTTTAACTTTTTCCAACACTTTGCGTGGTGATTTTACAGAGAAAAATAGGCCTATTCGTCGTTTCGTTGAACTTACATTTGATAATTGACTTGTGATCTAGGGTCTACTTACATAACATAGTACACACCCACTTACATTTTAGCACGGGCGCCGTCTAGTGTTTTTACCTTACACAGTTACACATTTCGCTTGTACCCTATTTTACATTCATCTGTGTAGTAAGTCCTATCCTCACCCATTGACGTAGCGAAGTGTGGCGTATGCTAGTGCAAAATAATGGCGACTGCCTCATCATACGATCCTGTGGAGAAATAAAAAATTATTAGCCGGGAAGGACTGGATTAGACTGTTATTGGAGAAAACTAGATGGGATTTGTGATGACATGTTGCGTTTAGTAGAAGAGCACATATTGCTTGTTTAACTTGTATATTTAAATAACGATAATACTAGACGAGAAGCAGTGTTATTAATAATATTTGTCTCTGGATCTTGGTCGAGAACCAACTAATGAGAATGGCTCAGTGCTCGCAGAGTGCCAGGGAGTTTATTCAGAACACTTTTGGACCAACTGTGGCAGTTGCATGCAGTCATGATGCAGAAGTTCTTGCTCAAAAGAATAACTTGTCTTTTGTGGAAATGGTCAGGCCATTTTGCCGACTTACTTCAGAAGGTATTGATGTAAACTCTTAATTTGCCTGGTTAGGCCTAAACAAAATAAATGTTAAAACTAGAAATGAATAAAACTTTGTTTAAAAATTATGAACCTAATCTGAATGATGCAGTAGAGTCTAAACTAATGTCTTAATGACTGTAATTTGAGTTATTTCATATTCTGTGGATCATGTTTTCTTTCAATAAACTGTAGTTGGTGCTCGTGTCCAGATCACTAGCACTCGTATCTTCCTAATGATATCGGTAGAGTAGGGGCGCTGGTCCGAGAATAAGGATCGTCCGCACAAACAAGGGTCGTCTTCGTAAATGCAGACAAATGTGTCCGCAAAAATAAGGATTGTCTGCATTTTGGGGTGTATTTTATTACGTGGAATCCGCTATTCGCATCGCCAGCGCGCAGTTCGGGAACCCGAAACCCGCAGAGCGCAAGAAAAAAAAACTGTCGGCGAAAAATGTTCGCGGACGATCCTTATGTTTTAGGACGCATTTTGTCTGCATTTACAAGGATATCCTTGTTTATGCTCATTCTCGGACCAACGCCCCTACTGCTAAAGTGCATATTTGCAATCTTTTGTTGAACAATATTTTAAAGGTAAAGAAAAACCTCTATGATGTTTAGTGCAATTCTATGCTTATTTTTTCAGACAATCTAATATCAACATGACAGCTTTACTTTTGTTTTGTGTCTGATATCTGTTTAGCTGCACATACATGTAGTTCCTTATAGACCTTTTCTTGAGACACTGCACATGTATTGTATATACACCTGCACATCACCTACATCAGTACGAGAATACACTCGACAGTGGCCTGTACACCCCCCCCCCCCCCCCCCAATCCTACACCTCCATGATTCGTACACAAATTAACATATTATAGACCTATTCAAAATTACACAGCCAAGACATATGCAAATCAACCCTTTACACAAACAGAACTCGCGGAAAAGTCACCAAAATCATCCTAACAGCCTTAAAGTGACTCGATAAGACGGTAACATTGTTGAAGGTTGATGAAAAAAATTGTGTAATTTTTGTATAAAATGTTACTTATTATATTCCTTCTACAGTACTTACCCTCTGACATGCAAAAAATCCTGAAAAAAATTCTCAAACCACAAAGATATCTATGGTTTTCTTTGAAGGCGCCCTTGTGCAAAACCCTCTAACAGTGATCAAACGTAAATTCTCCTAACCATTTTTCCATGAAAGAAAGACATAAAACGGGCTATTAAAAATCTTTCAACACTTAAATGTCTAGAACGGTACTTAGAGCCAATTTATTGCTTTGTGAAGATTTACATTCACCTAAAATGTAATTAAATTGTAATAATATAGTTGGGAGAATTAAGGAATTGATCAGATTAGTTTTCCCCAATTTGTATCATTTATTAATGGTCCGTTTTCACACAATTTTTCATATTATCTTTAATTGTACATCTAGCATTGAAGTCTCTACCTGAGCACCACTTTCTCTCATCTGAACAATGTTACCAAGTCCCTTTAATTCATTTCTGCTGCCAAAAATGCAATATCGGTGCGAAAATTTGATGAAGAGTGATTATCATTGCAAAATCTTTGACCTCTGTTATGACTGCTTGTCTTTCTTTCTTTGCTCTTACAGCTCATATTAGAGACCCAGCAGGCCAAGCTCACTCTATTCATAATCTAAGGCTGATTGTGAATGAGATGAATACACAACCTCCATCAGCTGGTATTCATCGTAAGCTATCCCACGATGCTGTCCAGAATTCACAGGTCCAAACAACAGAAGGCAGAGCAAACGTGTTGACTGTAGGTTCCTATGATCTGCAAATTAGTGGTAAGTTTTATCGTCCCTGTAAAATTTGCCAAATATTTCTTTATTCTGCAAGTGAATGTCTAGATGTACTTGATGCTAAACACCTTTACAGCTAAAGGTTGAAAATAGTCAAGAGTCATGAGAAAGATAGTAGTTTGCATAATTTGCAGTAGATCATTAACTTGTTCAAATTTTATGGTGAAGATTTGGTAAGTGGTGCGACTACATCATGTGAATTGTAGACTATTAAAAGCAATCAATATGAATTTGGACAAGACGTAAGAAATATTAACTAAAATACCACAGGAGTTTTAAGCTTTGAGGTCAGAGTATCCCTTTCTGTGCAAATGTAAAATAATATAATAATAATAACATTTCACAGTTTGTACGTTTGTCTGGGTTTCCTTTAAATGATATTAGTTATCAAACAAATGTGATGATTACCTTGTCAATTAATATAATTATTTTTTTAACATTATGAAACAATATGTCTTTTATGTATATTTTGTTTTCTGTATTATTTCTGCATGTGAAATGTGAAATCATTAAACTCACTCTCAAAATATTCTGTAATACCTTTCTTCCACAGCCTCTACTCCATGGTATGAAGCCTACAGGGAGAGTTTTTTGCAGAACATGGCAACTAGTGACCATGAATTCATCAGACATTTTGTGGCTTGTATCCTTTAATTATCGTCAGTATGATTATGGCACATAGATACTGTGATTAATGTGGCAGGATATCCATATTAGGTCTCATGTGATGTTTGTACAGAAATTTTGGTAAAGAGCCAATTCTGCATCTGAATTCCAGCTAAAGTGGAACCTCTCTATTCTGATTTATGGAAAATGCCATGAGATGTTTTCCTAATAAATAGGGACTATAGCTTTCACTTTTATTTTAATGCTTTGATATGAGGCACTATGCACAGATATAGTTTTACTACAAGTATGTGCAATTATGTTTGAATCAAAGGAAAGCTTGCAAATTTTACTAAATATTCACATTGAACCCAAAGTACCACATCTACATGTTAACACTCTCCAGTCTCCACCCAGGTTTGGTATTTAAAGAAAGTTATTCTTTGAGTACTTTCAGCAGCAGGGCTAAGCTGAGATGATGATACTACTTGACCAGCCCTGGGATTGATGTACATTGTATGTGAGGAATATAAATATAGCTTTTCTCACTGTTATTATCTTTCAAGAGAAATGATGATTTTTGACATTTCCTTAACCAAGTGATCATAGGTATGCTTGTAGTATCGACAGGTCATGCAGACCCTATGGATCAGTTTGCCAAGTTATCTCAACAGCAGCATCATCTTCAGCACACATCCTCTGCTACCCATCCAAAGTGGCTCTGTCCTAACATCTTTAAATACTATGTACTGCTCCATGATAACTCAGAAGGAGAAGAAGAGAAGTGAGTTAAAAGTAGTGTTGTTCTTACTTAATCAAATATTGTATCAAAAGATTGTAGGTAAGATTGAAGCTAATGGTCACTCTGGCGATATTGACACACTAGACTGACAATAGAAAAATATTTTTTAATTTTTGAAAACGCCCAATGATTAGTTTATTCTTTTTATAGTTATGTTTACTCTCTAACTTAGTGTGAATGGCAACAGTTTATCAACGACCATGATGACCTTCCATTTGAATTTCTGTTAGTTATTTTGCGGCATGACAAACAACTAACAGAAGTCCCGGTTAGACAATGTTTAGACGTTGTGCACCCATGGAAACCTTTACCCCGTTCTCTGTGCAACCATGGAAACATTTTCCTCGCTCATGGGAACAATTTCGTTGTTCATGGTGCACCCATGGAAAGCATTTCCCTGTTCATGGTGCACCCGAGGAAACGATTTTTCCGTTCTTGGTGCACACATGGAGACCGTTTCCTCGTTCTCGGTTAACCCATAAAAATGTTTTCCTCGTTCTTGGTGCACCCATAGTAACCATTTCCCCGTTCATGGTGACATATGTAATTTTTTCCTCGTTCTTGGTGCACACATGGAAACCTTTTCCCTGTTATTGGTGCACCATGAACGGGAAACAGTTTCTAATGGTGCACCAATAAACCATTTGATACCATTTCCCTATTCTTAGTGAACTTGTGAACTTTTTCCTTGTCTTGGTGCACACATGGAAACTGTTTCCCTGTTCTCGATGCACACATGTATACAAATTTTACCTTGTTCTTGGAGCAGTTTTTACCTGCTATTACTGAATCAATGTCAATCTCTCTCTGCTGTGTGTCTGATTACAGTTCTTTGTGGACATGGACTGAAGGAATGTATTTCCTATTTGCCAGCCATTGTAGTCTCTTCATTTCCATGTCCTAATCAAGACTTCTTTCTCCGCCATTGGGCTGTGATGGTTTCAAGTCTGTTGTGATATTGTTGGAATAAGCTTGGTCTGGTGTGTTAAAGTTGTTATGGTTACCCAGAGGGGTCCTTTTGCTGAGTACAAGAAAGTACTCAACTAGACCCATAAAAGACTTTGACTCTTGATTATCAATATCAACATGAATATTGAAGTCACCAGATATTATTACAGGTATATTACATAAAAGTGTTCCTGGATAAACACGTTAAACTCAGAAAAGAAAACGGACATCGATACAGGATTAGCATCAGAATATGGTGGTCTGATTATATTGATTAATTTAAGTTGAAAAGATCTGAAAGATATGCGGTAACAAGCAAACTCAAATGACCTATGACCTGATGAACACAAGTAATGTGTCCTTGAAGAGAAGAACTGTTCCGCCACTAGATGAGCAGTGCGAGGGCGATAAACAAAACAATGTCCTGAATGGCAGAGGCATTGTCCGTCAACCAAGACTTGGTCATAGCATATAAGTCAGCCTTACTTTCACAGACGAAATCATGCACAGATGCCGACTGAGCGAACATTCGCAGTGCACAACTTAAGATAAGATTGAGTAGAGGTTGAGGAATTGATGCTGAAAAAGTCTCTAACCTTCTTTCCTTTACCGCCACGCCTTCCTGGTTTTTCTTTTTGCGATTAATAAAAATTAAACCGACAATGTCCGTACATAATTCTTGCAACAAATTCCAAGCGCATTGATGATAATAAAACTACTGATAGAATGTATTTCTAGAGCGCTTTACAATATGTTTCTAAGTGCTTAACAAAAAATGGCGATTCTCAGATAATAGTTATCAATATCATATCATAGAAACTATAATTATTATATACTTATCACCCACATTATCGTAGTTCAAAATACATAAGCATAGAAACATCCAGTCAATACATTAACATTAACATTTACATTACCATTAACAATCCAGCATCATGGCACAATACTAATAAAAAAATAATATACGAAAACTAGTCAGAAGGTATAAAGTGAGGTAATAGAGATAACACTACAACTAGGCACTATCTAATATTGCTGCTTTTGAGATCCGGAGAAAAGAAGACGCTTGCACTGTTTGAAATGTTAGGTGCAAAAGTGTAAAACAAAAATCCTCTTAGCATCTCTTGAACACTGCTTTTTTTTTTTAGTGATGGCGCAGCATATCTTGGATCGGTTGTTGATGAGTATGTTTATTTCTTCGGTCATTAGACCGCGGTGCCGGGTGCAGACTCGACTTAGGTGTCTCGTAAGCCGCTTGCACTGTTTGAAATGTTGGGTGCAAAAGTGTAACACAAAATTCCTTGTTGCATTTCTCAAACATAAATCTATAAATACACCTGAAGAAAACGCGGGAGAATCATCTTTTTCGAACCCCCATTTGAGGGTCCTGAAACACTCGAGTGTTTCTTGAATGGTCTAGAGACAGATAGTTTGGAGTCAGTTGGTGATGTGACTGGGGTATTAAATAGCAACTTTTTAAATGCTCTTATATTATTTATCAACTTTGGTAGAAAGTATTGGGAAAAGAAGTCTGATGAGTATGCTTCCTAACAGATTGACATGATAAAATGCGTTTGTCCTGCTAGGGATTGATATGTTTATTTCCTCATTTTCCCATTTTTAATTTTGGTCCAGAGCTGATGCAATATACCAAAGCATGAAGTCTACGTATGGCAGTCATGCATGTCATCTTCTAAGGATCAATTCTAGAGCAATGACTACTGTAGACACAGCATCAGTGACAGCAGAACAGAATTCAATGCCTGATCCATGGAGTCAGTATCTTAATAAAGTCAACCAACAGGTGAGTCAAGGCTTGCATTATGGTTTGAGGCTCATTACTTATATATCTTCCAGTTATAGAAGTAGAAAGTTCCTAATACAGATAAACTTTCTCCTAGTAAGGCCTTTGGTTTCTTTTACAATATGAAATATGAATTCCATCACAGAAAATAGTCACATCGTATGAATTATTTTTCCAAAAACAGTTTAAACAACTTTAAAATGAAATGAGCCAGTGGGAAACCTCACTTTCTGTGTCAAATTGCTTTATTGGATTATCAATTTATGTTTGAGCTACATTGTTGAGTTCTAATAATGTGTAACGTACCTGGTATATATTGAGCATGATATTAGTAGGCACTTATTAAAGGCACTATTTTTGTTGTTAATCCTTTTAAATCGCAAGGAGACAGTTAAACTACTTATGTACTTTCAATTGGCAATTAATGCAAGAATAGCCTCTACATGAAATAGTTGCTTCCTATTTTGGAGGATAAGTTGGTATTGAATAAGCATTACTCTGCTTATCTTATCTTTCAGGAGCCTGTTGAAGTGGATGTAGTACCAGCCAATGACCCAGCTATGTTTCCTGATCAGGTCTCTGAGGGTACTGCTAGTAACAATCTTAATATGGTACTCACACCTAACAGTTCAGAAGGTTAGTGTCTACATGCAGGTGAAATTACAAAGAAGAAAGTATTCTTCCCCAAGTAGGATTCAAACCCTTTGAACGGGATTATTCAAAGTTTTATAAAATCCAAGAGATACATACTTAGGAGTTTAAAAATATTTCTTAAAAGTATCGCATACTCCTTGATGTAAGCTGAAATTCTGAAATGAATATAGGAGCAATTTGGTTGTTTTGTTTCTATCTCACATTTTAGCAAGGTTTTATATAACATATCTTTAAGTATATTATGTATGTCAAACAGTAACAATGTATTTCAGATATTTCAGAAAGTAAAGATGATAAGAGGATCATCTAAGTCAACAATTCATTAAAAAAAAAAGATTTGCCATTCAAAATTGGCCTTGTAAGGAGTCGTGCATTGAGCTGTGATGTTTGATGAGTTCTTTTTCCCTCCTAGATGGTCCTAATGACCCTTCACCTGAGGATATTGTAATGGTCCAAGTGGAAACCTCGCCCTCCAATGAGGTCAACTCCCATCCCCTTACAGAGGTCAAGACCCCATCAGATCCCCTAAGCGCCACCCAGACAGACCCCCTGACACCAACCCAGTCAGACCCCCTCACAGACATCATGACGGATCCTCTCATCACCAATAATGCTAACGGGAGTAACTCGATCCCGTCCAAGTCTACCGGTCAGATGTCCAGTGCGGGGAAGGGTACGGGAGGGGGATCCACCACCCATGGGGCGTATCTAACGTTGAGTGATCATGATAGGTTGAGGATATTCATGCATGAGTTTGTGGTGAGGGGTTGCTGCCTTACATAGAACGCATGATCCGCACACTAACAGAACAGGTAAGATCTCCTCTCAAACTTGGTCTAATGATTAATAATCTTGAATTGATCATGACTATAGCAATTGCAGTGAATAACTAATTAAAGGTTTTTTACCACTTACTTACTATCCATCAGTCCGTCTTTTGTTTCTTAGTGCAGTCATAAACTTTCCTCATATTTATTAGTATTCTAATGTTGCTTGCTAAGCCCTATGTAATATCATCTGGCAAAGCATTCTATTGCAATTATGTATAGAAAACTGAAGCTGTGACATTTATTTATTCAGATGGTCATATCCCAGCCAATACTTAATATATTCAAATGATTTTCGACATTTGGAAATTGTTTTTGATGCTCTTTCGGAAAATGAAGAAAAAATTGAGAAATTCTAAAAATAGATTTTTGATGACTTACACTTCACCACTCTATTGTAACACATACATGTAAGACCAAGTACAAATTTACTGTTATGGATGTCTTTTGCACTCTGAGCAATAGCTGAAGACTTATACTTGTATTTATCTCCTTATTTCTTTTTTACAGCTTGCTTCAAGAAAAGGGATCCAGCGGTCTTTGTTCAACGTAACCAAGAAGTTATTCATGGGTAACAAGCAGAATGAGAAGGTCTTATCAGCACCTGTTACAGACTTATCACCAAAGTAAGCAATCATCTCGTCTTCTGTGACCCTTCCTTGCTAGATTCATACTGTCATCTTGTCTATTGATTTCACTGTATTGTAGTTAATATACAGTAGATTGTTTTTGGTGGTATTGGTAAGAAACTAAATGGAATCTATTTAAAGTAGATGTCCAGGGGATGTTTCACAAAGATTCTAAGTCGAACTTAACTCTAAGTTGGACTTGAAAAATATGGAGAGCCATTTGTAGCCTTAAAATAAAATATATTCCAGAGTGAAAATTTAATATTCTAGACTTTTTATAAATTCCACATCAAGAACATAAAATCTCCTTGATAATAGAAAATAAAGATGATTTGAATCAACATTTTATGCCTTCTTAGTCTTATGTTCCCTCTTGTTTTACACATGAAATTATCACCCTTTGATATTTATTAGGTATCTGCGGGAATCACCAGAGATCCAGATGAGACGTAGAGCAGACCTAGCGTTCATGGTACAGATGTATGAGATGGCTTATACCTCTTATCATACAGCTAAGGGGGACTTTGGTAACGACCAGGCATGGATGCACTATGCAGGCTCATTGGTAAGATACATTCACCTGTCTGTCTGATACCTTCACATTGTTTAGGCAGGGTGGTACAAGTATTGTTTTGCATTTCCCTGATTTAGCCAATGACATTAAAAGCAATTTCCATGTTCATTTGCTGAAATTTATTTTTAAAAGTAGATAATACCTATGCATCAAGTTAATTAGAAGGCCTACATGCTTTTACTGAGATGCTCTTCTCATGTTACAATCGCCTTACCAAAATGGCAAAGCTTATAGGTACTTCAACTATGCCTGTTTACAATTAAATGTTATCTGCTTTTGTATCTTTTTGACAGGACCGAGTGATAGCCTCCTTGTAGTGCCAGTAATATTAAAATCTCATGTGATACTAGGAGTTGTTTTTGTTGGTCCGCGTTTAAGCCTTTTCTACTTTCATAAATCAAGCAGTCATCATGTGAACTGTTGTCTCCTTGATACTACAAGCCGATAATAATGTTGTGCTATTCCTCATCTAGTTTTACATTGGATGAGCAAGCATCCTTGCACAAAACCACATCGTTGGTGTTGGTTTACAACTTTAGAGCCTTTTCTCATGTCGGTCTCTGAACCGCTGTTTTAGATATATTTACAAGGATGCGTAAACCTGGGGCCCGTTTCATAAAACTTGTTACCAATAACAAATGCTAAATTTCTATGACAAATCTGCTCTCAGCCAATCAGATGCCATGGTTTCAGTAGCTTATAACAGTGGCTTGTAACTTGCTATTGATATCGAGTTTTATGAAACAGGGCCTAGATGGTTTCATATGATTTGTGTAGCCGAAGTGTTCTGTACTTGAGCTAATGCTGTTGTTTTTATTAAATAGGAATTTGCAGCAATATCAGCGTACATGCTGGGCCACATACAGAAGTCCTACCCTAGTCATTACATGGAGAATGCAGTCACTACATATCTCAATTCATGCAAGTAAGTCTACTTTTGTGAGTTCTTTAAATATATTGTGTACTACTATGTTATACGTAGCACCTCCGGGCCGTTGGCTTCTCTCTCGCGCATTCACTCTTGGTGCCATGCAAATGAATTACTAGTTAGAAATGACAGATTACGCGCAAGTAACTCAAGAGGTGGGTACAGTCTGGAATATATTGCACTTGATCAGACTAATCCAGTTGCATGATTAATGTAAACAAGACGTTTTTGCAATGAATACTGCTTGATCTTTTTTTCTAAAGTTCGATCATGTATTGAGTACTCCTCACTTGGCGTGATCTTTCAAATTTTACTTGTTTTGAAGAAGTGGGTGTTCTATTTTAATCATCAATCACAAGTTTGGCAGCAAAAAATGCAATATTCATTATTCTCTAACCCTTTCTCAAAGTATATTTACCCCATTGAATTTGTGAGAAAGTTAACCTGTTGCCTGCGTGAAACGGATGTGCTAAGACGTACTTTAATATATGCAAGCTTCACCCGATTCTTGATCTGTTATGTAGACAACCACAGCTAGCAACAAGAGCTGTTTTGATAGGAACTGAGATCCAAAAAGCAAGACGGATGTTTTCTGAAGCAGCTCTTGAGTTCATCAGACTCACAGGAGAGGTAAGGAACCTTCATCTGATAATATCCAATTGAAAAAAGAAGAAACAAAATGTTTTCATTTTCCCCATACGTTTTCACAAGTTCAAATACATGTAGTATTTTTCAAGGTTATATAATTCAACTCATTCATCGAAGGTATCGGGTCATACCGGACAACACCACTGAAGAATGATTTTATAAACATTGCTTATTATTGTATTATTGAACTATGGCTGAAATCATATAATATTCTCCTGAACAGCCAGATTAATGTATGAGCTAGAATGAAACCATTTTATTGAGTGCATCCAATCTCTAATAATGTTATGTTCCCTCTCTGTTTCATGTCAGGATTCTGATTTAAGGAGTGCTCTTTTCCTAGAGCAGGCTGCTCATTGCTTCATCAACTCACCTCGTCCTATGGTGCGCAAGTATGCATTCCATATGATTCTAGCTGGACATAGATTCAGCAAAGCAGGCCAGGTGGGTAACCATCAACCATTATATGCTTCAGAATATCCTCAATTAGATTTTAAATTTTATTTATTAAAAGGTATTTTTATAATTCAGTTTCATCTATATCAACCGAATAAATGTTGTAGACTATTTATGTACTGCTGAAGGGAGATCTTTAGCCACATTTTTTGATTCAATTTTCTTTTAAAGTTTTAGGAAATGTTCCTTATTATTCTGAGATTTCCTGTATGCTACAGATATACAGATTACATATGAGTTATTTTGTGTTGAATTAAGACTTGAAAATTGTCTTTATATGAAATATATATCATTCATTGTCTGTGCAATCTAAAATTTCAAAAATCCATAGGAATAAAGATCCAAGGATCTAAGATTTGATAGAGTCCAGTTTCACTTTGTTACATAACCAGTGAGACATAATTAAAATTCTTAATGATTGTTGTTTTTACTGATTCTGTTGTTATATTGTAATGTCAACTTTAAAAGAAAAAAGAGAAGACTTGTTATATTGTACAGTTTGTTGCACCTATGAAATTAGTTATTTTGTGTGTTATCTTGTCTGCAGAGGAAGCATGCTCTGAGGGCATATTGCCAAGCACTGCAGGTCTACAAAGGCAAGGGCTGGGCTTTAGCTGAGGTAAGTGCAATACTATCACTCATAATTCTGGAAGCAGGGTCAGATAGACAAAAAAAGTTGATTTATCATGTACGTCTTTCGGATGGTGACGTTAAAGGTCGGTCCCAGACGTAAATAATCATATCTGATTGATACACGTCTGTAAAAACCCAATTACACACACACACACACACATAACCAAGAGACAGCCAAGTATGCACAATCCACAAAACTAGAATTCGTATTCAAGAAAATTCCCTTATTGAAGTAAAATGGCCAAGTAGACTGTAGTACCAGTATTTTTTTGTTATACGTACACACACCAGCTCCTTGAATGATTTGAATGCCAGACAGTATGATGGCAGTGTCTTGTGGCTGTGGTTTTGCATTGAATATTGAATGCTGCTGCATCATTACCTCTCTCCATTACATGGCTGCTTTTGAATATATGCTAGCCGTCGCTTCTTGATACAAAGTCGCCACAAGCAAAGAGTGGAGGAGAATTGTAGGAAATATTTTAATGATTTTAATTGAATTTTATGCAATCTATATTGTGTATAAAGCGGTGTATATGAATCACATTGAATTATAATACCAGATAGGCATACATTGTAATCTTCTGTGTTTGGTGCAGTAAATTGGGACATTTGAATGATAATTAATTTGATGATTGATAAATATTATTTTACCAGTGTAGACCTATACTTGTTTTTAAATTAATTTGATATAATGTTAATTCTTACTGATTGACAGGACCATATCAACTTGACAGTGGGACGTCAATCCTTCAACCTGAAGCAGCTAGAGAACGCTACAGCAGCATTCAAACACCTGTTGACCAAAGATAGCAGACAACCAGCCGTTCAGCAGGTTGCTTTCCTCAAAGAATACCTCTGCATCTATAAGGTAAGATTCTAAACAAGGCTTCAGCAGCAGTAGTAGTAGACTTTATTGGATAACTTGTTTATCCGACTTTATTAGATATCTCCTTTGGATACCATTATAACAGTTTGTTAAATTATCAGCCTTTTCACACACAGCTAAAATTCTATAAACATTATTAGTTTAAAGGGCTTTAAACTAATCAGCTGTACATACGACATCATTCACACACAGAAATGCCGGTGCGATCGTTAATCGTTTCGTGATTAACTTCTGCTTTTAAAATGCGCAGTAGTGCCATTGCGCATTGAAGGTCAGGTCATATCAAACAAAGCACACGCTCCATCCAGTTTAAACACATTTAAACCGTTCACACACAAAATGTCAAGCTCTCTAGATACGAACTATGTATCTGCAGCCTGCTTTGAGGGGCGTATGAATCGCGACTTTGTATCTATCCGAACATCGTATAAACGATGTTCACACTGAAAATTTTCTTTAAAGGTGTTTAAAACTGTTGAGTTAAACATGTTTATACTAATCATCTCTAGATACAATGAATTTTAGCTGTGTTTGAAAAGGCTGTAAGACTCTCAGAGACATGTTTTATGAAGAAGACATGTCATATTGAGTAGGTAAATATCCAAGCTTTTTTCTTCAAAGCACAGTCTTTAGAAAAAATGACAGATGCTCTTTGGGTATAGAAAATTTGCTCCTGTTTGCCTGAAACCACAATCCCTTTTCTCTTGCAGAGACAAACTTTACAGCTGCTTTTGTTAAGCATGGTCTTAATAAAAACAAGAACGATGGATGAGTGGTTCTTATGATTACTTAAAAGTCTGTAAAAGAAGCAATTTTTGTTATTTTTGACACATTTGTGCTGTTTTGGGGCAATTTTATGATGTTGTTCATCTCTGCCAATATTTTTTGTGCAAAATTGATGGAGCAAAAAGAATTTTGATTCCACCCTCCATCCCTCCTTTCCCTTGTATAAAGAGGAAGATTTTTGTTTGATGATATGGTAATATTATGAACATATTTCCCCTCCTATTAAACAGCAACTGCTAACAACGCAATCCCAGGACGGTCAGAGCTTGGCGACATTACCTCAGCTTCCTCTTCCATTCATCAAGAAATCAGCCACTAGGATCCTTCTTGCCTCTCCTAAAAGAGAACAGGACACAGGTAGGCACGCAATACATTCTACAGGTATAGGTAATATACATGTAGATGCAAGGCCTAAAATTGAATTTCCCCCAAGATTTGAAAAATCATGTATCCTACTTATTTTGGACCATTTTTTTTGTAACTTCAGTGGTAGTTAATATTTTCTGCATATCTTTTGATGACATTTACCCCAGATGAAACAGATTCACATCTCAGAAAATACTTTTTTTGGGGTGTATTTATGTTTCTTTATCATTTTCTGATGCTTGTGTATTCACTCTCTCTCTGATGCTTTGTGAGTGGGTGCGGGCAAGCACTGAATCCAATGACCGGGGTAATAGTATATTTGTAAAGCGCTTAGAGACATTTGTATTAAGCGCTATATAAAAATTAAATATTATTATTATTTATTAATGTCTGACAGAGAAGTTCAACATTTTGGCAACGTTATTTCATTGCAAGTACATGACTCAACAAAGCTACCTTTGGTTTGTGCAGTCTCATGCTGATTCTCTCAAACCACTATTCTTCAATTCCATTTCAGTATTATTTGGCTTGTTTGGGTTATCACTATCCTGTATAACATTTAATATGATATTGATATTAGAAAGCATTATATCTTGTTTTGGATAAACACGATAATTTTTAAATATCATTTACTTCAAAAAAGATGAATAAATTTAATTTCTTCTTTTATAGAACAACAAGATGCAAGGATATCAGCTACATCGGTGACCTTTGGTCATATCTGTGACCGAGCTGAGATGGGGGTGTGGTGCAATATGGAGGAGGCAGTTGCCATGGTAGCAAACAAACAGAAGTCACTACCCTCATGGTTTCATTACCATCCTCAGCTGCTTCACAGTGGAACAGACAACTCAACAAGCCCTCTCGGTGTAGAAGGAGGTAAGCGCCAACCTTAGGCTGAGTGATATTTGACCATAAAGTAATGTGGGGTTCTAACATAAATGAAGGATTATCTGAAATTATTACCATCTAATAAATCTGAATGACTGGCATGGATATGATGTAGACTATTTGCGTAAATTAATTTTCTTACGGATCTTTAATCCATATGAAACTGAAAATAATGAATAAAACCAAAAAGTGATTGGTATTTTTGAAATGCACTAAAAACCTTGGAAAGAATAGGTATTTATTAAAGTTGCAATGACAATTCTACAGAATGTTATCCATAACTCTGATATTCTGGACTTCTCTAGACCTTTCATTATCATACCGACCTGTTTTTACAGTAAGCATCTTATTCATAAAAGACAAAGACCAAGTTTTCTACTACAAAAGACTTTTCTATGATGATATCACTGATGACAGTGAAAATTTGATTGACAGAATATGATAGTCATTATCTTAGGTTGTGCGATCTACTTTCTTAAATCTTGTGCATTGGAAAATGTGACTGCTCCGGACATTTGAATGGGATAGATTTGGTTACGATCCTTTTACTTTATTCCATCTGTTTATTCCTTAGAACCAATCACAATTGAACTAGTCTTGGAGAACCCTCTCAAAGTACCCATCATCCTCACCAACATTACGCTCCTGTGGAAGTTTCTACCGGTGAACTATGAGGGCGGTAATCAAGAGAATCCTGAACAGCAACCAACAATCCTTTCCAATGAAGCTGATGTCAGAGAAAACGGGGTGAGTTTATTTTCCTTAAGCACCACTGCACTACTTATAGCTACTTGCGCCCTCTATATAGCAAACAATGCCTAATCAGTGCATGTTGGTCCCCCATGATCATCTTTTTCTTATGTAAATTGAGAGCTGATTTGATGAGATAACCACATGTCAGTGACCTTGCAGGGAGGTCTAATCCCCCCCTGGCCAAACTAGTACAGATGAGATTTAAAATGTTGCAAAGGTTTGAAAGATCAAAAGATATTGATCAATCTTCTACTGTTTTATCAAAGTGTTGTTTGCATGATTATTTAATAGTTTTCACCGATCACTGAGATAATTGTCATCAAAATTTTGCGAACATGTTGATTATTTGAAATCTTTACAGGAGAAATTCATTTTTTTAATGAAACTACATCATCTGTAGAAATGCCTTGTATACTTGTTTTCTTCCTTACATACAGCTGATATGATTTGATTATAGACATTGTAAGTAATGAATTCTCTGTAATCTTTTTCCTTCTCCTTGTCATTGTAAAGATCGGAATTGTGGAAAATGTAGTAAAGGTTGAATGCATTCCAGAAGTTATCTTGGCAGCAAATGACTACAAGCTGGTAAGTCTTGAAAATATATCTATTTTTGTTTTGCTCTATATACTGTCCTCAATGTTTGTCAGAGTTGTTGTAGGATTTCAAATGGCCTCCTTGTAGTGTAATATCAAGTCTGAACTAAAGTTATGATTATTATATGAGTTGGTTTGGTGAAGAAACAAATATGACTTGAGCAGACATGATTCTTTTTAGTTCACTCATGGCATTTTCTCTTACATCTTAGCTGAATGTAAATAAAAGGACCTTTTACCAACAAAAGTGGAGAACAGGTTTTAGGTAGACTTGCAGATCATAAGTACATCATGTCATACTTAAAGCCCCTCTAAAGTGTTGGGAGCCCCAAATTCACCAAAAATTTCATTTTAATTGCATCATAATGTGAAAGAGAATGTCATTTAAGACGCATTCCTGCAAGGATTTTAAAAACAAATGTGTTTGAAGACGAATATTGCTAAAAGAATACATAATTTGGGTTTTCTGTTGTACGCAGAAAACCTAAATTTTGTATTCTGTCATCAATATTTGACTTCAAATACATTTTTTTGAAAATCCTTGCAGAAATGCGTCTTAAATGACATCCTCTTTCACATTATGATATAATTTAAGCAATATCTTGCCATCAAAATTTGTGGGGCTCCCAAAACTTTAGAGGGGTTTAATGTATCCTTTCTCATTACTCCAGCTTTACTTAGGCCTGACACCACTTCAGACAGGAGAACTTCACATAACAGGCCTAGCCTACAGCCTATCAGCCCAGCCCTCCACCAATCAGAGCACAGAACCCTCCACCAATCAGGAGGTACTCGATGGCAGGTCAGGGGTCAAGAGGCCCGTCTCGTTAGGGTCAAGCGCTGCTCAGGTTCAAGGCATGCAGGATCTAGATATCCAGGGTCCTAGGATGAATATCACCAAAGATGAGAGATGCGGAGTGTTGTATGGTCCTGATAGAAGACTAGATCCCATCATAGCACCTCCTATGCCACTACTAGAGGTAGGTACTCACACAAAATCTTATTCCTGTATTAAAGCTAATTTGCTTTCATAATGATATAGGAAGCACCTGGTTCCCATTTACAATGTATGAAGGCATGAATTGGTGTTGATAATGTCATGGATGAAGTTATAAAGTGTTTCCGAAGTTGGTGTTTGGTGTTACTTTCATAAGGATTATAATAAGCAAGTTCGTAATTAGGATTTGCCCATGGGCAGATAAAGGTCATTCGTACCCAAATTGTTAAACCATTGAGAGGAATACTCGGATCGTGCTCATGAAAGTTATGTAATCAGTATTCATTTATGCACCAAAAGTACATTTATCTGATACACAGGTGGAAGTATTCTTCTCAAGAGGCAAACAAAAGCTATTCATGAGGCATCTCCATCCCTTTGACAGTGATTATTCTAAAATGCACATGTGGGACGTATCCATCGTGTAAAAGATCTGTGGATATTTTGGGGTCATGCGTTCCAGAGCTATTTACGAACTCGCTTATTGGGCATGAAGCAAGAGGTCATAAAAGGTCATAAAAATGATTATGGGAGAACCTATCATTCATTTACCTGAAGGGGATTTTTTTTTTATACCAACTAGCTAGTTCAGAACAGAAGATGGAATTATATTCTAAATCCCATTTATTTGAAAGTAGGATTTGATTCTTGTCTTTTCTATTTGTTTTTCAAGGTCACTTTCTCTTCAATGCCAACAAATATATTATGTGGAGAGATCAGTCAAATCAGTGTAGAGATCACTAATAAAGGAACATGCCCGCTACACAAACTACACACCATCTCAGACAGACCCGAGATCTTCTCTTTCGGAGGCCACTTTCATGGGTTCCCTTCAAACTCTTCTTCCAGCCAATCACTGACCAGCAGCAGTAGTGACTCTAGTAGCCTCAGCCAATCGGGAGGCAGGACTGTTCCATTGTTGGATTCAGGGGAGTGTGTGATTCATGAGATTGAGGCGGGCCAGTGCAATGTGAATAATGTGACTGAGATTGTCTTGCCAGAGGGGAGGCTTGTTCCAGGAGCCTCGTTGTCAGTGCCATTGTGGATCAGAGGTCCATGTGATAGTGGTCTTCATAATATCAGGATGCTCTTCTACTATGAAACCACAGAGGAAAACATGAAGATTAGGTGAGAATAGGTTTGGCGTATCATTGCCATGTGTGCAGTGCGACATATATTCATGTGTATTCATTCATGAAATGAACTACACACAAGCACATACACCCACCAGTGATCGTATCTTGCCTGTTAGCATTTGACTTTCACTTGACTGGGGTCTATTTAACTAAGGCAGGCATGCAACAGAGTTTTAATCAGGGGTGCATGCATGCCCACATAGAAAGGTCCAAGATACAGGAAAAAGGAAGGTGAAAGCATTTTTTTAAAATAAAGCAATGGGTTTATATACCACTAGATTTTGCTTTGCTACCTAGTAAAGCAATCAAGACTTGTCGTTTACAGTACCACAATATTGATTTTGTTTAATCAAATACTCCCTCTCTGAGTGTCTTTCTTTTTCTTTTTTTGCTCTCTTTAGGCATAGATCATTACAGCACACAGCCACCATACTTACCAGTAACTCAGTATCTATATCAGCTAGAGCAGATAGAGCTCAAGCTGTTGATAGCAGGAAAGTGAACATGCAGGATGATAACAGTGTCAACCTCATCGTCTCACTCACAGTAGAGAACCTCAACCAAGTAAGAAATCGCAAATTATCAAGATTTATGCTAAAAAGATACAAGTAATTACACTTTTGGGATTACTGTTGTTTATTTTAGATATGAGAGGAATATGCGGAGAGGGAAATCCTGTTAAAATGACTGATGACCAATTGGTTTTAAATGGTTTTCCATGTGCTTAACAAAGGTCACTATGTGCAAATGGGAGTTGTGTTTTTTATCGAAGATGATGCCAATTACATTTTTGTGAGTTTATTTTTATTTCACTGGTTCAAGCAACCGATCTACTGCAGAATAAACAATCCAGAATAAATCATAGCAATTTTCTTTCAAAATACTGTTCCCATACCAGAGCTCAAGATTAGCTTTAAAGCCTGTCTGCACTAGTTTGGCCAGAGGGGATTAGACCTCACTGCAGGTCACTGACATGTGGTTATCTCATCAAATCAGCTCTCAATTAACATAAGAAAAAGAGGGTCATGGGGACCAACAGGCACCGATTAGGCATTATTTGCTATATAGAGGGCACTAGTAGCTATAAGTAGTGCAGTGGGGCTTTAAGTTGAGTTGTCTTGTTGGTTGTACAGGTGCATGATTCCAGCATTACCGAGATCAGCTTGCAACATGTGACAGGGGTCAGCCACAGATGGTGTCTCTCTCCTCTAGTAACACCAGATGCAGGTCAGTTCACATCAGTTGATGAAGCATATAATCAATCATCACTTATAAAGGCTGTCTTGGATTGAAAGACCCAGTGATGCCAGTTTTCAGGCAGTAGCCCGAGTTCAGGCCCTGGCAAGTTATTTTCAGACCATAGTGTAGGCTTTTTTGTGTACAAAATAGCTCATTCTAGGTGATATTCAGGCCCTCTTATCAATTTTAACTGGCATCCCTGAGGACCACATGTTAAAATAGTTTAGAGGATTGTTGTTTGATTTAATCATGAATCAAAGGAAGGGGGGGGGGGGCTCTAATTGATTTAAATAAGGTGAATTAGTTATTTCTCATTACCTAGTTATATGCTACAGTTAATAGATTTGTGAAATATAGTAAAATGTCACCTATGAAATAGCCTTTGATATGAAAATAGACTAAGGATCTTAAGAATTTCAGGAAGCTTATATTGAAATAAGTGGATACCAGTAAGAGTTTGATATTGAAAAAAAAAAGTTGAAATTCTAAGATTCAAAATAAGTAGGCTTATTTATTGTTCCTTTGTTAGATTGTTTCATAGGATAGAGTAATGGTTCATTATCTATGAATGTTTTTTTTTGTTAAAGAATGGTTTTGTAATTATGATTACAGAGCAAAGGATCGGGAGTGGAGAGTCTCAAAAGCTGTGCTTCAAGGGCAAACAGTTAGGTATGTCTAAAGCTTTACCAACACTTCATTTCATTATTCTGGAATATGTATATAAAATATCATTTGTAATGATCATATTCTTTTCATGTGATGTTAGTGAGGTTGTGAGACATTTTGCCCAACCTACCTGTGTAAGATATGAGGGTATACTCTTCAATTTGATGTCATGAATATGATATTTCTTGAAAGTCACTTTTGGATATGCAGAGTCAAGAAAAAGAATCGAGGAAGGAAAGTGCTTTAAAATATGCACCTGTTTCATGTTGGTGTGCATATGAAATTAACACAAATTGATTGTTTGTTGCTTTGTAGATGATCCAAATAGATCAGCCTTTACTTTCTCCAGTGTGCTGTTTGGGAAAGACAAGGTAAGACAAGACAAGTATGGAATGTCACCAACAGTAATAATGTACTGTGGATGAGTAGCTGAAGGAGTGGGATTTCTGAAAGTGAAATTGATCTTGGGGAGAATGAATTACTTCATAGAATATGGGACAGAGATTTGTGGCATTCCATGGTCGCCAACGTCTCAGGACATGGCACGTAAAGAAGAAGAAGATGATAATGTATCCAGATTATATCAATGTCTTTTTGTCACAAGTGTCTGTTGGGTATTGTGTAGAATCATAGTCTTGATCATTTGTTTTGTTTTGATATCCTTTATTGACATGTAAACAACAAATGACAATACATACTAAATGATTCATAGCAAAACTACACATGATTGATATTAGCCAGTTGTATGTGTACCATTAACATAAAACAAATATTTAGTAATTTTTTAGTTGTTAAGATTTACAAAGAGTTCATACTGCAAATAATTGAATCTCAACTCAGTTGTATGTGTACCATTAACATAAAACAAATATTTAGTAATTTTTTAGTTGTTAAGATTTACAAAGAGTTCATACTGCAAATAATTGAATCTCAACTGAAAATCATTTCTTCCAAGAAAACATTTGTTGAAGTTTTGATTGTCTTTGGTTCAATCGTGGGCATTGCTTCCCTTGCAATGTCTATATATGTTTATTTGATTAATAAGTACAATTATATTCATTGCTACTGTTTCCATTGTTCTTCTGTTATCCAGGCACCCAGTAACTCGATGCCAAGTGCAGATTTCTATCTTAGATCTAAGCTGAAGGGTAGGCAAATCAAGACTGGTTTGATAGGAGATAATCCCTTCTCACCGGCAACCACACCAGGGAGTATAGGTAGCGGTAGCACAGAGAGTTGGATGTTTTCCAGGGGGCCAGCACCAAGAGAGAATATGTTGCTGGAGTGCAATATGGCTGATATGGCATTACTGGTGCTATGGAAGGTAGGAACATAGGCAGTGTAGTGATTAATCTTCTCTTTTTTTTTTTCTTTTTTTTTGCTTTATGTTTTTTTTTTTGGAGGGGCGGGGGGAGTACTTTATATGGAAAAGTCTTTTGGAACTCCATGATTATCAGGGTTTTCAGATCAGACTTGCATTCAATACCTATAGACATATATTGTAATCATGTACATGTATATAGTGAAATTTAAAATCAACATAAATTCTCTAGAGTAGAGAAGGTAGGGTAAACGAAATGATGACCCCCCCCCCCCCCCATAAAAACATAAACGATAACAATTTCTGCATTTAACTTTTTTTTAATGGAAATTTCATATTACCCAATTTTAAAGTTCATATTGCTTAATGTGTAATTTTCTACATAAATGAAGAAATTAGGGTGCTTTTGGAAAGATGAAAGTCTTGAAGATAAAAAGAGGGGTCTAATTTCATTCAGTCCGTACACATTTTTATTGTAGACTTGAATAACTTGTGTATGAAGAACCACCCTTAATCAAGCATTATTTTTCTGATGTGTTGTTTCTTATTGTTCCAGGCCTTCGTAGTAGATGAAGATGGTGATGATCATGTATTGTATGGCCAGAGTCATCTCACTATTGATCAACTCAACACAGACACACTCTCACATCCTGTCAGAAAGGTATGTCAAACATGTTTACCTTTATACTTCAACATGGAATTTGATTTGCTTTGTAGTTCAATAATGTAATTTGATGCATCATTTGCATGAACTATTAATATGCAGTGCCAGAGATGCCAACCAGTACGATTTTATCGTACTTAGTTTGATAATAAGAGTGAAATACAATAATACAATATCACCTCCTGAAATAAGATTTTTCATCTTTCAAATAAAATTAAAAAAGAAGGATATACTGTCAGTTTTTTTGTGTGTCAAGAGGTTGGCATCTCTGCAGTGCTACTAAAAGTACTGTATATAGTATTTGATTTAAAGCTATGTTAAGATGAGTTTGAGATATATGCCAATTTGAATTTATGGAGTGCCGTGCATTGGACTTTGCAGGCCCTCATTAATTGTATGTAGATTCTATGTTAATGTCACTAAATCAGTGTCTAATCAAATGTGTATTGAAGCACTTTGAACTCATTTGAATTTCAGGACTTTGTTGTTATTTGCTATTAAAGCAGCTTTGTACTTTGATTGTCAATCTTTCACAGTCTTTGTTATATTATATTACAAATTTGTAGGAAAAAATTAAAATAAATCAGGGGGAACAAAACAGTATATGTCCCAAGAAAAGAAAAGTTATTTGAACATATTTAAACATTTATTGAAGTTAAAGTGTTCATCAGAGATGCCAGTCTTATGGCTTTTGCCTGATTTCAGGCCCTGACAACTTCCCATTCCGGGCTTTTTCAGGCTTTATATTGTACAGCACATACAGGGCTTTAACAGGTTCTGGCTTCTTTTCAGGCCCAGTGAGTAAAACTGACTGGGGTCCCTGGTTCATCTTCTTTGCTAATTTAATTGAAATTTTAGACTGTAATTAAATTTTAAAAGGAAATATGGTTCAAAACTTTTGGTTGAGTCATTTTGACCATATTGGAGAACTAAAAGTAAAATTTCATGATTTGATATTCCTGTCTTTCTGATACATACAGCTTCCTATTGAGCAGAAGCAGGTGAAGTTCATCAAAGAACCGGTCAGTCTTGAACCACTCCTTCCAAGTCAAGAAGTCATGGCTTCACTCCTCAAATACAGCTTACAATACACAGAAGCTGTGCAGAATGACTTCAACAAGAATAGGTGAAGATACTACTCTCATTCTCTATATGTGGTACTGTATGGGTAATGACTTTAAAGGATCTGTGCATGAACCTTATGAACCTCATGCAATGTTCTTTGTACTAGTATTTATCTCAAATTGATGGTTTATATCAGTAGGTTAATAGCTATATATATATATATATTCAAGTTTTTATTTTAGTTACTTTTTAGTAAATTTCATTCTTGACAGAAATGAACAGTACCGGGTGGGTATGTATTTTATACACATCTAACATATGTAGGAGCCATGTTCAATTTTAGATTTTAAATTCTACCCAGAGGCTAACCGAGTGAAGAGAACATTATGGGCTGTCATCCAAATCATTCATATTTAGCAATATTAAGTTTTTTTTCCAATTTCCACTTTGTATAGACGGATATTTTTTTTTTTCCCCTTCTGTTTATGCAGGATATGTTCACTGTCAATCAAACTGTTGCTATGTAACTGCACCGATTCTTCATTGGATGTCTTGATAGAGACCTCATCAGCCATTGAGAACGATAGGTAAGAATAGATTATTATCATCACTAGAGCAATGCATCGAAATGTATGAAGATTAAACCATTTTATGTCATTTTATTAGTATCAATTTATTGATAATATATTGCACAGAAGCAAGTGTTCTCGTATTCCATTAGGATCCATTTTGATTTGCAATTTTTATTAATTGTACATTTATAATGCTGAATTTTCAACAATGAAGGAAAAAGCAACGTCAATCTGGCGCTGCTCCATGGCTGCCGGGCTCACGATCAATTGGGCAAAAAGAATTTCTATTTTCGGTTCAACTTATATTTGGAGTGGACTTTAAAAAATTATTATTATTATCATATTCATTTCAACTTTGTAATCTTTGTTTATATCAGTCTCCGGACAGTTTTATCAAGGAATTTTGTCCCAATATACCAAAATGAATGAATGAAATTTGTATCATAATGTAATTATCAAGCTCTAAAAATAATGCTGTCATTAATGTAACAAGCACAAGTGTTGTACGTGAACTTGCAGTTATGGTAAAAATTCCATATTTATTTGAATCCACAGTACGTCAGACCAGACTGGATCACGAGTCACGTCACCTCCAACCAGCAGTGGTTTCAGCTGGGTGAGTCAAGCCAGTCGTCATCTCACCCTGGACTCCAGGCAGGAATGTAAGCTAGGTCTACTCTCCTGCTGCAGTCAGCCTGGGGTTTATGATCTCAGTAGTATCAGGGTATCTGCGATCACGTCTGTCCTCGCCAAGACAAAACCCCTCATCCTGCAACAGAAACTCTCACCGTGTTTACTCACTGTCACGTCACCCAGCTAAGCTCATCAGGGTATCTGCTATCCCGTTAGACCTTGCTAAGACAAAGCCCCTCATCCTGCAACAGAAACTCTCACCGTGTTTACTCACTGTCACGTCACCACCACCAAGCTAAGCTCATCAGGGTTTCTGCTGTCCGTTAGACCTGGCTGAGACAAAGCCCCTCATCCTGCAACAGAAACTCTCACCATGTTTACTCACTGTCACATCACCCAGCTAAGCTCATCAGGGTATCTGCTATCCCGTTAGATCTTGTTAAGACAAAGCCCCTCATCCTGCAACAGAAACTCTCACCGTGTTTACTCACTGTCACATCACCACCACCAAGCTAAGCTCATCAGATGTGGTGGTCGAGTGGATACGTCGCCGAACTGTCGATCACAAGGTCCGCGGTCATCCCATCAGCATCAAGTCTCGCCGCGGCACTAATGTCCTTTGGCAAGACATTGATCTACATTTGCCACACTCAACCCAGGTGATGTAAATGGGTACCTGGCAGGAATTAATTCCTTGAAATGCAGGAGCGCTGTAATGGCAGCTAGGCTAAAGCGGGGGTAATAATAAATGCACCTTGGAATAGAAATTCTAGATAGACGGCACTATAGAAATGTCTATTATTATAATTATCATTATTATTATTATTATCAGGGCATCTGCTATCCCAATCAGACCTGGCTAAGACAAAGAGCCTCATCCTGCCACAGAAACTCTCTCCATGCTTACCGCCATGATAGTAACAACAAGTCATGTCATAGTCTCTGAGAAAATGTTCAGTCTTCATCAGCCAAGAAAAATGTAATTGTTTATTTTGTCAACATTATTAAGGTAAGGTAAGGTATTAGTCCACATATGCCGCTCTCCACCCAGGTGTAAATTGGGTATCTGGTAATTATGAGGGTGATTCTAATGGCATTGCCCTCAAGAAGAATAGCATTGATGCTGATGAGGCTTCCCTGGTTTTACAAAATTATTATTATTACGGTATAAGGTTTCTTTTAAAGCTTGTGGACAAGAGGCAAATCTGTTTCATATATTACAAATCTCATAACCTGTCGTATCAATTTTAACGATTCGATATACTGAATACAAGTGTCTCATGTATGCAGATTGTAGAGTCAGATATACATGCATGCGTCGGGTAGCCTATACTCACAGACGGACATTTCATGGTCTCTTTTCAGTATTGGCAATGAATTTGGTTGGCCATAGGAGATCCTCCTGTCCATTATTGTTCACTGTTTAATGTACCTTCTACAGAGACACCCTTCATTAGCCATACCGCTCATGTGTCTTCGAACAATGAGTGCTTAATTACCAATCCTCTTTGATTTCTTTGCTTTTATTGTAAAATCATCCTTTGGGCATAAAATTATGTTTCTTTTTGAGCTTTCGATACAACAGTGTTTACCTACTGAGGCACGAAATGTCATATCCAGCCGAATTTCTTAAGATACCTGTAGGTGCATTTAGAAGATACAGACATCATGTATTGAATGCCATCTTCAGTCTCATTTCAGATATGATAATGGATTGAACTTCTAATTTTGTGAAACTAAAATCTTTCACAGGCATAACATGTTCTAAAATTTTGTGATTGGATCAGTTTAATTAGCAAAGATGGCTGCCGTAAATTAAGTGAATCGTATTTGAAACAACACTGATATTGTGCAATTCATGACAGTATTGTGCTGCGATATTGGCTGTCATTTACAATACGGGAGAAATTTACTAGTTATACAGTAGTTTATTTTGTCGGAAAATGATATTTCAAGTGAAATCAGTCTTGAAAAATCAAAGCTAAAAAAATCAATCCATCCTTCTTTTGAGCTGAAATATTAGGTAAAAGCTTATATTTATGAAGCTTCTGAAGTTTATTCTTGTGAGTCATGGCAATTTTGAAATCCATTGTTCACTAAATGAACATACATACATGTTACCCTCAGATTGGACAGTAAATGCTAGGTCAAACGTGTATGTAGCAATGTATAGTGGTGTATCTTATTTGCCTTACCAGTTTGGTGAACTGATTTATGCCAATTATGACTATCATTAAGTTCTCATATTAATTCAATTATGTTGTTTTTATTGTGAACAAGCTTCGTTTCTTATCATGTTTCAGTGTTTTTGATGATACATAGGGATTTTTGGTTCATGATTTTCCGCACATGTGTTCCAAATGTCTATGTAATACAACGTCAGTGAGATTTCAAGAGATGTATGTCACTCACTGTAGTCAATCGTATGGCAAGTTTTAACCACACACCAAAACATTTAATTTAAAAATTTGTTTGGTGATGATAACTGTATTTTCGAATTGATGTACTTGCAATATGTTTTTTTCTAAATTCTTTCAGCTCTCAGTTATGATTCTGAAGCTGTAATAGTGATTAACATACTGCCAATCAGTTCTACGTCTAAATCAAAGGGTACCTAAGCTTCAGTCTGCCATTCAATGAGTGATTTCAAGTTGAGTGTTTAAGGCTGGTGTTAGTGTTTAAGAAACACTAACATCAGCGTAAACACTGAAATGGAAATCAGCTGGTGATAAGGCTTTGACCTCTGAATATCGTCAACTTCCGGTAGCTAGTGTTATCGATTTTGCAAAATTGTCGTCTGCTGAACCGACCTTTGTGGCTGGTGTTAATATTTTACGTACAATGTCCCATTCACTAACACTAGCCCCTAGGGATTAAGCAAATGTTGATTTCCAGTTCGGTGTTAGTGTTATACCCGCACACAGTCAACGCACGAACGACGCCAATTTATTGTCTAACGATCGAATAGAAATATGTAAAACAGGTAATTCATATATTCTTAGACCAGAGAAATAGGTGTAAATTTATTCTGTACTTTTCATGATATCTTTAGTTTTGATGTACTATTTTTTAATCATCGTCATGAAATCAAGTATGTGGTGACGTCACAGCTGTTGTTAAGCTATCAATTTTGATATCGGTATCGGGCTCTCGATTTCATCAGCAAATTTTTCGCTCGATTTAAGAGCTCTTGACTGCTCTAAACACCAACACTAACATTAACACCCAACTTGAAATCACTCATTGTGTCCTACCTTAACAAGAATTCTATGTTTATGTTTGTCTTGTTCTGACTGTAATGCATGACATTGAAAGTATCAAAATAGTTCATGGTTTGTTTTCCCAAGCACACCAGTGTCGCTCTGAATGTTTAGTTGCACTTCAAAGCTTACCTGTCAAGCCCAAATCAGGATCAAGTTCTATTTACCGGTACCTATTATTAGGAGTATCATGATGTGCTGCCGTTAGGAGTGATGATTTTGGATGGTGTCTGTAATCAGTCGCAACATAATGCTACAAAGCTCAGACAATTTTGAAAGAATTTTGGAAGACATGTAGACTTTGTTAGCTCATTGTATGATTTAAAGGAGCAAATCAATTTGTTGTAATGTTTGGATAACATTTTGAAAACGTATACCATACTTGAAAGCTTTGTGCAAGCAAATATTAACAGCATAAGCAACATTTGGATATATAGATGGTTTATATATTTACACTTTTTAAAGTTAAGTCATGCTGTGCGCCAGATATACATTCTTTTGAAATGAGTTTAATTTAAAGAGCAATGATGGGATGACATTTTTGTATGGAAGATGTATTGTCACTATTGTGGACTGGACTTGTATGGTTCTATTAGCTTTGGAGCAGAAAGGTCTTTAATTCATTTTATTGGTGAATTTAGGTATTAAGGTAATGTTCTGTTATTTGGAATGGAAGAATAAACTGGTTTCTTTCAGTACACAGTACCTGGGCTTGTGACCAAGTATTTCAGTACACATTGTGCTTGTAGCATAGCAAACAAAGAAATATATATTGAAGTAATCATGAGTTTGTATTATTAAATGTTCCTGAATTTATACACTGTTATATTTGCGCGCTTGTATTTGAACTTGTATTGTACATGTATATCAATTGTTGAAGCACTGAACTGATGATTTTATTGACTTGCACAGAATCATACATGTAGATATATACTTATTATAGTATACACAAAATAAAAGTTTACTCTTGTTTTTTCTTTGTATCGTTGATGCCTGTGGCAGCCTATTTCATAGCCACGTTGTCAAAATATTATGCATTCAGCAGCTTACCGGTAGGTCATTTTCATTATATATTGAAATCAGAGGAAAGAATGTGATTAACCAAGTTACATTTCAAAGTTCTTGCATTTATCAACTTTTTATACAGGTTTATTGTAGTATAGGCATGAGAAAAGGTCTTGTACATTTTTCTTTTGAGCAGCACCCAGGAAACAAAAATTTATGAAATCAAACTGAATTTAATTATAATTTCAAAAATACATGGGTTAAATTAATCTTGAATAGGCTAAAATCAATGAGATGAAAGTGACTTGTGAAGAAGTCAATAACTCAGATTTGATTCCTGTCATCAGTCATTATATGACTTCTATTAATCATTTTGTGATGGAATATTTATAGTAGATCAGCTTCCCAATGCTTTTGCAAAAAGGAATTATATTGTTTGAAAATTTGTTGCTGAAGAGCACTAACATGTAAAAGTATGTAAAATCATCAGTTCAGGGCTTCTTTTGAATTGTCATAGAAAGACAGATAAGATGTAAAACAAGGAATATTTATGTATTGCATTGAATCAACCTATTTAGACATCATTACATATATTGAAGGCAAAAATGACAAAAAGCAATGATTTATTATTACATGTGTAAATGATATATCTAATATTGTACAAAATTAAACCTATTGTGAATAACAACTGCATATTACTATTTCGTGTATGTTTATTTATTGGAGTCTGATTTTCAGCCAATGAGACCATGAATAATAGTAGTTTTGCCATCTGTCACAAGATGTTTGTTCTTTTCTTCAATCACTGTTTTTGTGCGTTTTTTAGATGAAAGAACTGTATGCCCACACCAGTCCCAAATGAGCAAACAAGGACTTTTTGGAAGTGTCTTAATCACATTTTTTTCGAGTCTATTTTGAAAAGAATCAGGATGCCAAATCGGACTTGTCCACTAGGAACATAGGCTTTTTACAGATGCACACCACTTACGCTTTCTGGGCCGAAACTTTAGCAAAGTTTGATGGGAAGACATCAATACGTCATTAGTTGCATATTGTTATTTAAAGCCCCTCTGCACTAGTTTGGCATGGAGGGATTAGACCTCCCTGCAAGGTCACTGGCAGGTGGTTATCATCAAATCAGCTCTCAATAAACATAAGAAAAAGAGGGCGCAAGTAGCTATAAGTAGTGTAGTGTGGCTTTAATGTATATATGAATATTCCAGTGCTTTGATCATAAGGTGCCGTGATCCAGTGGATACGTCACCAGACTGTGGATCACCTTTCAAGTCTTTTAGCAAGGCTTTCGTCTACATTTGCCACTCTCCACCCAGGCCTTATTGGGTACCCCTGCAGGAGGATGAAAACGTTACTGTGGTTGGATTGACATGTATGCACTTGTAAAATGGTGCCTGGTAGTACATGTGTATGAGGCACTATACAAATGTGAATATCATCATTATTATTATTATAAGGGCATATTGTCATGAACAGATGAAACAAACAAAAGATGCAAAGTTGTTTTGACATGAGCTAAAGATGAATTCATTTATTTCGTATACATCAATGTGACAATTTTTCATCACGCGTCATAGCATTAATGTGAAAAATCCCTACATACAAAACCATCAGGATATGGACAGTACCAAACATTCAGACATACTTGCATTCTAGAAGTCCTCCATACATATAAATTCACCTTTGTATGCATCCACCCCCCCCCCCTCCCCTTTGATTCTACAGAATTATTGCCTACTTTGAAATGCACCTATTTTGACTGAAAACTGTACTCCATACAATTTTCACATAAATGCATTCTACAAAAACTAACCAGAGAGGTAAACACCATTCCCATCTGGGCATCGTAGCAAATTATATTCTGAAAATAATGAATACAGGTGAGATTGTGGTCTAGTGTGTGTTCCAAACCTGCCTAAAAGGACTGGTTGTGAGGTTTTTGCTTCAGTTATCCTTTTAGTAAACTGAGGTTCCAGTGTATGATCGTACAATTATCTAGCCTTCTGTACCATGAGTAGTATGAGATTAAGGAATTCTGTATTGTTAATGTATCTATCCTGTCCCGCTTTCTTTTATATTGCATGAATATCACATTGCCCTTCGTATTTTATACCTCATGCTTTAGGTAATTAGTCACATAAACATATACCAACCATATATAAATTTACTAAATATTAAACATGTATGACTAATCATTAATTTAACCCACAACTATATATAAAATCACATTAGACATATACAAGCATTTGACAAAATACATGAAAAGAAGGAATGTATCCCATAAATTAAAACATTGCACTTTTCTTTGAAATCTACAAGTAGCTTACAAATGTGGCATGTAACATATCAAAACATACACAACATACATGCTATACAGTCAAGAGCTGAATAGTATCTCTTTACTTAAATTTCTATGACTGCACATTTAGAATAAAAGATATATTACTTTCAGTACCGTTGTGTAAATATGTGCATGCATGTACAAAACATATAGAGAAAGAAATGAATATACATGTAGTATCAAAATATAATATACACTACATGCTCTACGCATATTCACCATATAATATAAAAGCATTTGCACATATGGAAGACATCAATTTTCTCTCCTTGAATTTTAGTTTAGCAATTTTCTACAGCTATCTCTAACTAGTATCAGGAGGATCTTAGAAAGAAATTAATTCATTTGACCTACAGGCTATCATCATTAATGACATGGGCACTGTCTTATAGAGAGTTGTCATTGATACACATTGATTTCAAGAACTACAATCGAGTGTAGAGTTGCAAACTTACAACTTCATATGCAGTATAGTATTTGCAGGAGTGTTGTGTTAGCATTTGTTAAAAATCAGTTTGATTTAATGGCAAGTTTATAGGACGTGGTCCTGAAATTTACATGGATTCAAAGTAAGACAGAGGATTACGGTATAACCCAAACTTGCTAAAGTTAAGAAATACTGATTTGAAATTATAAAATTGATGTACATGTATCAAATGAATGAATACAAATTTAAGGATATGTGAAGAATGCTTTCCCTTTTTCATGTATATCTATAAAAGATGTCAGATTCTTGGAAAACCAATTGCAATGGCAAGATGAGAATCATTGCTAAGTATTGGCTGTTTCTTTAACATGCTTTAAAATCATGGATGCTCTATCAAGTAAGTTATAAATGAAATCGATAAGCAATCAACAACATTTCTCTTCTACCACAAATGTATATTCTAATGATTCGCTTGCTGGGATGTGGGAAACTACATCATGTGTTATATATATCTACAGACACTGTACCTGTGAAAAATGTGTAAAAGCAGTGCTTAACATGTTCCAGAACCACAGCCAGTACAGAGATATTTTTATGCTAAATATATTTTTGGAATATAGCATGGATCATTCTGAAATGGATATCTATTCATTAGATATTGCAGTTAATAATACAAGGTTGATTTTCTGACTGCATTAGTTACTACCAGCAAAAGAATGAAAATACTTTTGCCAATCAATGGCAACATTTGACTTATTCCCAATATACACTTCATGGCTTACAATCCCGTTTTATTTAGTCCTCAAATTTTATTAATTATATTTGTGACAATGTCACTGACCTTCAATTTATTTTCATTTTCTTTCATGAAGAAATTGTGGGTAGAGAGGTACGAGCCATCATATATTTCCCATGCTGATTGTAAGGGATGTATCAAAGCACCATATCTAATTTCACAATGCTTGTTACAGAAAGACAGCTGTGCAGTGTATCAGAGTTAATTAGAATTCATGTAGTTCAATCGAGCAAGGAATACTGTACTATAATAAATAAGAGCAAGCTTTGAAAGGTGTGAAGATCACATGGCATCAAAGTGAAATCGATGGGCTTCTTGTCTCTTCTCCTTTTCATCATCTTTCTGTAAGTTAATAGAAAGAGAGGAGAAAGTTAGATTGCATGATCTTACATTGTACAAGCAGAACATGAATAGTGAATGAATGAATGATTATTTGTTATTTAATAAGGTATAAACTAGAAAGCATAAAACATGAATGTATCTAGTAATCTTCACTGAAAACATGAAGCCACAACAATGGCCCCCCCCCCCCTCCCCCACAACAACAACAAAAATGATGGAAAAACAGATATGTAATGAAAAGAAAAAATAATGAGTGGATGGGAAGAGAACAGAATAAATATAAAAGTAACAGAAAGAGAAAGAGGAAGGAATACATCAAGTGAATTGAAGCTGTATGGAGAAACAACCTGAAGAAAGATTTCCAAAAATAAACAAGAATGGTAGCATACCCTCTCTTTGAGATGAAGAAATGCTGCTGTTAATGTCAAAACAACACAAGTACAGATCAAGATAATACCAGTCAAGAGAACAGATTGGCCAGGGATGATTAGAATCTTGCTTATCCAACTGGGACAAAAGAAGAAAAAGGCAAAGTATATTTTGTTAAATTAACCTCAAACATAATGGTTTATTGACACTATGACTAAAATAATACATTTCAACCTGAAAGCCAGATAGCAGATTTTGTTAATGGTGAAAATAATGAACATATCATAATTACATAATTAAATATATTTTGATGATTGAATAAAGCTTATAAGTGATAAACATAAATCTTTTCTTGACTTTAGAGAAAAGTATATCTTAGTAACCTCTGGAAATCATTGATATGTTCATTACAGGGGTGAAAAAAAACAGGGAAAAAAAATTATGAAAAAATATTAAAAATCGGAAAACCAATTTAAATCGAGTTTTTATCAGGCCTGGTTCATAATAATCAATTATATTTTATACTTAATGATATAATCTGCTACGTGGACTTCCTCAAAGAGAGACCATCTTTATTTACTGATGTCTAATCATAGGCAAATTCATGGTATCTGTGCATTTTGTGTCTAATAAATTACAAGCCCTATCAGCTTTTACAGATGCACCATTTTCCATTTGTACTATGGTTTTTACTTTCATATTTTCTTTATATTTTGAATATTATTATGTTAATTTATATGATGAAAATAAATGTCAATTCAATAAATTATAGCTGTGAAGAACACAAATATTAATTGTATCATTTAATATGATGTTTGAATTAACAAAATCAACATGTATACTAAATCCTTTGATGTAATGACTGTAATCAATATCCTAAGGCTTGCCCTAGAGCATCCAATATATGTATACTCACTCGTTAGGTTTGTCCAAAGGATCCGGGATGACGATCAGCTGTGAGTTGGGTATAACAGATGTCCATTCATGTACCCTCTTGTTCTACGCAGAAAAGAAATAATATATATATATATTATTCAGCTGATGACACAGAAATTAATATTTACACATATACTCTACATGTATAAAAATAAAAAATCTTGCCTGAATCATATTCTTGATACACAGAGGTTACTATTTGTAAATACTAAAATTTTACATTTCAGAGCAGATAGTGATTTAAATTTTCTTACAGTAAGTGCTGGTGAAGAGTTGATTTTAACTGTTTGTATCAGTCTCCCGACTGTTTTAACATGGAATTTTGATTCAATAAACCGAAATGAAATGAAAAATGAAATGAAACTGTAAAAAAAAATAGGTTCTCTTTCTCCTTGACATATAAAGAACAAGTTCAGAAAAGATTCAGACATATTTCTAAGCATTATTTACCAATATTGGCATCAAGATGATTAATGGTAAAGTATTATGTTTGAAAATTTGTTACACCAAACTCTACCTGCAATATTTTACGACTTGATGAAACTATGTGAGCTAAATATTTTATTCATGATTGTCTCAGTCATAGGCAAATATGCATGTTTTCCTTCAACTTTTCTAAGTTAAAAAAACATGTTTGATTTTTAAAGTTTACAAATACATATGGTTATTAATGATTTGCGATTCAGGAAGGAAGGGAAGAAAAAGGTCTAACCTGTGTTCCTTCTTGTGTTGGGCCAGGAACACCAACCATAAGAGTGTCTACAAAGTTAGGATTCTGTCCCAGTCCTAGTAGGACATAGGGGAGCTGCAGGGAGAAGTAAGCAGACTGGGAGAGCTGGGAACCTGTATTAAGAGAAGGACAAATATAGTCCATCAATCACGCAGTAAAAGGGAGTCAAAGTAACTTTTTAATGGAGAACAGCACTGAATGCAATTGAATTTGAATCAGTTTGGCGAATTTGGCCTCTGGTAGGGGCTAGACACACTGCCAAGTTTGCTAAATCTGAAAAATGTAACATCTATACGATAGACATCACAATGTTGATGTCATGCATGTCTGCTAAGCATGTCTAATATGAATTGAGATACATTCTGTACACTTGATTTAAAAGAAAATAACAACAAATTTAGCCTACGTGAAGCAGAGTATCTAAAAATCCATACATGTCTTCTCTTTTAATATCATAATGCAATCAAATAATATTATGCCACTGACTCTGAAAGAATGTATAAAAGATAGATATTATTGGTGAATGAAAGAAAGGGCTAACTTACCTCCAGTCATCTGAGGTTGGCCTATAGAGCTAGTAGTCTCATACCTGACCACAGGACCTGGCTGGGCTACCCCATATGGCTGTAGAAAACAATACATGTTAGTCAGGGACAGATAGAAGACTGGGGTATCTAACATTTAAGGATCATCTTATAGAAAGCGGTGGCCACAAAAACTGCCTTCTGAGAATTACTCAATAATCTTGAGATAGGTTTTTAAAAAAGTCCTTCAATACACTGGGGCAGTTTGTGATATATTTGTATGTAAATTCACATTCCAAAGCAAACTATTTAGTTACGATCTATCAAAGTGTATAATATAACTGAAATTCCATTTTCTTACCCCTTTAAAAATTAAATTAAATATCAAACAAAATTGCTTATCCTATGATGTAATTTTTCATTCCACAGGGTTTAGTTGTACAATTTAAATATCACAATCATCAAGTATCATAACAGAGTAATCAGTTTAATCATTAATGTTAAACATGTATGATCTAAGATCAGAAATGCTAAAAGCCTGTTGTTGACTTACTATGCTGGAGCTTAAGGGGCAGTTTGTCTTGCAGAGTCCACTCAGAACTGAAACAAGAACAGAAACATCACCAATTGAAACTCAAGCCACTTGATTTAGAGAAATCTAGCACATAACAACTCACTTACCATAATCGTTTCCATCCTTTGGGGAAATAATATAGTTTCAGCAGTACAATTAGCCCTAAAAAAAAAAAGATGTTGCATTGCCCTTTAGGTGCCAAAACATGGGTCGGTCGGTCGGTCGGAAATCTTCTCTTTTTTTTCCTCCCTTTTTGGGCTGATATTTTACAGTTTTGAATGCTTTAATACATTTTTTTCCTAAAAAAAATGGTAAAAAAAAAAACACTTTCAAAAAGCCGACCGTAGATTTCAAGATTTTTGGGACGGTCGCAAAGGGAAATTTACAACATCTTTTTTTTAAGGCCTTATACAACCAAATTATAAAACCTTTACATTTCAGCTTTCATGATAATTCTGATAGAACTCTGTCTAGACTTGAACTTACAAATCTTTCGTAACAGAACAATAAAAATGTTTTAAAGAAAAAATAAAATAAGAGGGCATATGTTTTAAAGGTTAAGACCTGTGGTGGCGATGTTAATCAAAGTGGCATTATTTACTATCAGAAATTAATCAATAAGTTATATAAATCATCACACCTAACCGTTAAACCCCCACCACAGACATCAGAATGTTTATTGGCTAAGCAACTACATCAAAATACAAAATTAGGGCTTGAAATATGTAGAAGCAGCCAAACTGATAAGTTTATATCCTTACTCTCCATCTGTACAAAGTAAGCGTCAATGGCCAATATGTTATCCATGAGATAGATATCATAATCATGCTGGTTCCCTCCAGAGGTTTGATTGACGATAATGATGTCCAGCTGGCCCTGCAATGCAAATCATACAGTATTTGCAAAGAGTGAATATCAAATAGTGTGGATGGTGAAGGAAAAATGTAATTTTTTCTTCTAAAAACAAGTAATAACCAGAGAAAATAGCGAATTCACTTCAACCTCATGTTAAGGAATGTAGTAAATGAAATTATAATCATCCTCATAACCCATACAGGATGAACTACATATGGCAGGAAAAGTAAGACAAGAGGAGAAAATAATTACACAAACGCATACACAAGATAACAGAAAAATTATCAAATAAAGAGTGGGTGCTAGTTATAGAATTATAAAAACAATTAAATTCTCTACACATTCCAGTCCAATCTTGTTTATGATTGAAACACAAAAAGAAAGAACTTACTGTACGTTGTATGTCAATGAATGTAGCTAGTACTGGGGATATGATGTCGTTAGTTGGGTCTGTGACCCAAGCAGGCTGCAGGCTGTCACCCACATTCTCCAGCAGCACAATCCGTCTCTGGAAGGATCTGAGAAGAGAGTTCCAAGATAATTCTAATAAATAATTGGATCGTGGGATTGAAAATTTGGCACATACACAAAGGTAGGCTCACTTAATCTGACCAACAAAATTCATTACTGTATGCTTACCTTTATTAACTCAAGCTTTATTCATTCTGCGCTTTATTACATCATCAATATCAGTTTTTTTTTCTTCAAGATCTGGTTTCACATAAGACTTTAGGTTAGATTTAGGGTTAGAGGTCGGTATAGTGTTGGGTCAAGGGATGAAACTTGGAATTTGGTCCTTAGAAACAGATCTAGGAGCAATTGTCACTGGAGTTTGTGGCGTGCAATGCTCCTTGGATTGGCAATCATTCCTCATTATTTCACTGGCATGTTGTTTGTTAAAGGCACCATGACCTTCTTAAGTTGTCAATGGCTGCTAGGAGCCTTCACACTCACCCTTTAACACCGGACTGAACCAGAACAAGGACATCATTGAAAGTGTCCAGGTTGAAGTCACCTGTCCTTGCTACCAAGGGTAGTACAGTGAAGTCTGTCAGGTGTTCTGACGGTGGCACAAACCCCCAAGTCTTCTTATCATAATCCAACTGGGTAAGGTTAAACATGGGTGTCCATGGTGAATCCATCTAATCAACATGGAAAAGAGAAAGACGCATCTAGCTGCTGCCATACTACATGAAAATTACTGTATTGCAAAAGATTATTGTATCTCATTAATTGCTCGTAGTTTAGTTTATGAATTTACAACTGATTCTTACAACTGACTAAACAGTGAAGTAGTATGAATATCAACTGGAGTTACAAAGGCATGGGGTCAAGATCAAAGGTATTAGTATATATATTTCCCACTTTTTCCCCCAAGCGTAGTAAACTGGTGAGTGGTAGGTGAAAATTCCTTTAATGATGTGTGCATGTACAAAATGCATAGAAGCATTGCCACTTTAGACTTAACAATAAATTGCAAATGTCATAAGTCGTATTTTTCATATAAGTATGGACATTATGAAAACTTTTGAGACATTTTATCCTTATCTGACAATCTATGCAAATGAAATGCATACTAGTTAGGGAAGAGAAAATTTTCCTAAATGCAATTAAAAACAGAAAGATCGTTTAGTGTTCTGGAAGATAAATCACAACTTACAGGTCCCAAGAATTTAACATAGATGGCTCCCTTTGTGCAGTTATCATTGAAGCATACTGGTAGAATGTGATCCAGAAAGGAATCAGCATCTGCAATGCAATGGAAATGAGAGATATCAATTTTAAGTAAACTTCATTTTCAGGAAGTTGAATCAAAATCAATTCAAAGGCTTAGTGATGATTCTCTTCCACCAAAGATTTCATTAATTTGTAGTTTCTAGCATTCAATATAAGCTTTGAGGGATTCTGGGAGAAATTGACTTCATGCCATTTTCAGAATCCATGATTAGCTTTATTGACCAAGTGTCCCAAAGACATTGAATCCCTTCTCTAGTCATAGGAAAGGGATCATATCAAGGAACCGGGTAGGTCAGAGAAAAAAAGGGTAAGAATATCGAGACTTAATTGTTGCATGCATCATGCTCAAGTTTAACATTATCAATCAACATCTCATGACAGCATCTAATGAAGCCAGAAGAGCTTCATCTCATATAATTCTAGAGAGGATTAATGCCCTTCTAGCTTTCTGCAGATAATATGTCATAACTTACTCATGTCTGCAAAGGTAGACACTCCTAGATGTGCAATCTGTGGTTTAGTAGGAGGAGAGTAACCCTTGTTGAACTGCCATGTGTTCAGTTCATCATCCGTGCCTGCCATGTAGGACCAGATCTCAAAGGTCACATCAGATGACCCATTGGATGAGGTCACCATGAAAAGGTCAGCAGCAAAGTTACCGGTCAGGTCCAAGAAGGCGTTAGAGTTAGGCACCACCAAGTGCTGACTTTCACGGCCAAGGAGAGGCTCCTCAACAAATTTCCTAGAGTCGTTTATCCTATAAAATAAAGGTTATTTAACATGAATAAAGGAACTTGCAGATGAACTCCACGGAGACAATATTGGTCTTTCTGTACAGAACACTATAGCACAGATCCCAAAGAGAAAACAATTCTCAAGGAAAATATAAAATATTTCTTTACAGATAGGTGGTCATTAAAGCAGTTTTCATTGTAGATAATTTCTTAGGAACACATAAGATTGCATGGTTGTGAGGTATGTATAAAGACTGACAAAAAATTGTGAAAATATTCAATATTGCATAACACAAACTTGCACATTCATTTACAGTTGTGATTCCAGCTTTCTAATTTTGTGCGATTTAGTTCATTCTCTGATCAATTTCACAATTCCTTTCATTCTTTCTCAGGAAGGTGGTCAACGTTGATGTCTTACTACTTGACACTAGTATAGTCCTTAAGCCTTTCAATCAGAATGCAATGAATGAAGTAGTGACCCACTTACATTGTCTTCCAGAACATCTTCTTTCCTGTCATGTCTGCTCCAAAGATATCTGGAATCATGTCACCATCACAACTACACAGGAAAATTAATGACACAAGACAAGGCTGATTCATAAAGGATTCATGAGCAAAAGAAGAAGAGACTATTTTACAAAAACTGAATGATACTCAAAATATGAAGTTCATGACAGTGGATATTACATTAAACAAAATTAAAAAAGGATTTATGACAAGATTGGGTTTCGTCACTTTTGGGGACATCAATTTCTACACTCTCATACATTGCAATTCAGAAAATTCAAATTCAAGAAACACAATTTATGTTACATCCATATTTCTATCCCTTTATTTCTTCCATCAACATGCCTACATGAGATACCCAATTGTCAACGTAAGGGAATATATATTGTGTGCATTTTCTGATTTTTGGAAAATAGCATAGGGTCATGATTAGTTCCTTGGACAAACCTTAGACAAAGATTTCAATGTTTATGGCAAATTAAGCAAGCTCCTGTTATGAAAGTGAACTATACATTTCTGTTCAATGTAATACTTACTCCATGACTAAAGGCTGATCTGATAACTGATCTGTTACCAATGAGGGAGGACCTGAAAGATATTGTAGAAAATAAGATCACAAGTAAACATCATTCAACTTAAAGGTAAAGACCAGTTCTGGTCATGTGATTGCATTGTGAAAGAAACGTTGTGGAATCGATCAGAAAAGGTTGATCATCTAGCATATAAGTATTGGTGTGTACTGCAAAGTTCTGGAATCATCAAAATGATAAGAAATTTGGCCCAGTCTTGGTAAAGTTACAAGCACTGTACACAGAAATATGTATATGGAACTATGTGACGCATGCACGATATCTATCCGGTCCGGATAGATATAATAATTTACCAAATATACCAATTAGTAGGTGGTTTCAGGGCAAAATTTGTATCATCACGTATTAGTAAAATCATATTCTTTCACATGATTGATAATGAGAGCTTCCATTTCATTTTTTGAGAGGGGGGCGTTTCCAATACTGGTCTACCGGTATACCTTTAATCCAATCAAAATGACTGCACAAATGAATTAATGGTGTGAACACATCAGGCATATTGTACTTTGTTTTTAAGTCCTGACACATGCTATCTAGTGCATACCTTCTGATACAGAATCATTAAAATTAATGGTCCTCATATATCTCATGGAAAATTACTCATTTAACCTAAAATCTTCTAGAACATGGGATCATACTACCTACTTGAGGTTAAGACAGGAAAATGTTGATAATCTGTTGTGAGAATTCATGCAAGCACTCAAAATATGCTAAATCTATAGAACATCAAAGAATACTACTTGAACTATATCCTTTGGATCTTTATCCTTTCATTTTTTTTTATCTGATTATCTCATTTTCTTCTTCCTTTTTTTTAAAAAAGGGAGACAGAAAGCTTGTTGGAATACATTTCTTACCATACTCCATAGCTGTTATATTGCCCCAATAGACAAAAGCCTTGGTGGGTACATTCACACTGAGTGGATCTGAATTAGGCTTGGTAGTTATCAGCACATCTATCTGAAAGTCTCCATCAAAGTCTCCCGATGCCACGCTAGTGATTGTATCCTCTGTCCTGGATGTTCATGGATTAGTGAAAAGTTTGAACATGACCGTCATTTAAATCAGTTGACTTTTATTTAGATATCAGCTTCAATTTCTACCGACTGTTAAAAGGGATTGCAAGTTTGAATAAATCTTAATACCATAAATCTCTGTGTATAAGACGCACTTTTTAGCCGCAAAAAAAAATTTAAAGTCAGGATTTATGACCCTCCACCTGGCGCTATGCCTGGCAATGTCTCCCAGCACAGTAATCGGTGTGTTGACTCACCACTCAGAAACTAGAACACTCAAATTTGTCTATCATCTTGTTTTGAAAGCTTTCTTTCGAATAGCTCTCAATATGTAGTTTATAATAATAATTCCTCCAATTTGTCACTGTACCCATTCAGGCCATTGGTTCATGAAACTTCTGAAGCGCTCTTTACTTTGCTAGAGAATATTGTATTGCATTAGCTCAACTGGTGTTTCTGAAGTAATATATTACTGTTTAAGTGGCCCACACATGAAGAGCAATGTGTGCAGCGCTTTGTAACTACAAGGAAAGGGTGCTACATTAAATAGCTTTTGAATGGAATTGGATTTAAAAAAATATCCTTTTACACATTCAGTTGTGTACCTTTATTATTCAAAAAACATATCAATTTTCAGGGGCGGATCTAGCTTTTTGCTAAGGGGGGGGTTGATCAAAATTATGACGATGCAGAGCATCGTCCACGAGCCGCAAAGCGGCGAGCCGATTTTTTGGGGGGTGTTTATTTGAACCCCGTAAGTGATGTTTTCCTGGCATCTATTAACACAATGGAGACCATAAAAAGCAGTGCATGATAACGTCTTTTTAAATCAAGTAACAGTTAAATACACAGTTATATCCAGAGTTATCATGTGTTTGGTTACCAGATGAGTTGAAAATCTTCTCACAATATTTGCACTTGAAAGGGTTTCTCTCCAGCGTGCGTTCTTTTTTCTTTCTTTTTTTTTCCACTTCGGCGGTGGCCCGTGTCCTCAAAAAAGCTGATGGGGGGGGGGGGGGGGGGGGGGGGGGGGGGGGGGGGCAAGGGACTCTGTGACATTTGTTCGCCCAACCCCCCCCCCCCCCCCCCTCCCCCCAAAAGAAATAATAATAATAATAATAATAATAATGATAATAATAATAATAATAAATGAAATAAATACATAGAAATAGAATAAAATAAAATTAAGTTTTAAAAAAAAGATAAGATTTAAAAAAATGGTCCCCGGATTTTTTTTTTTTGGGGGGGGGGTTGCAACCCCCCCAACCCCCCCTCTAGATCCGCTTCTGATTTTAGTATTATAATCAGAGAGAGAAAAAAGGGGGGATGGAGCATAGTGAAACATACCTGCTTATAGTTGCAGACTGTTGAATATGTAACAGATAGGAACTATTACCATCCTTCATGTATAACTCAATTTTATGACCTGTATGAAATAGAGACAGTGAGAGAAACAGAGGCAGAAAGGAATCAAGCAAGTAAGCAAGAAAGAATAATAGTAGAAGATGAAGAAGGAAAAGGGAAGAAGAGTAGACAAAAGTGACAATAAGGTCAATGATGATGATGAATTGATGATTATGATGATGTATTATAAAAAGTATTTCCATAAAATGATAAACACATTCAAATGAGTTATACAATAATGTTGTTATATAAACAGAAAAAGTTAATTCTGAGACGAAGTAATAACTCCTAGATCTACTAAAGGAAGTATTACTATTGGACTTTGCAAGAAATATTAGGAGGGCTAGAATTTAGTAGAAATATATTACTAAAATCTTGAAATTCACTGGAAATTAATGAACTAGATCTATACAACCCGACTTCAGACCTACACCTGTAACAGTAACATTAAGAAACATTCACAAAGATGAAAGATTTCTACACATAAATCAAATAAAACCAAATTGAAGAAGAAATAACAAATCAAATTGTTAATTAATGGCTAACTTAACTGATCATGCGTGGCCTGGCCTGGCCAGTAAAAAATAAAACACAAGCAAATCAAATTTCATTTTCACTATCAGTATCGAAAAATAGCTGAATCTAGATCTTCATTTTCTTTTAAAATTTCTGAGATATCCCTGTATTCGAGTCGCAGCGCACAGCAGACAGCTCCTCGATCCTCCGCTCCGCGCTCCGGGGAGCTCTGGGGCTGGGCCCGTATATATACCGCATAGGCTAGTACGTGTATTACCATTGTCAGTAATGGCGAAAACGTCAGTCTTCTTGTCCATATTGAAGTCTCCGAATACTCCGATAAGTCCATCCAGTGGCCCTCCTAAAATCTTTTGCGTTACTCCAGTAAATGAAGCATTCGAGTAATGAATTTCTGTCATGGATATGACACAGCATACCCACAAAATATGGAAAATATTTACAACGCCGCGCCTTCGTTCCATGTTGATTTCTTCGCTGTGCATAATTGGATATCTCAACAAATTCAACCTCAAATTTTGATAACTCGGCCTGCCAACCATTTCGAGACCGAGTTGGAGTGGTATCATAGGCCTAATAAAAAATTAAAAAATGTATAGACCTATATATATATTTATAGATTGGTATACAGATAAGAAGATAAATATATAGATCAATATATCAATAAGCTAATAGATAAATAGATAAACAGATAAATAGAGAGATACATAGAGAAATAGATAAGTATATAAATCGGGATACTTATACATGCAAAGATGCAAACACGAATATATAAATGCATAGATAAAAAAAATGAAATGATAATGAATAAATTAATTAATAAATAGTAAACAAATAGGGGAAAGGGGGAGGTAGCTAGAGCGGGAGAGCTTACAAATTTGCCCCTTACCCCGGATTTAGTGTTTCTCACACCGTATACAGTCATGATAAATTTGTCTATACCAGGGCATGTGAGTTCAAGTCTCACCTCCCTGTCTATACTGCATACTTTCATGTGATGCGAGCATGTACGACCAAGAACGACGAACTATTGAAATACATGTATATGTATTAGATGCTGCTTGTAAGTACGTGTCGGCTTGCATGGTGATAGATATAGTTGACTTGCGGATGCAGAGAGAGAGAGGGTTGATGAGTCCTGGCAGTGGCGGATCCAGGGGGGGGGCCGGGAGCCCCGGCCCCCCCCCCCCCCCCTTGAGAAAAAAATCATGCAAAATCACGCGATTTTTACCTTTTTGGGGGGTTGGGCCCCTCCCCTGGCGCTCAAGAGGGGGGGGTGCAAATTTTAAAATTTTCGAGGACCAAAAAAAAAAAATGTGCTCACTACCCCCCCCCCCCCCCCCCCCCCCCCCCCCCCCCCCCCCCCCCCCACTGAGCGACTTTTCGGCTGGCTGAGTCGTTGCGATTTTTTTTTGGGACTCCAAAAAAAAAAAAAAATGTCCGCTTACCCCCCCCCACTGAGCGACTTTTCGGCCGGCGCGATTTTCAAATTTTCGGGAGCAAAAAAAAAAAAAAGTTGGGCCCCCTCCCCTAAGAAATCCTGGATCCGCGCCTGAGTCTGTATGGAAAGGACTCTGACTCGGTGTATGTATTTATTAACTCAACAGGCCACGGACAATCATGTGACAATTTTACCTGACTGAAAAAAAAAACATAAAAAATACATCGAGCATGGATTATAGAACAGCGTTTTTCAACCTTCTTCTTTTCCCCCACTTTTTTTTGTCACGATACCTTTAAATAAACAGTATCGCCTCATCCCAATCCAAAAAAGTCACAGAAAATTCATTGGCATCACTCTGCCACGTACAAACGAACGCACGCATTTATTTCTAAATTTGCGAGCGAGTGAAGTGAATGATGAGCAAACATTATACATTTTGTATACGATAAAAGTTTTATTTTGTAATCAACACACTAGATAAGATTTAAAATAAGGCATATGCCGTAAAATAATGTATGCGGCAACTAGTTCGCAGTCGAATATACATGACTTTAAAAAAAAATTTTTTAGGCCTATGACTTTTATGCATTCAGTCTTCGATAAATACATGAATATTCAAACTTATATTATGGGCATCTCGTTGTCCAGATTTGACTCTCTCCTGTTTTCAAATGTTGCGAGCGAGTCAAACAAACGAGGGTGATAAATTATTATTTCGATATATATAAGATAAGAACAAAAAATGATATATATATATATATATATATATAGTAAAAGAAAAATAAGATAGATGCGGACAATTTTTATTCAAAATTCAAAGGGAGAAAGTTGATAGAAATATAATAGAGTTATGGACTCACAGCCTTGATTTGCAGATGCAGCGATGAGCTCGTTTATGAGAAAATTAATATTTATTTTTAAAATAAATATTCATTTTCTCATAAAGGAAAAAAAAGTTCCATACTGCTTTTAATGGAATTTTTTTTTTCCTTTCCATTCTAAGCCAAATTTAACTATTCAATTACTTTCTCAACTTAAATATCTCAAACTGTATAGGCCTACCTTTAAAATCCAGGGCCTGCTTTATTGTAGGATCCGAATTTTCATGTGGAATAGACCGGTTTATATAGGCGGCGGGCCCGGGGGGGGGGGGGGGGGGCAAGGGGGCAAAGTGCCCGCACTTTTTCAAGTATCCATTAAGTGCCCCCTTTTACTTCAGATAAGTACCTATTTGCAGCTGAAACACTCCCGTCAGTCCCGTGCACCTCTTTTAATCCATAGTCATGAACGACTAATGACCCTGGATAAGAAAAGGATGCGTGGCAGAAATGACATGTGCGAAGCACAGAGTGGTATGGAATTACGAGTAATCAAGAGTGGTGAAGTGTGATGTCACCAAAAATCTATTTTTAGAATTTCTCAAATTTTTCTTCATTTTATGTCCAAATGTCTAAAACCAATTGAATATGTTAAAGGGGCATGTTCCCCGTATTCCAGAGGGCGCTCAAAATATACGTACGCGCTGGCGGACGGCGCTATAGCTGCCTATTGACACCAACATAATACGGCTCTTACGCAGATGGCATGTTCCGATAACTACACTGGCGGGAACGTGCCCCTTTAAGTATTGGTTGAGACAGGCGCGTACGCAGGGGGGGGGGGGGTTAAGCCCCCCCCCCCTTAAACTTTTTTATGTGTGTGTTTTGGAGGGATTTTTTTTTTTTTTTAAATTTTATTAAAAAATTTAAAAAATTGTAGTAATAAGTGAAAAGCCGACCTTAGCCCCCCCCCCCCCCCGAACGAAACGAAATATCGATCGGCCAAATTTTTAAATTTTGGGACACACCAACAAAAAAATGTGCTCTTACGGGAGGTAATCTTTTCCCTGAGCACACCTTGGCTATTGTGATGCATGGGGCACTAGCTTACAAGGAGAGCACTTCCGCAAGAAAAACAAATTAATTTCATAATTATTATATACACATTCTACATTATGTGTATTTTCTTTTGTTTATTGTTTTAAAGTTTGATTATTTAATATTTAAGATAAATACATAATATGTTCTTAACTTATTTATAATCTTGTTAAACTCCTTTTTGCTTTTACCTAATATATATATAATGCAAACAGATTATGATGATCATAACCTATTTCAATTCTTTATCTTTTGGGCCTACCAATATAGTTCTAATTAAGTAAAGTGTTTTTAGCTTATTTCCTATATATTGTCGTGTTATGGTTGTGAATTTGTCAGTGTTATATTACTATTGTTTATATGTCATGATTATGTTGTTTTTTTTATCGACACGGCCCTGATTGAAACCAGTCTGCAAACTGTTTCGGGCTTTTACCGTGTATAAATAATATAAACTCAAACTCAATCTCATATGCCTAGATGGATCAACTTTTAAATCAATCATTAATTCTCATTGGGGACTAGCCAGGCTTGGGAATGAAATGCTTATTTATAATGTTGTTTGATAAGGAGGAGGGTGTACGGGAGGTGGTATTTTCCCTGCGCACACCTTGGCTATTGTGATACACGGGGCCTTTAAATCAATCATTAATTCTCATTGGTGATATCGATTCCCTTTACTAAAACTTTCCACTTTTCAAGGACGATTGTCGTTATTTGTTCAATGCACAATTATAATTATTTATGATAATGATATAGTCAAGCCTGCTTTAGTGACCTCCTGCATGTATAGAAAGACCATCTACATAGACCACATTTTTGATTCCCTAGTTTGAAAATGGCTTACTTGATTCTCATTGAAAAATGTACTAAAGGAACCTGTAAATACCTTCCTATAAAGACCACTTTTATTGTCTCCTTTTGGTGGTCTATATATAGACAGGTGTCACTTATTAATTATTTCAAAGTCACAAATCTACCATGACAAAACCTCCTGATCCGACCGATCAGCTAGAGCATGCATGGACCCCATACCATGGTCAGAGCTGGTCCATTGTCAGAAGAACTGGAGAAGGAATCATGTTCCTGAGAGTAATCCTCCCCCCTTTTCGCGCCCCTATAGACTTAGAGGCATATGCTATAGCTGCCGCCCCTATTAATAGCTCCATCCGAATGTTAGTTCCCAGCGAATTATCGAAAGTCATAACAATGGTGTATAATCTCATATCCAGGCACTGGCAGTATTCTTACATATTGGTGTCTATTTCATGTGCCGCATATTGATCCGCCACTGAAAAAAATGGACCTGTATTAATCTCGTATACCGTTATAATCAGGAATAAGAGATAAGCTTATCCCACTATGCACCCACAATGCAATTTACGACTGGTAATTGATTCGCTGATGTCGAGCTGTACGTGCACGCTTCGCATAAACCCGGGATCTGCCGTATATGTACCGCAGCGAAATCTACATTAAGTCACTGTGCTGCGCTGCTATATGGCCGACGTGTACTAATCTTGAATTGCCGGTGACAGATAGGCGTTAATTTGCGAAGTTCTGGTTGGACGGTACATTTCTCTGCATCAACAAAATCCTCTTGCACCTTCTTTCTAGAGGAATATAATAACAATGGCGAAGCCAGATCAACTCCTTGCAATCAAACCACCAACGGAACTCCGTTTCCGAGGTAAAAATTTATTTGGTTTTGATTTTTTTTTTTACTCGTTTCAATTTGTTTTCTCATTTGATTTGCATTGTCGATCAAATCATCATGTGACATGTGTGTTATTATTAACGTTAGATTCAAGATGTGGCAGCTGACTTTAATATTTATCTCGGGTTCTAGTTTCTACGTAAGAAATATTCAGATGTTTGGCATTATCATGAAATAGGAAACCGCTCATCTCAGCCATCTGCTCATTCTCCGACCAGCAGAGCTGGCAGAGCACTATTTCGTCAATGACATGTCGTGGCTTTGCTGATTCAGCGATTGGAATGAATTATGAATATGATTATGATCAGTAAAGGCGCTTGTCCGGGAATGAGGATCGTTCGCATAAACGAGGATATCCTCCTAAACACGGTCAAATTGCGTCCTCAAAAATAAGGATCGTCCACATTTTTTTTCATAGGCGCTCTGCGGGTTTCGCCTTTCGGGTTTCTGAACTGCACACTGACGATGCAAAAACGGATCCCACGTAAGAAAATAACCCCAGTCCACTGTCTTATTTTATGGGTTGTCCGTCTTCCCAAGGATTTATCACTCATAACGCGACAGTCTCTGTACAAAGTCAATGTAAAAATAAAATTTAGAATGCATCAAGTAAATCACTGTGGAATCCATTTGTCGTATTGCCAACGCGCAGATTCGAAATTGGAGTGAAACGTCTGCGAAAGTGAGGATGATCCTTATTTTTACGGACGCGTCTGTACGCATTTACGAAGACGATCCTCGTTTATGCAGACAATCAAAGATGGAATTCTTAGTTCTTCCCCCTTGATGACTAATGTTACAGGACAGACTCGACTTAAACAGAGGAGCCGACCCTACCTAAATCAGAGGTTAATGAACGAAAGCGACAGAAATTTTTGGTCTAAGACTCGACTAGCCTTACTGTTATAGGCTTTGTCTTTTACTTAGTGATTCATATGTTTAATAAAATAATTATCACCCTATATCAATATCATGGTCATGGACTGTGTGGACATGAAACAGACTTGACAGTACATGAATCCTGTTGGCATGAACTGACATGCAATTTACATCACAAAAATGTTGACCTCTGACAGGAGTTTGTAATGTTGATCCTGGCCAGAATCTTGTGAACAAACAATTTGGTATACAAAAAATAAAACTGATTTCTCTTTGTCAATGTAATGCTGAATTGCAAAAGAGAAAGAAAAAACATGAAGTGCTGGATGTGTTGGTGATTCAACATCTAACATTTAGCGATACTTTCAATGACCGTATTGGGAGACTGTTTCCCCACTTGAGACTGAGAGACTGTCATCATGATCAATGATTTTGAGATTACGATAACAAAAGGACAAAAGAAACAACATCCACAAATATTTTCCTTTTTTCCAGCCAGAATTTTCCCTCTCTGCACTGAGGTCAGGAGCCCAGTGTTTTTGTGTATGGATCTTTAAAAAAAAGAGAGAACTGTTATGAAAACAAATGTAGACAATGAGTTTTTAAAGTAGACGATAAAAAGGGGTAATTTGTCATGAGGAATCTACTTATCACATTTTCAATTTTAGCCAAGGCTATCTCTTTGTAACAAATGTAAAGAAAGGAAACTGGTAGTGATGCTGGTATCCTAAATGGGGCTCTGGGGCTCCCAAATATGCTACCAAATATTTTTGACAAAAGTCTCTGACAATACAGACAGTGTCTCAACTAGTGCTGCAAACCGAACGGAAGTTCGCCGAACATGGCACTTCCGAACTGAACCGAACCGAATGCTAAGGCCTGGTTCGAATGTTAGGCAGAAAAATGTAAACATTTTCGCAAGCTAATAAACTTGTCATTTTGTACCTAATTTTCATGTCATGATTGCTCATTTTATATTTATTTTTTCCCATTTTCCGCCTTTGTGATTTATGCCTATAGATCCAGGGGTGGGCGCGACTTCACTGGTGCCATTTAAATTTCTAATCCTGACTTCTGCTACGTCCCGATCACAAGCCATAAACAAGAATACATGTGCGTGATCTAGCTAGCTAACTAGGCGCTGATCAAAACAAGTTCAGCTCGAATCCATTCAACCAAAAAATTAATATTTTAATTGTAACAATATCGGACAAATTTTACAATATAAATAATGAAAAAAACATATTATAGTATGGTATTTATTTATTCAGTAAAAATAGGGATTTAATATTTTTCCTATTAAAAATAAACTAGGTAAACACTTATAAAAAACAGTAATCGACGAGCCTGAGTCGCTATTCAAGATGGCAGCTTTCATGACTCTAACATTAGACAACAGCCGTCTCGGAAAATCTTTTGAAAATATCATTTATTGACAAATTGAAAACATGATTCTTTTAAAATTGAAAATAAAACACGATTCAAGACGGAAATACGAATGTAAGTAGTACTTTTCTTCACAAATAATTTAGAGCAGTTTTTTAATGTGATATTCGTGCTGGTCGGAAGCAGTTTTTTCATCAGGAGTGGGCAGAAGTCCTCCGTGCTGGTCGGGCCCGGCCGGCCCAGTGCCAACCGCTGTGGCTATAACGCTGCTTGCTATTATACTACCGAACCTCGAACCGAACCAAGTTCGGGTGAAAAATTGCCGAACTCTGCCGAACCGAACCGAACACGAACATAGCGTCTACAGCACTTGTCTCAACTCTCAAATAGAAAAGAGTCTCCCATATTGACTGTGTGCCTCTCCTAGTTGACCTCTGGCTCTGACCAGTTTGGACTTTGTCATGTTGTTAAACCCTGAGGCCATTATTATCTTTAGTTTACGTTCAGTAGTCTGTTTATTTGTAGTATTCATCTGTTTTTTGTTTTATTTTTTTCATTTCAGGTCCATTTACAGATGTCGTCACATCTGAGCTGACACTTTCAAATCCATCGGACAAAATTCTCTGCTTTAAAATCAAGACAACAGCACCAAGAAGGTACTGTGTGAGACCGAACAGCGGAATCATGATTCCCAATCAGAACGTCACAGTTTCAGGTAGGTACTATGGTATGGAAGGAATTTTAGAAAAGGAATTTGTATAAGAAGGGGAAGAAGATTAATGAAAAAGACAGAGAGACAGAGACAAACAGACTTGTAACAGAATTTGTATCCAGAGTAACAATTTATGATGTGATAAATTTTGTAGATTGGGATTTCAAACCTCAAAACCTCCCTTCCATTCCCCAAAATGCAGAGAAGATTGTATTGATTGCATTATTGCATATTGAATTCATTATATTAAGCAAGCTGAATAAGACTTACAGGTAAACATACAAAATATTTGTGAAGAAGAGATGAAAAATAACCTATGGAGCATTCATACAGAACTTTTAATTAATGATTTTTCTTCCCTTTTCCTTCTCTTCTTTTTCTGCTTTAGTAATGCTACAACCCTTTGACTTTGATCCAAATGAGAAGAACAAGCACAAATTCATGGTACAATCAATCGTCATACCAAAGGCAGATATCGACTTGGAAGCAGTGGTATGTATTAGCTCAACTTTTCACCTTAGGGATCATTCAAGGGTTGCTAATGTACACTATATCCCCCGACAGTATGCTGGACAATACTTTGGATTCAGCAGTGTCGCACCGCAGCATCCGCAGTCGCGTCATATTCTTGTGTGCGCTCTAACTGCCACATTCCTTGACATATTCCTTTCAAATTTTGTATGGAGGTGCATCTTGGATTCTTGGTATAATCTGCACACCTATCATTTTTAATGATACTGCTCCCAGTGTTTTGTCAGTGTTTCTGTCAAATAAAGTGGATTATCATATATCTGTGCAGTAAACTATGTTTTCTTTTTCCAGGGAATATCTTAATTCTTAAGTTATTTTGACTTTATTTAAATCTATTAATGTACATGTTCATTGATATCATTATCCTGTACTCAAGCAGTCATTTTTTTTTTTTAATTATGGGAAGTTCTCCCCAACATCAATTTGGTGTCAACCAGCAGAAAAAATGAAGGAAAGCATTCAGTAAAAGTATGAGAAAAATTATGATACATTAGAATTCTGATGAATAAGAAAGTCACAAATACTTTTGCAGTCTCAAAGATTACTTACAAAATTGGCTCAGATTGGCAAATATAAGATTTCTTTGCAAGCTACTTTCATTTTTTTTCCACTGAACTTTTTTTTTTTTTTTTAAGGATGGGGTTCATTTGTTTTTCGATAAGGTAATATATAAACTTTTTTTTTTTGTGTGTGAATAATTTCATTTGAGACATCGAGATATCCAATTTGTTGTGACCATTTTTTTCCTTTGTAGTGGAAAGCATCAGATGTTGCTGCTATAATGGACACCAAACTAAAGTGTGTTTTTGAATGGCCAGCCAACCAAGCTCCTGCACCTGCCTCACAAGAAAAGGTATCAACAACAACCCCCCCCCCCCCCTCCTGCCCATTCTTTTATACCCAGAACTGTTTCTCTTTTATACCCTTCCTTCTATCTTCCATTATACCGTAGGCCCTATACTTATATTTAATTATCTATTAGATATTTTATTTTTCATTCATTTAGTCAATCAAATTGTTTTAAATAAGGCATTACGATCCTAAAAAACTTAACAAATAAGAACTTGAAGAAAGCAAGCAAACAACTGGAAACTCGAACAGACTTTAATTTAAGCCTTGTCATACAAACTCTTACTGTTAAGTCAACCTTGACCCCACCTGACTTTCTGTTTGCTCCTTCCAAAGTAATGACATCTGGATTTTATATTACCATAAAAAAATCATGTCTCTATGCACTTGACATATCATTACTCTGGACATCAGATTTCATGTGCATCACCTCAAACCCCAGAGTGCCTTAGGGAGTATTCCAACCATATCATAACTGAGGATATAGACTGCTTACTGAGGGTAACTGATTGGTATCTGTTAGGGCATATTGTAGTTATGATCTCAATGTCTTTCCTCATCCTACTAGGTCCTTATTTCTCTCCTGCCTATGGAGTGGCAAGTGCCATGTTTATATGTTTTGATATCTATATATATTTGATAATGTACTGATCTGTTTGATGCAGGTTGAGAGTGCCTCAGCAGAGAGCAAACCCATCCAGTCTACTGTTCCCCAGGTCGGAGAGGAGAAGTTAGAGACAAGGGATTTAGATACAGTGGTCAAGGAATGCAAGCAACTCAGGAGAGAGGTTGGCAGCTTACGAGCAGAAAACACACAACTAAGGGTGAGGAATGTGCAGGATTATATCTAGATTGGAAATGCTCCTTCCCATCTCTTGTGGCTTTGTCCGTATCTTTGATATACTATTAAGCTGTATTTAAGACATCGTTTAACAATGTTAAAACTGAGATGCATGGCCCTGCGTGTTATCAGTGTCTGTGATATGGTGTAATATAGAAGTTCTAAAAAAATTGGGCTTCAAAATCATTAAGAATGCCTCAAAAAAGCAAAAATCTTTGAGTGACCGGTTTCACCAGACTTGTTTTCCCCAAAAGACTGTAGTGTTATGAAAACCGTTAGGAAAGCGCAAAATGTGAATTTGATTTCCAATCATGAATATCTTCATAATCAGACAGGCGATTGGCTTTTAAAAGTAATGGGGTTCCTGACTGACCTAAATCCAGGATTTTGTTTCATAATCTGAGACAAAGTTACCCAATCCCTTTAAAGGTAATCTTTATCTTGCTTTACCAACCAAGCTGTGTTTTACTGTAGCAATTTCAATCGTTCAAATATTTTGTTTAGTCTAGATTGTGGAAGGTTTGTTTCCTTTTTGCCTTTTTATCATGAAAGGCAGTTGCATTACAATTAAAAAAAAATATTTCGCAATATAAAAATCAAAATATACAAAGTAACAGTAAATTTTAACTATGTTTACAAAGGTTATATGCGAGGCTTTCCATGAAGGTTGCGAAAAACATGTATTCCCCAAAATGTATATCCATAAAAAAAAAAACGGTGTCTAAATTGTTTATTCTTCTTCTTCTGTTTGACCTTAGACGGAGGGCGTGAGGCAGCGAAGAGTTGAGGGAGGTCAACCCATGAAAACAGTATCGCCCACAGTCACAGAGACGAAACCCATGCTGCCTTCCACCATGATCATCCTGGCAATCTTCATCCTGGGTTTCCTCATTGGTAAATATGTCTTCTGAGACAGGTCAAAGGTCATCATGTATAAAGCTATTTGGATGGTGGTGGAAGAGAGAAAACAAAAAGTGTAAAAATATATTGCTTAAAATGAAAACTGTCACTTTTGTTGATATGATTAAGGAAGTGGATAAATACTGATACATTTTAAGATGGGAAGTTAATAGTTCTCTAACATTTACTGGATCTCTGAAGTCTATCGTGAGTGGAAGTGTGGGTTTTTTCCTATTATTTATTGTTATGTAGACAATTATTCTTATCAAAATCTCATCACATGTGCAAGATCTGAAACAGAATTTGTATAGAAATTGCTCTGACAAGATGAAAATGAAGTCAAACTGGAAGCGTGCTTATCATATTGGAATGTGTTGCATTTTAATCTAGAGACAGGAATGTTTGTGGTCATGTTAACATATCAGTCTCTTTTATGACGTGCATGGTGTAAAAAGTGGGATGCCTGTTTACAGTTGGTTGATCAATTAGAATGAAGTGTATTTGAAGTTGCATTGTACTTGATGCTTATGAGATTTTGTATGCAGAGTATTTGCTACAATTTGTGTTCTAATATAATTATGAATGTAGTTTTCTCATTTAAATGCTAACAAATGTAAAAGTAATCACTTCTTCCTTCATGTTTGATTTATCAATTATTTGAAATACATGCACAGTGCAACATTACATAGTCAATATATCAATATACCTGTACTTCATTTATTTCTAGGGTACATACATGTATTGTATTCTCTTGTTACGAACCATCACTATTTGATAGTAATGATAGGTTTGTTCAGTCTTTTTGAAACATTGATATTTGAGAATGAAGTGATTTTATCTCAAATACAACCTACTTGGTATGCTTCGTGCTTCATATTTTGTTACAAAATTAACTCCTCAATCTCTTCAAAGGATTGTGTTCCATGTCTAAAATTCATACTTTAAAATCCAAATAAAGGATTGAATTATGTACATTTTTTTTCTGTGGAGACTAAGCAAATGTAGGAAATACTATTCATGGGAATGGAATTTGAATTTGATTGTTTTACAACGATTAAAGATCAAATAGCATATTGATCAGGTGGTGATTCTTCAGATGTAATGACAAGTTAAATTGACAGTTGACAGCTCCCCTCCCCCATTGTTACCAAGAGAGCAGTGAATTTTAGATCCTAGAAAGCTCACTGTTCTTTTAGACTAAAAGTTCTCAAGTCTGAGGATAATACAAGAAAAGTGCACTGACGGGTCTGTGTTTTGATATATAGAACATTCAATATGCGAGGGGTGAAATCAGTTTGATTATCCTTACAGTATTTGAGATCACTATCCCTTTAAAAGGACTTTTCAGACTATTTCAATACCAGAATCTGTTGAACATGCACAAAGAGATGGTAGTAAAACATTCTACTTGTACATCCGTGTACGATTTATTTGTAGCATTCAGTAGGTATTGATGTACAGCTGATCAGATGGGACTATTTTTCTCCTGTTATTTATTATTCTTTGCTACAAGCTGTTTATTCTGCTTCATTGTAAATTATTATACATGTACATCAATATGGGATATATATGATAAACAATGCAAGCAGAAGACATGCAATCATTCGGATATGATACAAAATGTGACGTATTAAACATTCACACTGAATACTGGTAGTAGTCAACTGTATCATAAAAAAAGATGAAGAAAAATAAAAAAAGATTTGTATATTATTGCTATGTACATATATACATGTATTGCCATTACTGAAAGATGTGTAGGTTTGATTAGACCAATTATGATTGCTGTTATCAAACTTACCAAAAATCCCCATGGTCCAGTACAGCTAGCATCTTCTCAAATACATGTGTAGCTACTGAGCACATGGCCATGGGGGCTGTACAAATAGATTACTTTGTTGTTTTAATTTCATTTCAATGTTCTGTGTCTAGTTCCTTGTGACTATGTATTTGTAAGTCTTCTTTTTGTATTTTCTTCATGTTTTTCTTTTGTCTGAACACAAATCCTCTGTTGGAATCATAGGATTTCATCTTCATGTTATATATACAACCTTACTAAAGCAGCATTTCATGTTTTTCCAACTTGATTTGAAATTTGAGATTATAGGTTAAATTTCCAATGTTATTTCAGACAAAAACTGTGTTGAGGTATTCTTTGAAATTGTTATGATGAGGTTTGACTAATACTTTACCAATCTCCAATATTCTGCATTCAGTATTCCCTACTTTGGGGGTGTTTATCCATTACAGATGTAGCTGTACATGATGTGCATATTACCCATTTGTTGAAATCAAATACACATTGTCAACCTTAATTATACTTTTATGTACATACACCAAGAGCTTATCTGTACATTGGTATCGTAAAGTGTCTAGTTAGTTAGAATTATAACCCAAAGACTTTGTTCAGTGTAATTAAATAGTTTAGTATTATTTTTGATTTGTAACTCTTCACTATTACCCTTCATAATACCGGTATTACTTAGGTGTATGTAATTACATGTTAGCCTATTTTCAAATTATTTAAAGCAATTTAACCATGACTTTGGTACTAAAGTCAAATATATTACTCTTTGCATTGAACTATGACTATTATTTTGCTTAAATTAAATAAAATTGGAGTCTCTAGGCAATATTGTTTCAATTCATTTTGACTATGCTTGGCATCCCATGCATTGGCCAATCAAAATTTGTAGATGCACCAAACTTTGTTTTCCTAATTATTTAGGAATTCCTGTGTCTGTGTTAAAGTGTTATGTAATGCCAATTGTTATTCTGTTATGACATTTAATGTTCATGGATGACATTGTGTAAAGAAAAAAGAAGAAAGATGTTTGAAATTTCATAAGAAACAGTAATATGTATGTAGCTCATGTAATATATAAATTGATTATCATAGACAAAGGAGTCATGTTGTAGCTCATCCAAATGTGTTGATGAGGTGCACAATCTGTACATTTGAAATTTGAAATGTAATTCTATTTAAGTTCATATAGCATTATCCCAAGAGCTAAACCAATAATAACTTAAGAATAGACACAGATTGAACGTATAACTAGTGTACATGTATGAAGTCTTTTTAGTCTGAAGCAAGCGTATCACTGTTTACAATTTCCATATTCCTTTTTATTTTGTTCCATTATTTCTCTCTCTATATGTAGTTGTAGCGTAGAAGTACTGCCCATGAATATCGTCTAGAATAAAGCAATCGATTCTCTTGTAAAATTCCAATAAAACTTATCTGTGTTTCTTTCTTCTTTAATACTTTTGGAAACGTTTGTAAGTAGGCCTACATGTATTATCAATGAGAGTGGGAGCATGTATAGACATAAATGATTTCAGGATTTGAAACACTCATCCAAGTACTAGTGAAGAATGAGTGAGGCATGGATAAGAGGAGGGGAGAGAGAGAGGGGGGGGGGGGGAGAGGGAGATTGAGAGCAAGAGAGAGAGAGAGAGAGAGTGAGTGAGATTGAGAGAGAGAGAGAGAGAGGGGGTGGGGGCACTCATTCATTTCTACACAATATTCTGGCGTTCTCAAAACAAGCCAATATAAATATGTTGAAGTAAGGTGCCAGATAAAAACTGGTTTAAAATAATGTGTAAACATAATACACATAGACAGTACCGATTCATCATGTCACTAGCCTTTATTTTTTTAATAAAATCTTAAAACGTGTTGCTGAGTAACTGCGTGGTTACTGCCTATTATCTATAATAACATCCAAATAAAGCACACTTTAGGCCTCTAGTTAGTTTCAGCAGATCTTGTGATTTCATATGTCCCTCTTCCGAACGTTGACCTGGTTATAGCTTTACACTATCTCATTAAAATTAGATTCTCTTCAATGAACTCATGTAAAACGTCATGCTGGCCTTAGACATTGTCGTCATAAGAAATTCTAAGAGAGCATTGTGCTTCAAAACGGACATACTTGTTAGAAATTTAATATCATGTAAGAATAATTGTGGATTTAAATTTATCCTCCTTGTGATATATGACATCATACCCGATTTTATATTTCCTTCACCAGTATAAATTGAATAAATTTCAACCGAAGTTATGTTAGTGATCTCTATAAATTTCTGGATAAGCATTAGTGAGATCGACGCAAGCATCAGCAGGTTTCACGTATATAGTAGAAAGACGTTGACCCGGTTCCATCATACACCATATCGGTGCTGCCATTTCATATTGTGGCTCTTGGTTAAGTGGTGTTTTACATCGCTCTGGACAATCCTCAGTATCTGAATGATGAAAATCGTTATTGTCCTCATCGTCGATCATGTCAGATTGGTCGCATTCGACGTCATCGCCCGCCTGCGGGTCGATGTTGGAAGGAGAATAGTCGGGGTCGTCGAGGTCGTTTGATGATAGCCTGGATGATGGCCGGCAACGTATCGACCGCCTCGTACGTGATCGGAATATCGGTGGATTTGAACTGAGGTCCGTCAGGTACACAGGGCCTTGGTCATACAACTTGAGCTCCAATGATATTTCGTCAGCCTCTTTATTGCCGTTCTCACCATCATCACCGTCAAAGTTATTAACAGCACCTTCTTTCCGCCAAATCGATGACGATGTTTCGCCTTTTGCTGATGTTTGTGAAGGGGCATTAGTTTTGCTGAGGTTTTGCCGACATGAACCAGACAGATCGTCTCGACGTGATGCCTTGGCTAAGTTACCTGCTCAGACGAAAAAAAGGGAGAGGAAAAAAAAAAAAAAAAAAACGAAAATTGAAGGAGAAGAAGAAGATGATGATGAAGAAGAAGAAGAAGATGAAGATGATGATGATGATGATGATGATGATGATGATGATGATGAAGAAGAAGAAGAAGAAGGAGAAGAAGAAGAAGAAGAAGAAGAAGAAGAAGAAGGAAAAGAAGAAGAAAAAGAAAAATAATAATAAGAAGAGAAATAAGAACGGTCTTGTGTTACACTTTTTAGTTTGAATACGAAGTGATATACCACTGCGGTAGGTCTACTCAAAGCGCGATCGAGTCACTATTTTATTTTACCCCCTTATTATAGAATAACGCGGTAGCAAATACTTTCGAAAAATCAACTCGATGGTATTTCAATAGCTTATTGTATGTACCTCAGTAATCATGTTCGGATTACGTAACTAAGTGAATGAGAACGGGGTCTAATACATCACTGTCGTGTTCGCACATTTCAGTAGTCTAGGTGACGCACAAGGATATTAAAATAACCTATTTATTCATTTGTCGTTTTATTTTGACAGGGTAGCCCTTTCAGTTTTAAAACTGCTCGACCTATAGGGGCCTTGTATCAACATGATCATAAACATATTTACAAAACATATAAACATACATAAGTTATGATGAGCACATGAATTAAACAAAATATATATTAAATAAATTAAAAACTAGATCTATATGAGGGAAAGGAGTTTGCAGTGTTTTTAAATGGAAAAGACGCAGCCAGCTGCGAGAAATAATGTGAATTGCAGAACTCCTTGATCAAAAGTAATTGCCGTCTTGTTAGACGCTTCTTTTGAGAATATCGCAGTATCTTAACATCTACCGAAGATAGACAAAGCTTGCTATCGCCTGATTGAACTAGTCTTCACATTTCGCGTTTAACAGCAGTATAATATAAAACAGTTTGTGTTTCATGCACCCCAGAATATAATATGATTTCAGAGTAATATAAAACAATTTTTATTTGTGGTTCATGCATTCCATAATTTATTTGAGCTGTAGGGCCTGCGGTCTTACCTTCGACCTCATCAATTGCTTCAATCTCCAAGGATTCACCTAGTTTAGAAATCTTCGACGTCCGCTTCATGACCGAGATCGAAAGAGGATCGTCAGAATTCAGCCACGCCATTTTTACATTAGTTGGTTGTTGAAACGGTTGATGAATTAGTCTAGCCATATCGAAGAAATGTTTTTTAAGACGGCTCTTTATTATTTTTGAGATTGGCATTGGTGATGACTGTTGGTCGTACATTTTTTTAAATATTTTATTTTACATTTTAGGTAGAATCTTATTGACGGTAATTAATTCATTTTCACACTGATACCAGAGAGATCAATAAGCCTCAGTGGATCATGTTAAGCGACTCTGAAACAAGTTTCACGTTGTCTTACTTGACCGGACCTAAACAAAAATATATTGCCAAGTGATACAACACGTCACAATTGAAAAACGCGTCGTCAGAGATATACCTATGCCACGCGCGTAGGTTATGACGTCACAATACTTACTCGTTGAGGATTTTCTGGCACCGTACCCTGCGTGACAATGCGATGAGCGTTCATGTCCGACTTTTGCATCTAGCCATGAGGAAATTTAAGCGGACCAATTAAAATGCTGCTCTTTCCATTTTGTATGTAGACAAGGAGCATTGGTCTAAAAGGGCACACTGCACTGCTGCTCCTTTCGCATTATTGTAGGAAGGAGCCTGTCCCAAATGGAGAAGAAGAAGAAGAAGAAGAAGAAGAAGGAAGAGGAAGAGGAAGAGGAAGAGAAAGAGGAAGAAGAAGAAGGAGAAAAGGAGAAGGAGAAGGAGAAGAAGAAGAGAAGAGAAGAAAAAATTGTTTATTATGATTATGATTGTGATGAAGGTGACAGTGATATAGAAGATGATAATATTGGTTATTGCATTAAAGGGATGACAGGACTTGTTGATGCTGATATATGGCTTAGGCATGTCTAATGGTTATTGAACATCCCGTGGTACAAATGTCTTTTAGTATTCTTATCACTTCATCTACCCCTCCCCCCACCCCCGAACGTTACAATTGTACTTTTCGATTTGAAGTTGTTTCATAATCGTGATCTCTATCACACATATAAAATGCATACAACTATCGTATACAAAAAAAGAAGGAAAAAAAGTATAAATTCAAATTGAATGATTTATTAAGATAAGGTGTTGTGGCAATAACCCTTTATTTCGGAAAATAAAATGATTATCCTACTTAACAAAAGTGTTAAATTATTAATTAACATACGTTGAAATGGCGAAACATAGCAAATATGTAATATCACTATGTAACGCTTATTCATTTATGCACAAGCAGTACACTCCATGATACAAAGGTGGAAGTATTCTTTGAAAAGGGGAAACAATGGCTATTCAAGTGGCACCTCCATTGCAGTAGGACTGATTATTTCAAAATGTACAAAGTGAGACCTCTTCATGTTTTGAAGATCTGTGAATATTCGGGGTCATTTGGGACATGTGTTAACCGTGAACTGATCTATTGGCCCTCTCTTCAACAAACAATGTACTACTACACCATATTTATATTATATTACATGTATTTGGAGATCACATACACTAAACAGAAGATAATATATCGCAAGATTTATAGATGTTATATGTACAACACATTTATTCACTGATAATTCAATTGTATGCAAATCATACACATACCAGGTACATTCACATGACTCAAATACAAGGCCATTTCCCTGCATGACTTCCCATTTCACTACATTGTACAGAGGACTGTGTTCATATTTTCTTGTAGGCAATTCTCATGACGTGGTTTCAATACTACGGGACACCCCCCCCCCCCCCCCCACAAAAAAAATTTGACAAAGTACTACATACCATTCTATATGCTTCTTAATGACTTACTAGACAAGTGTGAAAACTCCTCAACAGGTGAATACAATTAACTCTGCACAACTCGAAGTTGCACAAGTCAAATTTTCCTCTGGGTCAAATTAATTTTTTGACTAAAATACATAAAACATGTGTTATTCACACACTTCCTACGTCAAATTTTGCATAAGTTGACCAATTGTTTGCAGTCACAACAGATTCAACTTGAGCAGAGTTAACTGTACTTCATCTTTCCTTGAAAATAGAGCTTTATGACTTAACCATAAAATGGATATGAGCTGGTTTAACCAAATCTTAGTGACTCAAACTAGGGCTTTATATGTTCTACACATGTATTTGAAGTCTGAAAAAGAAAAGTGACTGATCCTGCAATCGTAAAATAGCCGTCAAAATGACATCCCTGTCATTGTCCATTTTAAATGAACAGAATAAGTTCATGGCAGGTGTACCCATGTGTCTGTACTATTGATTCTCACGAATGGGAGTATCAATAGTACAAGAAGCGATAGAGAGAACCCATTCACAACTAGGTTAACTTCACCACAAACATCACTTAACTATCATATGGTTCAAGATTCTATACTTCCAACCTTAAAGGCAACGTTTAACAATGTTAAATCTGAGTAACATGACTCTACGTGTTATCAGTGTCTGTGATATGGTGTAATATTGAAGCCCTAAAAAAAATTGCGCTTCAAAATGATCAAGGAGTGCCTCAAAAAAGTAAAAATCTTCGAGTGACCGGTTTTACCATACTCGTTTCCCCCAATAGACTGTAGTGTGTAATTCCAATCATAAATATCTTGATAATCAAGACAGGCGATCGGCTTGTAAAAGTCATCGGGTTCCTGACTGGCCTAAAGGTTTATGATTATCATTGCAGCATGAGCTAAATCCAGGATTTTGTTTCAGCATCTGAGACAAATTTACCGGCTCCCTTTAAAGCTTCACAGGCAAACGTTCAGAGAGTTTTTAGGTATGGATGAAAGCTTGCCTGCTAAATGAAAGTTTCAGAGAAGCTTACCTTATGTTACGATCGACTAACAGAGGAAGTTTTTTGTATCGTTACCTATACTTGTCAAATAATTATCACAAAATACCAAATAAAATATATAATTTTACAAAGATTAAATTTTTTGATTTCTTTCGTCAGTCAACACATCTTCCTCTCTGATACAAAATTACATTCACATCTACAAGATTCACAGAACAAGGCAACAAATAAGTGAGGTTCAGGAAATCATTGTAAGAACAGCTTGAAGATAAAGTTGAGTTCTGGTCGTGAGATTGCATTGTGAAAGAAAGGTGGAATCGAACAGAAAAGGTTGACCATTTAGCATAACGTATTGGTGTGTACTGCAAGGTTCTGGAATCATCAAAATGATAAGAAATTGCATAATACGAGGATAACGCTCACAAATTATTTTGACCTCTTCCCAGAACTCAACCTTCTCTTTAAATGACTGATAGAAGCTTCCTGAATGGCTGACATAGGGAGCATAAGGTCAAATTAGAACCCTTTTCTTTGGAACCTGCATCTGCAATGATTTGTGAGATTTACCAAGATAATTATATAAATAATGGGTCAATGATTTCAACATTCCTGAGTAATGAGGAAACCTCTAAGTAGACTTCATGGACTTCACGATCTGTATTCTACTAAATATGAACCTCATGCTAGATTTAGACATTTGTCCAGGATCAAGCATAACAAAGGAAGTTAGTCTGAGGTTTACGTTTTCTTTTTGTTAAACATGAGTTTAAATCCAGGGTTGGGTTTAAATGAATTAGAAGATTACACACGAAAGGGTCCAACTTAACTTTGAAAATGTCACAGAAGTCACCTAATTCATGCCTGCACACACCAAAAGCAATATCGTTATGCCCATTAGATTGATCCAACCATTATGATGCAGGTATATGATGACTTGAATTGCAACGCTTTCAACATCCTACTAGATTCCCTTCTCTTTGTTTCGTACGAAGAGGTGAATGAAGGAGACTGTAGATGGATGGGTAAACAGTGTTGTGAGTGGGCTGGGAACTTCAACCAATTCGTCCAGAATCCACTTGATACATGGAAGGCTTCTAGTAGATTGTGTTTTGTTGAACAGCAGTTTCACTAATAGATTGTCCGTCAGTCAGAAAGTAAGAAGCAGTAAGATGTAGGAATACGATATACGATGTAGGAAGACGATATCCAACTGTATACATCATTCCTACCTAACCAAACCAATGTCATTGATACCATCACAAAACTTGAAGCTTGTGTTCATGATATCAAGAAATGGATGAGCTCTAATTCCTTGAAATTAAATCAAGAGAAATCAGAGCTGTTGTTTATGGGTTCTAAAACTTTATTAGACAGGGTGAGCCTTCCCTCTATTAGGGTTGATGATGATGTTATCACTCCATCTAAATCATGTAGAAATCTTGGAGTTTTATTTGATTCTACGATGTCCATGTCAGTTCAGATCCCGGCTGTTTGTAAATCTGTCAGGTATCAACTACGTAATTTAGGCATTATTCGCAAGTATTTAACCCGCTCGGCCACAGAAAAAATAGTTCATGCCCTCATATCGTCTCGACTTGACTTTGGTAATGCACTTTTGTTTCAGCTGCCACAATCTCAACTCTCACGGTTACAAAAATTACAAAATTCAGTAGCCCGTATTGTTACCCTTACCAGACGTACTTCTCACATTACTCCTGTTTTGTCTTCACTACATTGGTTACCTGTTGAATCCCGTATTGTATTTAAATTATTATTGCTTGTTTTTCACTGTATACATGGATCTGCCCCAGAGTACAATATTAATTTGTTAATGTCTTATAATCCTCCCAGACGCTTAAGATCTTCCGATTCTCAATTGCTTGTTGTTCCGAAAACTAAGAAATCATGGGGGGATCGGTCATTTGCACACGCTGGACCTTACCTATGGAACCAATTGCCACAACATATTCGTTATATTTCAAGTGTAGATTGCTTTAAACATGCCCTTAAAACTCATTTGTTCAAAGCAGCTTTTCAGTAGATTTAGTTTTATTTTCACATTGTCGTCGTTCATTTTTGTGTGTATTTTCTTGTGTACTTATATCTTTTCTTCTCCATGCGCCTCGAACACATTATTCATGTGGAGTTGGCGCAGTACAAATACTCTGTATTATTATTATTATTATAATATTCATGAGTTTATTTGTGATGTAAGCATGACCTCTTCAGTATGAGTGCATTCCAAGATTGTACTCTTTACGGTCTTTGTAATGATATCCATCAAAACTAGACTCACAGAAGTCTTCAAAGTGAATATCCAAAGCAAGAAACAGCTAGAGAGTAAAGAGCATATTTCTACTCTTCATGTTCAATCAGACAGTCTTTCATTCAGAACCTGTTGATCAGAGTAAGTAGTCTCTGTTTCTCAGCTTCTCCTTTCTCTTCACTGTCTGCATCACCGATGTTCCCTGCATACTCTGAAATATAAATAGAAAACATGGCCAATGATGAGTGCTAGTTATCATTTGTTTTCAAGAACTATGACGGTATGTACCTGTACCAAAAACAAAATTTCATTTCTAAATCCTTTTGATAATCACAAATTTTCATGATAAAACATAAAGAACTTCCAAATGTTGGTGAAATTTGATATACCAGGTCTCTTGGCATCTGTCTGTCTCAAAAGACAATAGAATATTGCGCTAGTTGCATCTTAAACTGTTGAATCATAAACCTTGAACAAATATACTTTTATATCCAGTTTCACAAATTTAGATGTATTACCTTTGATATTTATGAGCACCGTTTTATTGTTATTATCTATTTTATTGATGGACCTTATGCTTGCAAAGTTCCATACTACCTGCTCTATCAAGGTTAAATACCTGTCTTTATTATCTCCCACTTTGCTGCCTCTAAACCTTCCTGATACCCCATCATTCACAAAAAATAGAAATGATATACAATATCAACTAGAGTAGAAGTTTAGCAACAGTTTAGTATTCTCAAAGCTTTTTTTTCTGTTACCTCTCACAACACTCCTGATGTCTGTGATAGTACCCCCTCGCATGTTGAGTAGCTGTAGAACCCTACTCTTGATGGAGCTGACCCCTGAGTTACAGCATAGCTCTAGGATGATGTAGTCAAGCAGCTGAAGAGAGAAGAGACCAGCATCAAGTCTCTGGATGTAGTACTCATCCTCCTGGTCATCATCAATGATGTCACCTTCTCGTAACCTCCTCTGAGCAATTAGATATGATGATGGTAATAAGACTTAGATTATTACAAAAATAATCAAGAATCTGATACATCTATTGTGTTTGAGTAGTTTGGTCACTTCAAATCACCCAAAGCTGACAATTAATATGTCATTTTAACCCCGCCTGCCACCCAACCTCTGTATATCCAGAAATGGGTCCTAATCTAAAAGTATGACATATCAACATAATTCTGAACATGTTGTAACTGAAGCACAGATGAATCATATGACAGAAAATTCAGAGGTAATTCCTTCAATATGTTCCATCTCATCAGGCATAAAATTAAATACTGGCATTACTAACCCACTGGCAAAAGCTTGGTTAAATTCTGATGTACTTGAGAAGAAAAACAAGGGAAACGCTCTCGGTGGTCACGCCTGCATTACGCAATTCGATATGATGAAATATTGAGGTTTGGACATTAGTTATAGGCAGGGTGGCCCACTTTTTGCTACGCAGGCATGACAAAAACAAGGAAAGAATAATGGAAAGAATGGATACCTGTTTCTCGCGTTCAATCTTGTCATCGCAGGCCTGAACCCTCTTGAGGTAGTTAAAGTGAAGTTCCATCAGACGATCTACCTTGGCATGATCACCCTCTGAGAACTTTCCCACCAGCCTCTGGTGGTGAGACCCGGTTACGTTGCGGAACAGAGCGGCAATGATGGAACACACATGCTCTGAATCAAGAAAGCATAGGAAATTCATCTTTACAGCTTTAACATGCAATAAAGTTTCTGACGTAAACAAGGAAATATTGTCTTCTCCTTTTGAATTGCATCATTAATTAAAGAAAACATTAAATTCTCAGAATGTAGACAAGATTGAAGAAGTCTGTAGTTTTGAAAAATTTCACTTTTCAGTATACAGTATATATAAAAATACTCAGGATGGAAAGAGAGCTTACCAATAAAATCAAGCAATAGACCATTTTTGTAACCTTATCAAATTTAATCCATACATTTTTGTTAAGTGCCATGTTACAATGTTATACATCAATTGTTGCTAGGTAAGACAAGCATTATGGCTCATCCTACCTTACAACAGAATGTATGCAATTTGCATTATGACTATTTTAAATACACTTATTTGCAACAGGTGAATGAAATAAATGTACCATGGCTCAAAGGTTTATACATTAAATTTGATTACATTACGAAAATGGCATATAAAAAAACAGGGTCGGTGTGGTCCACCTACCTTCATGTTCGCTGTCTCCAGGGCCTTTCTTGGTGATCTTTGGTGTCTTCATAAAGAGAGGAAACAAACTCCGTAGTCCTAAGATATCAATGAACTTTGTACAGTTATCACCAGCTTCCTGACCGGTCATGGCATGGTTTAACACCTTCAAAGCACTATGTCTCGACTGCTTCTTTTCCCTAGAAATAGCAAAGAAACAAGTCAGTTATAACAGAGCAAATGCAGTATAACACTATTGTCTGGACTATACAACGCACTTGGTACATGTTATACAAAAACTGTGCTGTTATGGTTTGAACTTGGGGGTGTATTAACATACAGCTATTGCATCAAGTTACCAGGAGCCATATCATGACAACTATAAACATTGGCATCTTCTTCATTCCAAAAGCACTACTGACCTCAATGATACAGTAATATCAGTGATATCAATCCTAATGATACCACCATCAACACCAAATCCATCTCCATCACTACCAACACCACCACTACCAAATCTTTCTGAAGTGCAACATAACTATTATTCAATTCCAATTTCTGCTATTTACTTCTCTTTTTTGCTTCACTTAGACAGACATGCCAGTGACACCCAAGATAACATATCCCAATTTATTGAGCTTAACTTTATTCACTCTCATCAATAAGTTGTCGTTTCTGTCTGTTTTTAATCTGATTACCGGTATGTGTTTTAGGCATCTTCTGATGCATTTCCTGGAGTCGGAACGAAAGACTTTCTGATTATAGGAATTTCACATTCTTTTTTTTTCTTCCAGGCAACTTCGGGAGGTGCAGCAGGGGAAGCCAATTTTATTCTTTCATACTATGTATCCTATGTGCCATTCATGATTCTATTGTACCTTCTATTGTATGTTTGAAATGCCAAATAAATAATAATAATAATAATTAATACCACTTAGTGACCACTACCATCATTAATACCACTGCCACCATCATCACCACCACAATCATCATCATCATCATCATCCCCTCCTCCTCCTCACCATCTCTATAGGTATCATCATTGTTACAGGCATCAATTTCAATATAAACACTTCTATCAACTCTGACTAGCTCCGCATACCTGAGCATGAGGTTCATCAGCTGTAACCCCTCCCCTTTGAGGAATGCTGTCTTGTTGCCAGGCAACATAAGGGATGAGCAGAGGCAGTTGAAGAGATTTTCCATCATTTCCAGTTCCTCACTGTTAATGGGATCATGCTTCTTGAAATACTAGTAAGGAGATAGACATTGTAAAAAGGTGCTCAGAATTAAATTTATTATTTTCATCAGTACATATTATCTGTAAGATTGAAGGTTAGATATCAATGGACAAAAATATATGAATTTATTGAATTGTTATTTTTTTAAGCTCATGACAGTTTCAAGATCAATATTAATGTCAAGATTTTCAAGTTCGAAAAAATCTTCTAAAAATTGACTCTTTAAAACTCTTAAATAGTGGTTTTACCTCTTTGTGCTAAAAATGTAGAGGGTTGGAATATGTTTGGTTGAATCCTTACTAATTCAAATACTTTAATGGTAAAGTAAGGTGATGCAACTAGACACATAAAGATAGACTGTAAGGAAACCTGATGCCGCCAGCTTGTGATAAAGGTATAATACAGTCAAACCTGCTTTAGTGACCACCTGTCTTCGAAGACCACCTGCCTACAAAGACCACATTTGTTGTTTCCCTTGAAAAGGTTTCTCATTGAAACATGTACTACAGAAACCTGTCTACAAAGACCACCTGCCTACACAGACCACTTTTTGTGTTTCCCTTGGGCGGTTGCTAGAGACAGGTTTGACTGTATAAGAGGAAATTTCCAAGCTCTAAAATATACTTACAGCAAGTTGTTGTAAGAGTGCATCAATTCCATCAAGTTCTCCAAGCAATACTCTGTTTCCTGCAAGCAAGAAAAAAAATGTTTCTTTGGAGTGACGAAAGCATGATGACATGAAAGACATGATAAATACCACTTTTTTAAATTAGTTGGTGTGACAGTCTCTTCAGTACAAGAAAAAATTTGGCTTTGTATGGTCATCCATCCTGATCATGAATTTGACATTAAGTATAAAGTGTATACAGTGATAAATCTCCATTAGTTACATCTCAATTTCCCCTAATTCCCCCTGACCCCTTCTCTAAATATCCCCTTTTCTCCCACTCTCTCTTTCTCTCCTTCTTCCCAAGCATACTTTATTCTCAAACAATGTAAATAAGACTGGAATGAGATCTTACTTTGTGTGTCTTGTAATATGATGGCGAGGATCTCACTGCAATAAAGTTTGTTGGCATCGAATGTGACCTTAGGTTTGAGTTTCTTAAGTAGCCATTGCATCAAGCCTTGTTGGGCAGCATCAGGACACATTTCAGGTCGGAACTCAGCCATGTTCTCTATGATACCTGAAAAGAGAGAGAACATTTATTTATATACTATATATTTATTTATTTGTTTTATTTAAACAGGGTAACTCTCTGAGTATTAATACTGTTTTTCTGAGAGGCCCTGTACACAAAAAGGAATACAAATACATGAAATAACAAACAATGTTAAAAGATGTATACATGCTGTAAAGCTTGCAATGAAATGCAAATAAACAAAACAAAACAAAACTCAACAACTCTATAACCCCTTAGAGATGTTTTTATATATATTAAGTGTGTCCATGTATTTCCAAGAGGTTCCATTTCATCCTTAATTATAGGCTTAGTATTCAACAGGGTAATATTTCATTACTTTTATGACTTGCTCATTACAGAGATTTTCACATGATTGCATTGACATTTATATAAAGGGATTGGATATGGAACAAAACACGAACTACAAAGTTGATATTTACATTTAAAACTGTAGCTACTGATGCACTGTGCAAAATAAAGAAAAGAATGTTGACTTTGACTATGATATATATTTCTTTATAATATCAACCAAAACAGATTAGAGCTTAAGAAGCATTGGGAGTTATGGGAAATGAGCTGTGTACAGTAAGCTGGAAGTGAAAATGATCAGGGGAGTGTTTCACAAAGATCCTAAGTCGAACTTAACAATTATGGAAAGCTATTTGTAGCTTTAAAATAAAATATATTCAATAGTGAAAATTGAAGTATTTTAGACTTTTAATAAATTCCACATAAAGAACAAGAAATCTCCTTGATAATAAAAAATATGAATGATTTGAATCAACATTTTATGCCTTTTAAAATAACTTTTACAAAATATTTTCATAGATGCTAACGGCTTTCCATAATTGTTAAGTCCACCTTAGAGATAACTTCAACTTTGGATCTTTGTGAAACACCCCCTGGCAATGTTTCCCTATCATAGAAATATAAAGTTTGATACTTACTCAGTGTGTTATGGATTCCTTCTGCCTCTTCTTTCACATTGTCATCTAATCTATCCAGATTCTGCACCAATGTAGCACATACCTGCTCTTCCAACTAAAAACAAGAAAAACGTCTGATTTAGAAAATTTCAAAAATAGAGCAAGTCATAAGCAATTCATACATCGGTAAAATACCTACTCTTGTTCAACAATGAAAGCAAAGATTGAGAAGTAATGAGGAGGATTGATAGGATTGAGATATGGATGTCCATTGCAGTCTCAGGACTGCATGGTTTTGACAAGCACAGTCCAGAGGCCTCTCCTTTCATGTTTCTTGTGATTGTTTTTTCCTCTCATTATTTTAATTTGAGTCCACATCGTGGAAATGTTCATCAACATTTGAATAGCTTGATGCCCCATTTTTGCTATTTTCTTTCAGAGACTCATTTATTGTTAAATGGCTTGCTCACTCATGAGTGATTGGTATGATTCCAATAGCATATCGTCTTAAATAGGATTAATTAATGTTCATATTGATATATGAAAGATAACTTCATATTATATATCTATTTGAAAATGATAATTATAAATAGTGTCCACTTTTTGTTGTTGCTGAGTGTATATATGACATCAGATTTAATTTGCAACAATCTAAAGGAAATTTCATCATTCTTCAAAGATTTCTAACACTACTTTATGATTTGTGAAAGTTTTGAGGTGCATAACATCTGAATAAAAACATAAATTTTCGTAATTAAATAATTAATAATACATTGTATTTCTTGATGCAATGTTTCTAAATGCTTTACAAAATAAAAAGTTGGCAAAATTTATTGCTGCGTTTTAGTGTGGCATTTAACACAAATTAGAGCTTACCAATGCATCGATAAGAACTGTTGCTCCATCCTCACTCTCTGTCAGTGTATCCACATCTGTCATCTCCTGAAGAAGGTTGATGATAGCGATGGAGATATCAGTGTTCTCATGTCCAATCAGCTGTAGGACAGACTTGATGGCATTGAGCTCTTTCAAATGATGGTACATATCAGGTACAGTAGCAATCACATGGAGCTCCTGGATGGTGTCATTCAAGTCAATCTCGGATTCCATGAATCTGAAACAAAGTGAAAGTTGAAGGATATATAATTCATTAAGATGTACAGAATTATCATTTCACTTTAGATCGCGGTGTGTCAATTAAAACAACGTTAAAAAACAAGGATTTGAAGCTTTCACAACCAACAGCTTTTCCAAAAAGCCAATATGAAATTCTCATTCAAAAAACTAAATTGATGTTAAAAATCTGAAATAATGTTTTATCACACTTTTGTCTAAATTCAGCCCCCCAATTTTTGTTTGCATTCTTTTTCTCTCTAAATTTTTGCTGTGTGTCTGAAGATTAAAGGAAAACTGTCAAACAATATTACAGAAAGTACTCACTTTTCAGGGAGATCAGGGAACTTGATGCGGAGTTCTTGGTTCCTATAAACCTTTTTCTCAAATCCCAGAATGAGTTTCCTCAAACTTGTGTCATCAAGAGCTGGGGCCTGGAAAAGAATGAGAAAAACAGTGTAAACACATTGATAACATGATAATGAAAGTAAAATATCAAAAACAAATCTCTTACACGTTCTGGTAGCCTATAACGAATGAGTACAAAATATGTTACCACAGAAAATGTAAACTGCAAGATAATAAGGATTTTACCAATGTGCAAAGTACAAAACACAAGCATGGAAGTCTAATACTGAGTTCCTGTACACAGACTACATATGTAGCAGTTTATGCCAGCCTCCTCATAATTGGTGATTTCTAGCTTTTACAAATATCACTCTCTCTGTACATATATGATTGTACAAAGAGTTTAGTAAAAGGCTGTATAAGTGTATGTTTATGGTCTGGTATCTCTATTACCTCTGGTTCCTCATCAACCATCTTGAGAATACGCTCCCTCTCCTCTGCACTGAGGGAGCTAGACATCCCAACCATTCCTTCAGGCATCTCATCTCCTCCTCCTCCTCCTCCTCTTCCCCTCCTTGCCATCTTGGTTGGATCCGCTCCTTCATCCTGCGTTCTGCTCTCTCTAGAACGCTTCAAATTGGGTTTTCTCCGGCTAAGAGGAAGAAGGAGAGTAATTAAAGTCTATCAAAAGGCAAATATAGAAAATTAAAAAAATAAGCACAAAATTATTATACAAATGATGCATGCACATGAGTTCATTATACGATCTATCCGCACTCGAGTTGAGGCTGTGTGTATCTATTGCCCAAAGCCGTTAGGCTGAGTGCAATAGATACACACAGCATCAACGAGGGCGGATAGATCGTATAATGAACGAATGAAAACATGCATCATTTGTATAATAATTTTGTGCTTATTTTTTTATTATTTTATACAACGAAACTCCTAGATCCTTGTTATTTGATGTAAAAAGAATTCATTCAAGATTGTTTCTTGACAGTATCTGGCTGAAAATCTCAAGTGTAATAAGGCTTAATTTAGTGTGCACACATAGCTATAGATATAGCAAGCGTACTACCGGTAATTACCTCTATACCCATTTTACGCATAGTGCTGCGCAAGAATAGGCTCATGCTCACTCAGTATTAAGCGCTCTAACCTCTACGCGCACTACTGCGCTCTTAAAACGAGTTCAGTAGTACTGAAAAATATTGCACTCCTTTTCATGAAAACGAGTGCAATAGGCTCAGTAAATGAATCACACTTGACCGTGCAAGACCAATCATTTGATTAGGATCTGGGAGTGAGTTGTATAAAATACAATATCATAATACAAATCCAACTCGTTATACCTGATGAAGAATTAATGTTTCAGCACTCCAGATGCAGACAGGAGAGATAATTATTTTAAAAAGTAAAAGTTTTGACAAACTTCTATTGAATGGTTTGATTTATTTCATTGTCTTAGACTACAGGCATAAATCATCATGGTATTTTATTTATTTATTTATGCATGCATGTTCACAATTTCACAAATCATTTGAGTTAACATCGCATGAAAAAAAATACAATATAACAAATCATCTTCACTTTTAAAACCCATTTCAATAGACTTCACATAAAAAAATATAACGATATTTTATCAAAGACAAGTTGCAACTTTAAATATATGATATATGACAAATAAAATTCCTAAAGCCTGGGTTGTGAACTATTTACTAGATCGAGTATTGGAGATGTTATTACACATAGAAGAAGCTTAAAGGTAATACAAAGTTTTGGTATGGGGTCATGAATTTGGTTCAAATGAATATATTGGAAGCATATACGATCCGACAATATTCAGTGATCGTCGTCGCGGTTGAAATCCAGTCTAAAGTTATGAATTGAAAATAATAACTCTTTATGTGGTATAGCCCCCTCTCAAGGTCAAGATATCAATTAAGATATAAAAAAATTTTCTTGGCTAAAATCGACCGATTAGCTATTCTCATTGGGAAATTATATATCACAACTACATATTCTGAGATTTTCATGGTCGCAGCTACCATTAAACGGCCGTAGGCGCTATTTGAAATTTATCAAAATTTACCGGGAGCACCGGTAAATTTTTATATTCAATTTGTCCCGAAAGTAGAAGTGTTTTAGGGGCTAAATTTTCTAGTGCTTATAATACATCCACAGGGGCATCCAAATATATCAAACGTGTAAAGAATCACTATCCACCCAATTTTCAAAATTTCCCAAAACTTTGTATTACCTTTAAACACATTACAAGCTTAAGTTGCAGTTGTAACTTGTAACATATTCTTCAATCTAATTTTTGAATACTCATTTTATTTTATTTCATTTGAATTGGTTTAATGTCGAAGAAAAACAATTGGAGGGGGGTGGCAAGAACTTAAGAAGTTAGCCCACCTCCCGTCTTGCCAGGTCTCTCTCTGACTCTGCAGCTCTGGACACCAAATCATGAAAATAATAAAATGCAAAGTCAAGGCTCAGGCCTCAGTCAAGGGAATGTATAACGAGCAGCAGTCCCCAAAACTACGGGCTACAAAGAGTGGATAATTCATTTTTTATTATACATATCTCATACATGTATGACTATGAGTATGGGAATGTGACGAAAATTTAAAAAATCAGAAGACAATATCTCTAGTTGTCCTCCAACAGAATAAACAATGTGTGGGACTACAGTTACGATTTAGTGAGTTGCACATGCATATGTACATGTCTACTCAAGGTAAATATAAGAGAGTATTACACGCCGTTACGTTATATCAATGAAAAAATATTAATACACATGTACCTGGATGAGAGGATATCACCGATGTCCATAACTTCTTGTAAATTCGTGTAAAAATCGATTTGATATGATGATACTTCGGATTCAAATTCACAACCTTAGCCTCAGATCATGGATTAGTCTAATATCCCAGACTCAAGTTTGCTGTATAATAAAATAAAACTGAATTAAAACACGTATTGAACAGTTGTACTTGTGCATGTGAGAGATCTAAACCTGGGGGTGGGGCGGGGGGGGGGGGGGTACTCGCCTAATCCTATTATACGCAGTGGCGTTGCTAACCGGAGGTGTGTGGGTTGCGACACCCCCCCCCCCCCCACCCACCTGTCATTATTGTCGGTAAAATTGCGCTGCCGTCGGCGGGAAAATGAGAAAAGGGGAAGGGAAAATGAGGGGGGAAAGAAGAAAGGGGAAGAGAGAAGAGAGAAAAGACGGAAAAAGGAAGAAAGGGGGAAAGACGGAGTAGAGAACCATAGGGGGAAAGAAGAATAATGAGAAAGGAAAAGAAAGAAAGAACTTAGGGGGATGATAATGAGAGGCTTTTTCAAGTTTTACCAGGAAAAGGGCGGGGGGGGGGCACGCAATTTTGTAGTGTTCATGGTATGGGGTCCCTCTTGCCAGGCGTGTGGTCCCCCCTCCCCCCGAAAAAAAAAAAAAAATACACACAAGAAGAACCAAACAAAAAAACATGGAAAAAAAAAGGGAAAAGAGAAAATTTGTGTGAGTTAAAGAAGAAAGGAAAAATGAAAGGGGAAAATGAGAGGGAAAGGGGAGAAAAGGAAAAAAGGAAAAGGAAAAGAAAGGAAAGAAAAGAGAAGAAAGAAAGAAAGAAAAGAAAAAGGTAAAGGAGAGGAAAAGAAGGAAAAGAAAGAAAAGAAAGAAAAGGAAGAAAAGGAAAAACGGGAAGAAAAAAAAAGAGAAAAGGGAAACAAAAGAAACGGGGGTGAAAGAGAGGAGAGAGAGGGGGTAAAGCCTGAGGGGAAGAGGGTGGGAGTAAGAGAGAGAGGGGGATGTTGGGTCACTTGGATGGGGTTACCACGTCGAGGGGGCAAGAAAGTATGTTTCTGCGCGGTATTCCTGCTCGATCCTCGTGTACTATATCAATGCAGAAGTTTGAAGCCGGTGAGATGTATTATGTCGCTCGACGGGAATTTTTTTTCTCCCTACGAACTGTGACTTTATATCGGACAAAGAAACATTTTTGAAAATTCAGACAATGATTAAGAGTCGGTACAACGAATCGTCTTCTGTCTCTAATAATTTAATGAAACGTCAAAGCTTTCGCGCTTCGGGCAGGGGGGGGGGGGGGGGGCGGGCGGGGGAACTGAATTCAGACAAGGATTAAGAGTCGAAAACAGTACAACGAATCGTCTTCTTTCTTTACTAATTTAATGAAATGTGGAGGCTTCCGCGCTTCGCGGGGAGGGGGCAACTGAATTCAGACAAGGATTAACAGTCGAGAACGATACAACGAATCGTCTTCTTTTTATAATAATTTAATGAAACATGAAAACTTCCGCGCTCGCTTCAGACTAGGATTTAGACTCGAGAACGGTACAACGAATCGTCTTCTTTCTCTAATAATGATGAAACGTCGAGCGGGAGGGGGGGAAACTGAATTCAGACAAGGATTAAGAGTCGAAAACAGTACAATGAATCGTCCTTTTTCTCTAATATTTAATGAAACGTCGGGCGGGAGGGGAGAGGGGGAACTGAATTCAGACAAGGATTAAGAGTCGAGAACGGTTCAACGAATCGTCTTCGTTCTCTAATAATTTAAAGAAGCGTCGAGCGGGGGGGGGGGGGGGGGGGGGGGGGGGGGGGGGGGACTGAATTCAGACAAGGATTAAGAGTCGAAAACAGTACAATGAATCGTCTTATTTCTCTACTAATTAAATGGGGGGGGGGGTGCAATTTTTCAAATTTTCGAGGGCCCAAAAAAATGAATGCTCACTACCTCCCCCCCCCCCCCGAGATGAGAAAGAATGAACGCCATGGTGACCAGAAGTCAGGCGTGTACGCAGGGGGTGTTTGGGGGGTTAAACCCCCCCCCCCTTTGTATTTTTATGTGTGTAAAGACCCCTAAAAAATCCCTAAAACCCCCCCCCCCCTTTTTTTTTTTTTTTAATTTTTTTATTATTTATTTAAAAAAAAAAAAAAAAATTACCCCCATGGCTGAACTAAGAAAGGTGACCTTACCCCCCCCCCCCCCCCCCAACGGAGCAAATTGTCAAAATTGTCAAATTTCGATACCAAAAAAAAAAAAGTGCTCTTTTCAAATTTTCCTGAGTCGTTGCGAAATTTTGGACCCGATTTTAAACCCCCCCCCCCCCTTGAAAAAATCCTGCGTACGCCACTGCCAGAAGTGCAATGCATCGTGCACGACATGCACATAATTATCATCATTATGCATGCAATGAGCCATGGCATGAACACCGCTATTAGTATAATAACCGAATTGAAATCCACTTACTATGATTAGGATAAGTAATCCAATCCAATCAAAAAAATATTTGATATAGCGCCTTTTCCTTGCAGTTACAAAGCGCTGCACACATGCTCATAAACTGATAAATGCAGTGTTGAGAAAGAACAATAATTAAGACATAATGTAGGAATAGTGATGTGTATCAGTTATTCAAAAACAATTCAAAGAAAATGGCCTCCATAATTTACGGCTTCACTATATCATTATTTTTATTTTGTATTTAAACATGGCAATGATAAAGCTCGATTCGTCTGAAAGCTAATACTAACATCAAGTATCAAATTTGTCATTTATGAATAGACATGCAATTGAACTAAGAAAAGAAGGAAGAAAGAAGAAATTGTCGTTATACTGGGAAAATGAAATGCGAATAAGG